TTTGCAATTGAATATTTTTATATTGACATTATAACTTGCAAGAGTTAAATTATATTAAAACTAGCTTTAGCCCGCGACGCCGTCTGCGCGGAATTGAAAAAAAATGCTAATAGCCTAGGTGTTCTTCCAGACTATCAAATTCCATCGAAATCCGTCCAACCATTTTGGCTACAAACATCCCTCCATCCATCTAAACTTTCGCATTTATACTATTAGTATGACGACTAAAGATTTTGGCTCTGGTGCTGTCCTGCCGTTATTAGTGTTTTATGGTTATATTAGGTTGCGAACGCTTCTATAATCTGTCCAGAAATGCAATGACCCTAGCCATATTGCGAAAAAATAAGGACCTAATTTTATTCTGCATTATAAAGTAAACCTAGAAGCCGATAAAAGCACTCTCGGTTAAGAATTTTTACATTCTTAGTAAAGCTATACTTTTCAATCTGATATGTATAAATTTCCCATATCATTTCAACAACTTGGATGAGATTATCTCAGTCGCGTAAGTATTTGCGTTTGTGATAGTGAAAGTCAGGGAGCCAAGTACAAACATGTTTAGCTCATAATTACGCGTCGCTTTAATAAGTTTTATTAAACTTTGAGGTTAGATTTTAGTAAAATGTACATAATTGTATTGTGTATGGATAACAGTTAAACGTGATAAAGAATTGAAATATCGTAGGTTTAAGTATAGTTTTAAAAAATCATAGGCTATTTTAGTAAAATTGTAGTACTAATTATCAATGAAATAAACTAGCTGTATCATGTTGAATTGTTTGGAGTACTTTAAAGCGTCATTATGTGCTCCGCTTGTCTCAAATCGTTGTTAGCTTTACGCTCTAATAAATGTTCAATAGACTTTTTCTGCATACTATTCTTTATTTACAAACATTAGCGTCTGTCAATATCTTCTTATTAATGTCATTAACAATAAATGCAAAAAATTAGCATTGACGATAACCCCGAATGTAAGATAACCCTATACGAAGGCGTTTCGTTTGCCGGAGGTCACAAAAGAAGCGATGCTCCAGGGCGTAGGTATGACCAAAAAATAAGAAAGATTTAGAACATGTTACATAATGGATACTAAGATACGTGGAGAATCAGAACAAACGTCAGGGATTTTATCTCCGTTGCGATATCAAACTTTTGTTATTCGAATAAATCGTTGATCAAACAGTCATCAATTGACAAGCAAATTAAGTCAATTGATCCAAATTTTTACCAGTTTAATTGGACTCAGTTAAGACACGACTTCGTTACTTTCTCGTTGAAATAAACTTCTTCGTGTTTAAATTAAAACATTACATACCGTCCTTTCTTTTATACAAATTATTATACATATTGTAAACATCATCCTAGTTACCGGTAATAATAACGAAATAACAGCCCGTACCGAGGCTCTTGAGGAACTTAGTTACTCAAAAAAACAAAACCGACTTCCAAACAAAATACACTAAAAACAAAATTTTCTCATAAAAACAATACACTAAAAAGTAACGAAATAATTCCTTGGAAATAGTAAACCTCCCTTATTAGTTGTTATGTCTATATCGTACAATTATTATTACTTTGATGTCGGTGTCAGCCGAGATATGCAGTGATATTTCTACGTAAGGCTTTCTACATTTTTACCATAACAGTTGACAATTGAAAGTAACTACAGTAAAGCTTAAATGATAAATCTATTGACTGACAAAAAACCACAATCCCATATACCACTTATACTATGGTTTATATGGGGCAAGTAACATTAACAGGAAAGTATCGTGCCCTCTTTTAGATGATTACCTAAATAACAGGATAGTATTATAAACGTGAACTTAAGTACTGGGAAAGCATATTTCCAGCAGAGATCAGGCAACTTCCTAATGGTAAAGAATGCAAGCTTTGGCCTACTAACGTAATTGGTTACACGCGTTCGTTGTACGCTGTATAAATAGTATTGCATTTAATGTATGCCGTCATAATACACTATATCGGTCCTTGTTTGTAAATTGTAATGCAGTTTGTATATAAATGGACTACAATATTTACATATATTTTCTCCTTCCTTTCCTCGCGCATGCCAAAGCTAGCTTATATAAACAATGGGTATTTCCAGTTGTAAAAAGATGTTTTTTTAGAAAAAATATTGTATACGTAGGTAAAAAGTAATTAAACAAAATATTTTTACAGTTAATAAAATTGGTGAGCATATCGAAAAAATCGGATAAGATTCTAGGGAAAAGAAGTCCAGGAAGGAGGAGAACTACGTGGCTTAGAAATCTTCACCAATGGTACAACAAAAGTACGTGTTCTATATTGAGAGCTGCTATGTCGAAACTTCAAGTTGCTGTATTGATGGCCAACCTTCGTTAGGAGACGGCACCAAAAGAAGAATATCGAAGAAATGCAAAATTTCGAAATGACAGATTTGCGTTGCTGATAACGAAAATCGAATAACTTGTCTTTCCGTACGCGAGTCGCAATTTCGTTTCACTTATGTCCACCGAGAAATTTTACTAATGACTTTTTCTCTTTATCTTCCTTCCCAAACAAGAAAATATGTTTTTATACACGTTTGTTAACAGTGGAAACACATCAGAATAATAGAATGTAAATAATAACACGTGTAACTTATTGCAGAAACTATGTTCGAAGCTAATTCAATTACGTAATATTTACTTGTCGTCTGGCTGAGATAGAACTGTATCATACAACAATGTTTACTAACGAACATAGAGTTACGAAATTACGCACTTCTGTAAAAATATGTTAATACAAAGTAAAAATGTATAGACATGCATATTTATGCAAATATACGTTAGAAATAATAGGTTATCATTACAAGCCGTGTTCGTTGTTAAAACATTGTTAAATATACAATTTTAAATTCAAATTATAATTAAGATAATGATTGTGATAAGTTATCTTAAAATCCATTTTAAATTAAAAAGCAAAAATTTACTAAACCGTTACATAATAATTGCAGTTAATACGAATCGTATAGATATATCTACCTATAAAATGCAATAAAATCTGATTTATATGGCTATCAAGAACACCGTCAGATGTAAAAAATATATATTTAAATGTATTGAAAAACATGAAACCTGTATTTTGCATTTCAAAGGTCCTTCACCCCTTTCCTCCAAAACGTATTATTATTTTATTCGTGATTATTCGTTTTATTTACGACTAGCTGTTGCTCGCGACTTCGCCCTCGTGAAATTAAAAAAATAATAAAAAATGTAGCTTATGTAACTCACTGATAACGTGGCTTTCTAATGGTGAATTTTTGAAATCGCCCCAGTAGTTTTTGAGTTATTTCAATACATACAAAAATACAAATCTTTCCTCTTTATATTATACGAGCTGTTGCCCGCGACTTTGTCCGCGTGGTGTTAGAAAACATACCAACTTTATAAATTACAAAAAGCTACGTATCTCTCGGGAACCGGACATTTCTCGGGGATGAAGCTTATCCCACGTGTACTCCAGACTTTGTTTTATATCTGTGCCAAATTTCATTAAGATATGCTGAAGCGTTGCAGAATGATCGAGTAAACATTAAAAAACTAAATTATTGAATCCCACGGGAACCGTAACTATTCCCGGGATAAAAAGTAGCCTATGTGTTCTTTCAGACTATGCTCTAAACCTGTGCTAAATTTCATGGAGATCCGTTCAGCTGTTTAGGCTACAAACGCTAACAAACATCCATCCATCCATCTAAACTTTCGCATTTATAATATTAGTAAGATTTACGATTTGTATTATCTCTATACGAGTATGTAACATTCAAAATAGAGATTAAAGCAATCGTTAAGGCGAGTACACTTGTTCTTAAAGTATTTAAACTGTCTATGACCATTTAGAAATTCGTACAAGGACTAACGTGAACTATAATTAAATACGCTTTACCTGTTACTTATATTCAAATGTATAAAACAAGTATGGAATAGTGTCAACATTGTAATAAACCTTCTAATATTTTAAATGCGAAAGTTTAGACGTATCGATTGTGATGCAACACCAGAATGGTTGAACAGATCTGTATGCAATTTGGAATAGGGATAATACAGCCTGGAATTATACATAGTAATAATTAGGGTTTTTTAATTCCACGCTAACGAAGTCGCGGGGTGACAGTTAGGCTTGATTTTGTCCTAATTCAGCCTCTATTAGACAACTACACAAAGGTGTAGTTATCCAATATTGAATATAGCAAAGATTTTAACGCACAGCAGTTATTAAGTATGTAAATAATTTGTGTCCTTATTTTTAATACGATCTTTTCTGTTATTCAACTTACAAATATTTACATTATCTGGTTAAGATTTTTTTTTTTGAGATTTTCGTTAAAAATCACCAAACTCAATAAGTCTTAAATTCCTATGAGAAATAAATCAAATCGCAAAGCTTAAGTTAAGACAAAATTAGGTAAAAAAATAAAGATTGGTTTTTAGAAAACAAAATCATTTACTTATAAAATCAAATGTCAATTAAAAAAATGTTTTTTTTTTCTCTAACTTACAATAGTGAAAATTAATACATCAGAATTAAACATTATTTTTACATGTTCCAGGCACATAAAATACAATACTTTTCATGTGCGTAATCATGAGTTTTCGTTGCAGATACGAAAGGTATAAGATATGAGTAGTTATGTTTTAAAGGGATAATACGAAAGAAAGGCATGCACTGTTTTAATGTGCGATGTTTTATTACAATCACTTTACTGTTTCACACTTGTATATAAATAACAACATTGGTACGTGACCAACTTAGTTCCGGTTTTTATAGCCATATTACATACACACATATAATATAACATTACGAATAAAAGAAAATAAAACTAGTTTCTAAATCGCACAGCTGATAAAAATGTCTCTAAATGTAAAACATTTTAAAAATTTCATAGCGTGTAAAGCGAAATTTACAATCTCACAAACTAATATTAATATAGGAAAATATAACGTTTGAATTGTTTTTTTTTAAATGAAAGTACCAACCCCTGTAGTTTTAGCCTCCATTCTTCAGTTTGTAGTTTTATATTTTGTATGTCAAGAAAACACTTTAAAAACGAGAGTACTATTTGACAACTAGATACGCGCTATGGCATATTTCGCGCGACACACTAAAGAAGACAAGCGCGCGAATACGCGAAGCGCGCGACACTGCCTGCGTTCAACTCACGAGTTGATAATAATTATCAAGACAGCAAAACGGCGAGAGCTACAAAGATTGCCGCAATCACTTGCTTATGTCCATAAACAGTTGCATTGCGTCGTAATCCATTCCTCCTTAATCGTAACTTTTTCAATTTCAACAAAAGATTTCGTTGACATCATTAATAGACTTGCAGCTGTCGACTTTCGAATTTTTGTTGTACACTTGTATTTTTTTAGAATGCTTGGTCGTGTTATAAACTTTACGAGGACCTGTTTATCAGTGTCGATCTCTTTTACAGCCTTAAGATAAATCTTTACATAATAAAATAACACAGAAAGATGTGTTCGTTTGAATGCTTAAAAGTATTTATGTACTACATTTAAAAATAGTCTTCGATATGAATGATAAATTACTACAAAAAATCAATCTAATACATCTAAAACTAAAATTAACATGACACAGCTTATAAAAATGTGAATGAAAATCCAAACAAAGAAACGTCTAAAATTCCACTTTTTATAAGTAAATCATTATTGTGGTAGGCAATTTTATATGATGAATAAACTTAACTGAGACTTTACAAAGCTGAAACACCTGTTCAAACTCAGGTTTTTTCAGAATTTGGGCGACATGTTTCTGTACAAGTGTTGGTGCAGTGAAAACAGTACACAGTCACATTTCCTATAAATAAGTACATGATACAACAAAAGAATTGGCGCGATGCCAATTTGAAATTCAAATAGGAAAGAGAAATAAGCTTAACTTCGAAATAAAGTGTTTGTGTTCCACGAAGTAATTATTGTGTGCATAACATTTTACTAATTACCTACAGCTTAGAATTCCTAAGTTAGCTAAAAGTTATACAAATAAACTCTGTATTTATCCTGTACTTGTTAAATATACGATCATCATACAAGTATGTAATGACCACATGGATTAAAAGTCAAGAAGCGCCTGCCGCTATAGAAATAGCAAATCTCAGTAAATTTTACTAATATCTTATCTACATCTACACATAACATGTAATAAAAATTGGAGTGTCTGTTTGTAATATAATATCATAAGAAAAATTCCAGATTTCGGGAAGATAGTGTATTTGCATTGCTGATAATGAAAATCGCATTTTAATTTTTTTTTCGGGTTACCTCCAAAACGGCTGGACCAATATCGACCAGACTTTCGCTGAAGGGTAGCTAACATAGACGGGCATATCATAGACTAGTTTTTTATCCACTGTCAAATCCACTTTTTCTTTCCATACTTTCCTCTTAAGAAAAGGGTGGAAAGGAAAAGGAACTAAAATTAGGTCCACACCACATTCATCAGACGAAACGCGGAATTGCTTCCACTTTACGCCTGTTTTCTGTATAGTTGTATTACACCGCGGGATTCGTGCGAAGATGTTAAAGCGGGCTCTAACACTGTTAAGTGACTTTTCGACTAAATTTAAAATTATGTAGATCTAACTTAAAACGAGTAAATCCAATTTGATTTTGATATTACAATCTTTCTCTGAATCCAATTTAACAAGTTTTTGGTACCGTTTATTATATTTACCGGTACTAAGTTTACATTATCAATAATAACCGGTAAATATGATTAATTTCTTTCTTTTACCTCTACTATTGGTAATTATTATTAATTTTCAATTAATTACATTTACCGTTACATTCACGTGTTTATCCAGCTGAACGTAACTATTTTATTTTACTTAATAACAAGCTGTCGCTCGCAAACTTTGTTAGTTCGGAATTTAAAAAAATGGTCGTCTATAACATCCTGGCGCACATCTACTTTTTACCAGCTACCTTCCAAAGTCCCGTCCAAATCGGTCCACCCGTTCTAGAGATAGCGGTCCGGTCGCCATTTTGACATTGCGGAGTTAAAAAAAAATGTAGCCTATAATATGCCCGTATATGTCAGCTACCCTTCAGTGAAAGTCCGGTCAAAATCTGACCAGCCGTTTCAGAGATTACCCGGGACAAACGCAGCTTGCGGACAGACATACATACAGACATTTTTTTTTTAAATGCGAATTTCTTTATCAGCAGCGAAAATGCACCATCTTCCCGAAATCTGGAATTTTTCTTTTGACATCACAAACAAACACTCTAATTTTATTATATGTATCGATATAGATAGATGATAGATAGATAGATATTATGTTAATTTAATGTAAATTCCTTAAGGGATACTAGACATAAGGTAGACATGGGTTCATATCAGATACCATCAACCGTCGAGGATCATCTCTAATACGTTAATAAACTGCCTGAACATATCACTGAAGTATCAAGAGGCATTTGTATAAAATTATCACTTACCCGAGGCGCCCTACGCCATTCCATGATTTCATAGTTTTGGAAAAACTCTACAAAATCTTCCATTCTGTACGACAGGCACCACACAAACTGAATAATGATTGTTGCAATATTAATTCGAAGCATTAAATAAATCATTGACCGAACATGAAACTTAGACACGTTGCATTCCTGAATTTGAAACGTTCATTACCTATTACCTATTTTAATTTTAACATGCCACTGTAGGCTTTATTATAAGGAACCAATGTCCAAAGTATAGGTGCTACAATTTTATATGACTTAGCAATTGATGTTTATTATCACCGATATGAGGATTGCACGTGCTCAATGAAATTAAATACTTGTTTATCGATTACTTTATTTGCAATCGAGGGATAGAATTCATTATTTCCGATGGTTTAATTTAAACAGAATCACATTTTACTTATAGACTTTGGAAGACTAACAAACATTAACACTAAGTCCAAACCTAAACCTAATTTTTTTTCGATTGTACCAATACCTAACATTCAAGTGAAATCAAAAGCTCTAACTCCTAGTTCTAATAACAGTTTGTAAAATATCTTGAACTTGTTATGACTCGTTTATGTTTAAACTATATGTATTCTATTATACTTACACTGGAAATGTAATTTACTAACGTAGGATGTTTCGAGCGGGTCTCACCTTCAATTTCATGATTGGCGTAACGGGTGAAAACATTATTATACAATATTAACACATTCGTAAAACGACTCTAGACATCATTGTCGTATGTTATCATCATTATCATTACCAGCTCACTATACGTTCCCATTGCGGGGCTCGGAGCCAACCCTAAGTAAGGGTGACTAGGCCATAGTTAACCACGCTAGCCCACTGCGGGTTAATTAACTTCACACATAACTTTGAATTTCGTCGCCAATATGTGCAGGTTGACTTATTATAGACGAATAATTCCAAAAAATACATTGGTACATGGCGGGATTCGAACCCAAGACCTGTAGATTACAAGGCTAGTGCTTAAACAATTCAGCCAACGACGCTCGAACGAATGTAACCTTTATTAATGACATCTTCAAAGACACGATGATGAGTTATCAGAAAATGTTTTACTGATTTACAATAAGCACATATGATAAAGTGTGTTATGCTATATGGCGTATCTGTTGAAGTTTGATTTAACTGGCTTTTCGTTGTAGAGTAGGGCTTTGGTCACGAGACTGTTGGTATAACATAACAGTGTTCGTCACGCACAAAAAAGCATAAACTGTTGTATATTATTTATTCTAAACAATTCATTTAATCCTAGACTCTGACGTCTTTGTTTTCACTGCTTTCCAGCTCGTGTAAATCAGTGAATCTCAATGTCATATAATTAGTGATGTATTGGTAAGATTGTAAACAAAATAAATAGAGATTAGAAGACATCTTGTGGTTACAAATTAATTTTATTGACGCTCCGAATACGCCACTTAGATATCTAGCGCATACAATGCAGAAAAATTGTATAAGCGACGTCTTTTTACCTTGTTGAGCAATTTGTAAATTGTTTTCCATTACGTTTTAACGGCACTATTGAAAGTTCTATTTCGATTGTTGCGGCCTCGATGTGTAGTTAACTACAGTAGAAGCAACAAGCCTTTCTTGGTGCTGCTGGTATCAGCATCGTGGGATAGGTCTGTGTAAAGACAGTTTTCTTTGTGAATGGATTTAAAGGCTCTTGTGTAGCGATGCGTTTCAGCTCGATGTTGATTCTCGCAAACTTGTCGCCCTTCTCTTCTTCTTTCTTGACCTGCATATAATACGGACGGAAATCGTTCGAATACATTTTTTAAAAATTTTTACGATTTTTATTATTACTTTTTACTAAGTGCCAAAAATGACATTATTGTTACAAATAATTGCAATGACAAAATAATAGTATTTTTTTTATTTTTCAGTACTTTGTTCTTATCGAACCTTTTTCTTGGGCTTTTATAACCTTTTAACGAAATTCGAGGTTATGTTATTAATTAGTCATTTGTTAGATTGGGAAAGATAATAATGTTTCTTATGTATTTCCAATCCGTATTTTCTCAATTAAAAGATATTCATTGGTTTAAAAAATATAGATAGGTACAATAAAAACTCGCTTTTTTAATGTGTTCCAATTTTATAGTTTACACCTCGCACATACAGTTGTCTCGTCCTTATGAAAAATGCCTTTTAACTCCTTCAGAATCAATTTATAATTTGATTTCTTCTTTAGCAAACTGCTGTCTTTAAGCTGTAACATGATATCTTTTATTTTTGGTGACAGAGTGGTTTCGGCATTATTCCTTCGTTGATTTTGGACTTTTTTTATTTCACGTTTTCCCTGTCAGATATTACACTTTGTTAATTAAGATCGTGTTAAAACAAAATACAGAAAGTAAACAGATGTAACATGAAATGCTTTTATTAAAATCATCTAGGAGTTTTGTTTTCTGTATTTCGTTTTTACAACTGTTGTGCCACACTCTTATCTACCCTAATTTTTTCGAGAACCATCTCTGATTTCTTTAACGTTTGCAGATCTTTATAGACTTCGTTGTCAATTAGACGACGCGTCTGATGGTTTGCCATCCCCCAAAAAAACATATACTTTTAAAGATTTTTAAATTGTAAATATTTTTAAATTATAAAGATTAGATATTAAAACCAAGAAAAGTTAGTATGGTGAAGGACTATTGGCAACACGAAATAAAAATCTTCTCTTTGGCATTGGCATTTTATAAAATGGATTTCCGGGAACTCCCTTCGATACATAAGGTGAACATACCGAACACTGAAACAAGATTTCATTTGATAAATTAAAAAATATACGATGAAAAACTTTAAAGCATAGCAAAGACTACGACAATGTTTTTCTCGGTAATGTGTCAACATATATTATTTTCTAGCTGTCGCCCGCGACTCCGTCCGTGTGGAATTAAAAAAAATGAAGTGTAGCCTATGTGTTCTTCCAGACTATCCTCTACATCTGTACCAAATTTCACCGAAATCTGTTCAACCGTTTACGCTACAAACTCTACAAATATCCATCTTAACTTTAGCCTTTCTGATATAAGTATGAAGTATGATAGATATGATAACAACAAAAACTGAGCTATAAAACATATTGCAGATACTAAATATTATATGCTAAACTATATAGTGAATATTATCTATTATTCCAATTAAAAACATTTTTTATCTCGAATAATTTTAATGCACTGAATATGTCACTTCTTTATTTGCTAATTTCTCCGGTGACAACATTTTCCTCACGCGAGATTTTACATTTTTTATGGATTTTTTAAAGAATTCATTGACTTTTTTCATTTTTTCTCTGAATATTCCCATGACGCTACGAGATTTCTTTTTCTTGTGTTCATCCTACGAACAACAAAATAACAAATTGACTCTATGACATACTTTTTATTAGCTTTCTACTAGCTTAGGAGTCCGGCTGACTGTACAAAACTGTTTCGAATCAATGAAGGATTTTTAAACATTTTTTTTTATGTTTTATAGATAGTTTCATGTTTGTTTAAATTGAGGTACATTATAGCCTCGTTACTATTAATTTCAATTGATTTAAAAAATCAAAACCCGAGTTAGGATCGCGTCAAATGGAAATCCAAAATATCTCCCTTAACCCAAGGCTCTAAGGTTCAGTTTTGAGTGCAAATTTTTTTATTACCCGTTACTAAATCATCGTCCACAGGTCGCCTAATTTAATAAGAAATTTATAGATTCAGTATAATTAAATTACTATGTACTGTTTAGTGTGATATATTTTTTATTGTCTCAAATTGAAATAAACCTTTGAAAATTTAACGCCTAACAATTGTTTTGGAGCAATTTATCAGTGCTAACATTAAAATCATCAATAAGCTAATTAATGAATACTACTGCAATCATGATAAAATATATGAAAACACTGAGCAAAACATAACATTTTAAAGTTACTTACAGCATTAACAAAGTGAACGCAAATCAGAATTGCGATGAAAAAAGATAACATAATCGGAAAATATTTCATCTTTACTATAAACCCGTGTTCACTTTTGCTTCGCCGACTTTTTCCTACAGAATAACAAAGTGATTTTACTGCATATTAGATTTATCAACAGAGTATAAAAATTGTTGTGAAATTTTATGTAAAATTTCGCAAAATATCTGTAAACGAAATGTTTGTAAGTATTTTAAAACCAGATCACATAAAGTAACGTAAGAATTCAATATGTCTAAAACGTAATGTTCCGAACTTCAATAGAAAAGCAGTCATGTAATAAAAGTCTCATTTTTATTAATAGCTCTGGTACATCGAATAAATATTCTTTAATATATCTCTTAAACGAAAGTTTTTATAGGAAATTACATTTAACATATTCTTCTTACTGTTTTACTATTGTTACTAGTGTTGTTAATTTTCTATGTATGTCGTCTAAACCTATGATTTGGACAAAATACATGCCTGTTACTTATTGTATTGTGTAGAAATATGTGTTATAATCTTGTCCTATTGGTTCATCTCAACAAATAAATAAAAAATAAAATCAATAAGCAGAAAGGCGGAACTAACAGTCTTAGGTCGCCCTGTTCCAAATTATTAGCTCAATACAAATAAACTAAAAAAAAAGTCTTTCCCCAAAACAAACCTACTTTACCACACAGTAATTTAAGATACATTTTTGACTCAGTCCGCGCGGAATTAAGATCCTAAGTAGCCTATATTCTTAATTTATGCTAGATTTCATTAAAATCCTTTAAGCCGTTTATAAGATACGTAGTTGCAAACATTTAATTTAACCCGCCATTCTTCCAACCTGCTCTGTACCTCGCATTCATCCTCCCCGACAAGCACGATGTCATCGGCATAAAGCATACACCAGGGTGCCTCCTCCTGTATGTTTAATGTCAAAGCATCCATTACCAGGAGGAATAGATACCGGCTTAAACCCACCGAGACACCGAACCAGTCTGTCAGTTTGTCGTATATTAGTAAGATATGAAGTCTAATTTTCACAAAATGGCACCGAAACCATTGAAAAATATCGTGTTTTATAGTGATTTTTCATTCAAAGTTATAGGAGTAATAAAAAAATTATTCTTAGTAAAAAATGTTATTAATATTAAGACTTAGTTTTTAAAATCTTGGATATCTCGCAGGTATATAGTTGACTGGGATGCAAGTCGTGAAAGTTCTTATTTCTTTCATTGAGTTGCTCGGCGGTATAAGGCATGTCTTGAAACATTCATCACGTGTTTGAAAGTTATTCTGATTTCCTCCACAGCCTGAGTACAAATATCTCTTACAAGTCCTGGAACAGATCAAGGAATCTTTATATTTTAGTAGCCACCTACTAGACATAAAAAAACACAAATTAAGATAGCTCACTAACAATTAAGATCGCTCTATAAATGGACAGGTTATAAACTTTTATGGGTCTATTTGATTTTCATCAGTTTGACGCTGACTGTTGCGTACTGTCGAAGTAAAGAGTTTTAGAACTAATGATATAGACTTAACTACAACTAGCATCAAAAAGCGCGTTCATGTCGAAATAAAGCTAAAGCTGTAATTTCCAATCACCTATCTATTTATACATGTCTATGACTGTATCTGTAATTATTGATTTTTGTAATTTTTTTCTTTTATGCCAATTTCTGTGTTCTATTTTCTGATAGCAATAAATAGCAACACCACTCTCACAGGTACTCACTAGATATCCTTTTTTGACTATATCTTTATAAAAGGCATATTAAAAAATAAAACAATAACGAACTCTTACTTTGTCATCTTGTCCCAACCCCAGCGGAAGTAATGACCAAAGCAGGTTCCATAGTCAAACAAAACCGAGCAAAAGAATGGTATGTGTGCTGAAAACAAACAAATAACAATATTACTTAAGTTATATCTGAGATAGGCAAAAAAAGAATCTTACTAAAAAGCAAGTTAATACTGCTTAAGGAACCCTGAAATTTATAAGATGGTTGTTGATAAGAGCCATAAAACAGTTACTTTAGACTAAATTTACTTTAATATGCCAAATTGATCCTCCAAGTTCTCAGAAATCTCTTAAGATGAAACTATTTGTCTGACTATCTATTTTATTTACCTGTATGTTCTGTGATATTGAGTTTACAATAGTCTTTGCAATCTTCGTGAGTTTCAAATCTGTTGCCGTTGCCTTGACAACCGCCCCAGAAGAACCGAAAGCATCTGCCTTGCTTCACATCATAATACCATTGTATTAAGTCAGCTCTGCATGGTCCTGTGTCCGGTCTTAGGAAACATGATTTGTGTCTTGCTGGAAAATAAAATTATACAAGCATAAGGTTTAATTTACATTTACTTATTAGACATTGTACATGCAACTGTCACATTGTTATAAAAACCACAATATAAGGTGTTTTGCAAAAAATCTGTCTGAATATTTTCAACTAAAACTTTCATTTTATACTTTATTACCATAGCCACTTATACCACCCGAGGGATGCTAGAATGGGTCACTAGTCTATAAAAATATGGTATACTAGCTGTTCCTCTCAACATCGCCCATGTGAAATTAATAAAATAATCACAGCCTATGTTACTCTCAGATAAATTACCTTTCTAATGGTGATAGATTTTTTTTTAACAGCCCATTAGTTTTTTACATGAATTGAATACATACAAAAATTAAAAAATACAAATCTTTCCTCTTTATAATTTACAATTACATTATACTTTATGTGGTATTGTAAGTAGTTTGTAATTTGGCACCTTTTAATGTGTCATCAATTTGCATGCAAATACTTCTTGTGGGGCCGGAGAAGACTCTGTATTTTGTTGTCTTCACAGTGCGGCCTTCTGAACTTTTCGTACATCTGTAACAATGTACATTAAAAATAATTACTAATAGTACACATTTCAACCATCCATTTAATATTTCCATACTTCAAGAAACTAACATAACTAAAGTTTTTATTGGAAACTGTTATTGTTTGGCAGCAATAAAAAAAAGTATAAAAAGATTTATTAAATAAAATATTAACTACATACATTTGACATAAAAACAATTTCCTTTCTTGTTTTCAGAATCATACAAACAGTAATAGATATATTAAAATCATACCTTAAAAAAAACACCAATTATTTCTATTTCAAACATAAGTTCCAAAATCCCACTGCTTGTATGGCATCCATTTGTGTTTCTTTTTCATTGTACATTTTTATAACGCTTTCAATCGATGACTGTAATTAATGAAATATATATTATGAACATCTTCATCTAAAAAACAATTTCATTTACATATTTTTACAGATAATACGATATAATTATCATTAGTTTTATATAGATCAATCAAAAGTAAAATATGTATTACCTGAAAAGTCAGTATACTTTCTTGTCATTGTTTGTGATAAGAAAGTGTTTGTTGGTTTCTAAACATTTTACTTAGAATAGAATAGGTTATATTGTGTACGTGCTAGACGTTAAATTAACTCTGTACCTGTTCAGATCAGTTCATATAGCCCTTGACTATTAAGCGACAGCTCAACGACTAAATTTGATAATTTCACAACACAAAGCTAAAATTGATGAACTATAACCATGAGGGCCGACGAGTTACAAACTGTAGTGTTGCAGCTCACGTAGATCGTATTTCAATGCTAGTCCATATTGAGTTGAACGGGTTCACTGATCTTTTTCACCCATTTGAGCCGTGAGCTGATTTGCAGGTCATCTTTGCAGTTGAGTCATTACTAGTACGCGGTACTTGACATGACATCTGTCAGGGAGACAAATTGTTGTTGACTGTTGATCACAGATAAATTAAGGTTATCAGTAGCAGCTATCGTCACAGATTGATAGTGTACACCAATTCGAATAAGTTTCAAAATTGATTTAACCCTATTTTACTTACCTATTTAACTGTTCTTAATAATATTACTTTAATGTACTCGCCTGAAATAAGAAAGAGAGCACTAAAATTAAGAAAGGCAGTAATAAAATGTGTTTAAATAAACGCAACTGTAAATTAATTGTTTAGAAAATAATGATCTAGAAGTAGAACTTGTTTTACATTATAAGAAGAATTCCATATATTTTATTCCAGAAAAAAGAATCATTCAATAGAATGCATCAGTATCGACACTGCGCTAGAGCTACAGCTGGCTACAGCACTATTTTAAACTGCATAGTGACGGACGAAACAAAAAGCTGTACGGTGGGCGGGGTGCGTGTGCGCTTTTTGCTTGTGGCAAGGCAACCCGGCACGGTGCCGCACCGGGACCTATTCCTTATTGTATTTTATTCGATTCATAACGTTGTTTCCTTTCTAACGTCTCAGCGACAATTTATAAATTACTTTATAACTTTTTATTACAAACGTTTGTTAGAGTTCTCGAGTAAAATGCCGATATGCTGTTAAAAAAGTTTTTAACACCTAGTTTTGTTGTTAGCTGTTTTGTTTTGCTCTGTGAACGTGTTTTGTAAATAAAAGTTTTAACTAAATTAAGTTAATACTTTGTAAAATATTAAAACTTAACGTACATTATGACTAAATATGAATTAGTGTTTCATTTATTTATTTTTAATATCATTTATTATGTTACTGGAGCCGCTACTGAAATAAAGGTAATAATTTTTTAATATTTCGTAAATAGATTATTGTGTTTGTTACTTAATTTCTCATTCAAATTAAAAAATAACTAAACGTTACATTTAATTCTACTGAATAATTACAAATAAGATTAAACATTCAGTATGTACACATATTAAGATTTAAGATATATTAATACTTATATCAACACGAACCAAGAAAAAAAAATTAAAGTAATTGTGAATTTTTATGTCGATAAATATGAAATACTGTTATTCCGCTGTGTGTATTAATTTGTGTCGAAAATTTTTAGAATAGGTTTTTAATTTTTTTATTTGCACCTGCCTTTTTAATATATCTATTTGCCGTAGATTTTTTTCTCATTTATCTTAATAATTACTTGTGCCAGTATTAATCGTTTGTTACAAAAAATAAATTCATGACAAATTAATTAACATGAAATTGAATTAATTTAATTTAGCACCGTAACCTATATCTAGTTTTGTTTTTTTAATTATAGTCAGTCAGTAAAGCTTTACTAGGATTCAACAACTACTTTTACGTTATCGTTAAAGGCACTTAAGGTTTCATGTATTACATTTTAATATTATTCTAAAAAATCGATAGAGAATCTCGCTTATTGTCGTTGGAACTGATTTTATTTATGACCTATTTATTACTTTTATATAGTTTTTATAAACTAAGACAATGGTTCACATAACGAGAACTCTAAAAAGTCATATTCATTTAATTACTAACATACTCTTTACCTTTTCTTATTTTTATCACATTCTCTTTAATGTGTAGTTTAAGTTAAAATTTGAGTGTCCCAAATCAGTTAATCGCAGTAGAAATGGTTCTGTGTTAAAATTAATAGTAATATTTACTCTACTTTGTAATTACTGTGTCATTTTATGACGGAGCATTTAGGGAATTGTAACTTTCGTATCACTTTTTGTCACATCCGCTAAGATGTTTGGCTGCCAAAACTGGTTTACTGAAGAGGCACGCTGTGTAAGTTTGCCTGCATCCCAGCTACAGACTGATGCGAAATTGTTATTTACAACTGACAATCTACCCTCCTCGGTACTTTCTTTAATCAAATCTAATAGATTAATAATGTCGAAAGAATAGCCGGGAATTAATCGCCTACGTATCGATGTCGGTTAACGGAAACAGCCGTTTAATCTCGAAACGTATAAAGAAAGTGACGAGAAGATGCACCTATAAATCAGACGAAACAGGAAATATCTTCCCACGCATAAACAATTTAAAAGACGACATCGATAGGGACAAAAAGAAAAACAATTTATTTACAATTCTGTTGAACGGGTATCCATGTGGTCTCATCTTACATTATCTATATTAGTATAATATTATAAAATAACACAACAACTACTGGGGCCGATTTCAAAATATATTTTACCAAAGTTACGTTATCGGTGAGTAACATAGGCTACATTTTTTTTTAATTTCACGCGGGCGAAGTCGCGTGCAACAGCTAATAGGTAGATAAATAACGTATTACGTAACCACAAATAGATCACTCCAAAAATAGACGAAATGCATCCAAGAACATTAATGGCCATATTATTTAAATTTATGTTCATACGAAACGTTTCGACGCGCGACCATTTTGTTTGTATTCCCCTTTTAGGGATTGTTTGACAATAGAATATTTATTTAAGTGTCTTTCTATCAAAACAATTATTCACGATCACGACGTTGCCTAAATTCTTTGTTGTTTGTGACTTCTCTCCATTCGACTTCAGTATACGTACAACGTAAGGAGTGCGCTACAACGTCGCAAAATGTCCTGTTCCTTAAGTTATGTTTCATAGAGTTTACATTTGTATATTTAAACAATTTTCAAGGTTACAGTTTTTGATTTTTAATCACTTAACCCAATTCGTATTTCGTATTGATTTGTTTTTTTTTTCATAATTACTCTATCTAGGAGAAACTACATTTTCTGGCAAATGCAAAATCATGAAAAAGCCGTGTTCTTTAAAATGAGATTACTTCACAGAATTCATAATTATAGAATAAGTTGTTATTTTTAATACATACAAGGAAAAGTATTGTATAAATAATAAGCCGATAAGCGACTATACGTAGCTGGTTGATCTTTGAATGAAATGTAATGAAAATAATTTGAATATTATGTGATAGAAGCAAGGCCTGTTGCTGCCAAACGAAAATTGGCACCAAGTCACCAAGCAATCCCTTCACCGAGACATTGTCGCGGACTGAATTTTAATGGCTTATTAATACGACCACATTTGTTTAAGGAAAAATAATAAGTGCTTTACAATATCCTCGACGTCTATTGTTAAGTTCGATTGACTGGTAGTTATAAATTTATGTATATTTTGCGGGTTGGGATAAAAAAAATTTTGCAATTGTTTTTCTTCATTACAGTCGTGCATACTATTACTACTACTGTCGTGTATTACTACTGTCAAAACGCTGTCTTTTTCTCTTTGAAAATTTGAGACAAATGCAAGCTTATGTCCATAAATTTTGTCAGACAATGTTTATAAGACAGGATGTCTAGTATGGTGAGAATCAGAACTAATTGATTGAGGATACCGCAATGCGCATACCAAAAGTCGGGAAGGTAGATAGCATTCTTCACTTGGTTTATTTCTCCGTTTGTACCACTTCTAAACGTAATAACGCAAACTAAATACATAATACTTGTCTTTAGTGTTCTCTACCATGATACTCTCATGTTATATACGATATATTGGTCGATACCTAGCCTCAGGTTTGCCTGCATCGTCGTATATTAACAGTAGTAAAATTATAATTAGCAATTTCATTACTGCTGGCGCCTGAGTCGATTTCTTGAGTTTTATTGAGCTATGAAACTAGGACTAAGAGCTACTGCTACATTTTCATGTATGATATAATAGTCGGGCAAATTAAATTTTCGTAATTAATATAACTCGACTGTTGTTTATGAAGTAGAGGAAACAAAATCTTTAGAATTAGCGCAGCAACAAAAGAAAAATGATACATATACTTAAAACTGTGAATCTCAAATAACAGTGAAATTTCTTTTAACAGAATACCCAAAACAGCGTGACATGTGCAACCCGATTCGCGTCCTGCGAAACGAACACGGGAAGTTCACAGCAGCCGGTGTGCGGTACCGACGGTCGGAACTATCCTACCAAATGTCACCTGTTAAGAGCCCAATGCTCTGGTGAACCGATATCTATCGCACATAAAGGACCATGTGTTGGTGAGTTCTTTAATATTTAAATCTTTTTTAATATGTTTCTTGTTTCATCATCGTCCTGCCTATATTGCTACCGAAGGTTGGCATGTGCTACTCTTCTATACATCTCTTTCAGCCATCATCTGAATTCACACTTTTCGTACGCATAACTAACATGTTTATTATTTTTCACTTCTTGTTTCAATTGACAAATTTTAACTGAATTTAAATGTCATTCTTTATTTGTTTTGGAATTGACGCAAGTATAACCCAAAACTCTTCAATCGCTGTTCGTTGATGTAGAAAGTGCCTACGTGCATTTGTTGATCGACAATAATTTCTAATTCATGTTACGGTAAAGTGACCTAATGCATTATCATCTTCCTCTATCCCATTCATGTAGGGTCGGCAAATACATATTTTGTACATGTGAAATATTTTATTTATTTATTTATTTATTTATTTTTAAATCGTGTAAAATTAAATACACATAATTACAATATATACAATGAACAATAATAACATGTATTCTTAAACAAAACAAGACCTAACGCAGGGTATGTTAGGTCATGTTACGTTAGGTACGTGTCCGCGCAGCCAATGCCTCGTGATCGGGCAGTCGGGCTTATCACTTAGCCCTCTTAGGATGCTGTTGGTGCTCTCCCGGACTCTGCGTAAAAGAGAAGCCGTCCGTTTGCGCAGTATGGCATTAAAGCCGTCAAAAAAATTTTAAACAGTCTATATTTCTTTAGACTGACGAAGTTCACGACCTGCTGGAAACATGATTATAACTAACTCTACATTAAAGTGCATAATATCTAGTTATTTAGTTTTTATCTATATCATATGCGCTATCAAGTTGAACTGAATTACTTGAATAACTTTATTTGTCTTGTTCTTGTCCTTGTACATGTCTATGCTCTACTCTAAGGAATAGGAAGTTTTAACCCGTTTTATCTAATCAATGAATGGCGCTTTGTTTTTGGTATCTCTACAACTAATGCATTGTGAACCACCTATGTTCTTTATAACGAGTAAGTCAACAGAAATGAGTTAACGGTACAAAAATAGCTCATGTTTTTAGAAAGAAATAAACGTATGGGTTTTATAAATATAGGCTTACTTTATCTAATCAAGAAAACACTTTTAATTACCTAATAAATATAATTTTTAATTAATCATAAAAAAATTCATAACCATTACTAATTTTTATTTTGTAATTACAATTCTTTATTCTAATTTTATTGATCAATTTACATGTTTAAGTGATGATAATTCATAATTTAATTTAAATTATCTTTATTACAAAATTCTACACGTTTTTACATTCAGTACACGAGACTTATTTTTTTCGATCGAAATAAGCTAACCTTTCCAAGCTGATTATCTCTGAGAACCCTATTTATTATGGATTGACATATAAACAGCACCGTTTTTTAGAAAAAAGCTTGTAAATCTATAAACAGTTTGCTTGATAATTAGTATAACATGCGGACCATAGATATTTATACACACCTTATACGATTTGATCCATATATGGTGACTAGAGACGACTTGGTACCGATGACGTCGAAGATAACAAGCATCGCTATCAGTAATTGTCTGAAAAGAAACACAAATCAATAGCCATATTTATTTTGCACCCTGTGGACTTTTCAACCTTATCTGGTAAATCTAATAAATAATTAATTAATCATCCTTTATCCCTGGAGAACCCTGAATGTTCTTGTCCACAGTCATATTACGAATCGTATGACAGTCTTCAAACTTGCTTCAGACTTCTGCCTTCTCTGATTTCTTCAGAAGGTTACAATGTAAAGGACTTAGGTGTATACATTATCATCTTGTACCTATGATTAGTTTCATCTTTGTTCTACAAACGTATAATTTATTTATAATTCATTACATTTATTAATAAGCGTGTTATTAGTTATGAAATAAAATTATTACGCGTGGCTTGATATTACGCGGGACAAGTTTGCTTGTAGCAAAAGTGTGGTAAATTTGTTTTGCAACGAAGCTGCGAAGCAATTCATTACTATGTTATTAAAATGTATGAGATACGTATGGTGACTGTTTTAAAAGTATCGAGGAATAGATACTATTTTTTTCCAAATCAAATGATATGCGGTTTAATAATTTCATCAATTTACGCAAATCATTTTTTAAAGGAAAACCAACAATGGATTTTCTAGGATTTTACAAAATTGTACATATATACTCTTGATCGTGTAGTTGTAGTGGTTTTGTATTGTAACAGGTCAGTCAACATGTCTGATAGTTCAGCGGTACGCGCTAAGCGCTCAAGGCGGACGACGGGCTGCGTTCGTGCCTCGCTGCCGTGCCGACGGCACCTACGCGTCGGTGCAGTGTGCGGCCGCCGGCGCTGCCGCGGGCTGTTGGTGTGTCACTCCTGAGGGAAAGCCTCTCCCCGACACAGCCGTCAGAAACGGTAGACCAGACTGCACAAGAACCGGTGAGTAACTTTGATGGGCCCTGCGATGCGATAAACGTAATTCCTTCACTGATTTACTTTGCCGCGCGAGCTGACTTGTTTGCAAGATGCACACGATATCACTTGTATGTTAATTGCTTTAATTGAAAATGTAGTCCGCAGATAGAAACAATACAGCGCGACTGTGTGCCTTATCTTATTGTAATAAGGTTATTTTTTTTAGAATCAACAGTCGCTTCGACAAACAATGTTTTCAGCGTGAGATATTTGCTAAGATTTCTATTTACATTGCATTTGTTTGTTAAGGATATTGTCTGCTTTGTTAAATTTAGATTATTTGTGGAAAAGTACATATAAACTTAAGTATTCTATCTTTGATTTTTGAAAGGATTAAAATTCAATCACAATGTAGTAAAAAACATGCTGAATACTCGTATTATGTAAAGACCTGATTAATAAGTACTTTACATTTCCTATTGAATTTGATCAAAAGTTTTGTATTTAGAAAATAGCCTAAACCTCACCTATGATATTGAACATCTGTTCCATTTAACGCGGTATTGTAAATAACGGTTTCGGGATAGTTGGTAAACATTGGAGCAGATGAAAGCTGTAGTTTACATTACACTGCTTGCGCTCTCAGAATATCGTATACCTACAGTACGATTAATATGATCTCTTCGGAGATATCGTGATAAGAATGATGTGTGAATGAACGTGATGCAAGGGGGACAAATGGCACATATAAAAACATGCAATGGTAATATCGCTTACCAAATTACTCGAAATTTCAAAATTTTGGTAGTATACTGATATACTCGAAAATATGTAGAATCTATTTGTTATTACACACTAGAGCGTTACCAAATGTCTGCATAATGTTTTCTAGAAACGTAAAGTATTCGACTGGTTGTGATATTAAACAGAACTAAAGAGTTTGATGATTAATCTTTTAAAGTAAATTGTTTCCAATACTCATAAATTCTGCGTCTACATAAATTGGTAAAAACAGATTTTGTTATAAGATTATTAAAAAACGTTGCTGCATCAACTCGGAATGATGAAAGCTGTAAAAATTGATCGAAGACGCAGATATTTATAACAATAATGTTATATTCTTAAAGTATGAAAGATTAGTATTTATCTATCTGGATTTCTGCAATCCGTCTGCCCATTTCAGTCTAGCCTATTTTAACTAAAAGATGCAAGAGCTCGCTTTTTTATAGCTCAGCGTCTTCATTTATATGTTTATTTTATACGCATCGTCTTGGCAGTAACTAATTACAACTGCATCTTTGTTAGTGGTAATACATTGCTTAAACGAACAAATTTTATAGAAAATTTATCACTTTAAGATAAACATTCTGTCTATATTGTATGAAATCATTTGATCATGATCATGACAAAAAAGTTTCCGACACTTTTTAATGTTTTGATTAAAGAATCGTTTTATTTTAATTTCACTTTCAAAATATTAAGTTTGTACGCAAGATATAAAACGGTCAGGGGCTTACAAAGGCGGAAGACTCCAATCCCGACTTGTTTACTAGGCAGGTACCTATTATCTTATTAAAGGACATTGATGCAAACGGGAAGATGCGACGTATTGTGATGCTATGTTATTGTCCTCATGGGTGACATGTCATATTACAAAGAAACAACATTGCATTCGTCTAAAGATTACTTATACAAGTGAGCACCACGCTTAAGATAATATAAACATTTGTGTATACGAAAATAAACTTAAAGTATACCAGTTTTAAGATAGTCTTTAGATTGAGTTTGCACTAACAATCTACGACTGTCTTTGTTTACACAAACCCTTACGACAACCTACATGCGCCTGAAAAACTGAGTCAAAGTATTATTTGTTCGTGTCAAGTGTGTATTTATATACATATAGTGTTCAGACTTAGCCGAGTTTCGTCTGCAACACGCTAATAAATTCGGAAAATACTACTACTACTACTAGCTACTCATGAAATAAAATCACTATTACTATGAATGTAATGTAATAACGAAGTATGTTTAATTACGACTAATCTAGGTCCACTCTAGTCTAGTGTCTCTGTTCCATACAGGTTATCTGGAATTGATCGCCGCTGGTCTAACCTTGTCTAGCTTTAGTTTAGTTTTAGTTTAAATTTTTAAATAACTATGACGACCATTCGGAACATATGTAGTTATGTCGTGTGTTCGTCTGTGACGAATTGGGCAATAATCACGGACGGAAACGAGAAGGAAGTCGGGCACGAGACGTTACAACGAAATGAGTCAACTTCAATAAAGATTGTGTGCTGTGAATTTCCACTGCCGAAACATCCAGACATCAAGTGACAGTTATCTCAGTTCGTTTTATAGATGCAGGGAGAGATGACTATATGTTTTAGCACGAATGTTTCTACAATGCGTACTCACCAGGCCATCCTGGTCATCACGACGAAGTCATTATGAAGATTAATTCGAAGAATATTATCACTGACTTTAAGATAACTGATTAGGATGGAGCAGTGACCTAAAGCCAAATTGCCTGGCATTACAAAACAAACGGCTGCTAGAAACGGATCCAGGATATTATAAAAATATTTTACATAGATGAAGTACTCGCACAAATTTGTCTACCATTAGCAACTTACAGTTGACTTACAAAATACATTAATTACCAAATAATTTATTATTATATCATTAGGCTCCTCAGACAAAGCACAAAAGAATGATTGTAATTAAAACAATTGATTTTTTTAAGTGAATGAGTGGTTCAAACTTTTGTAAAGAAACGTATCTAATCTTACGAATTGCAAGCTGTTCAATAAATATGAACCTTCCTCTTTACAAAAGTGAAGTCAAATCTAACATTACGAAACACAGATCCGGTCTTACACTCTTGTTCGCAATAGATGAAATAAAATGTAAACTCCGTTAGATTTTATCATTTAAAATTTACAACCTATGTTCAAATATAATGCCACATCGAAATTACATAAAAAGTTATTGCAGTACTAAAATTTTAATTGGTCTTAGAACATCGTGTTAGTGTTGTCTCGCGCGCCAATCAAACAGGATGTGCCGCATTCTAGAATTGTAGTTGAATCACAACGAACGCATAAAAATACCAGAATCCGATTTTATTGAATGTTCAGTTATGAAAGAAAGGCTTCTAGTGCTGTACGGAGTCGTCTGGATTAGTTGCAATCCATACTTACATGTAAAAATGCATATTTGAATCTTTGTCCTCTATACGTCCCGAAAAAGTCTAAAAATCTAAATCTTTTTCGGTTATATCGAATTTTTTGATTGCTTCGATATTATTTTTACATTTATTGCCTGACACTGCCAGGAATGGTGGGTTCAGATAGTTGAAAATAGGAGATCCTATCATCATCATCTACCGTCCTTATCCTACTTCCGTAGTGTCGGCGCATCAGGTTTTTGTCCTCCTGGTAATTTATCTTCCGTCAAATCTATCGTCACTTCCTTTTTGATCGTGTCACCTTTCACGAAAAACATCCATCTCTTTCTAGGCCTACTTCTCTCGTACCCCGCTACAATCATAACTAAGGTTCTCCTTACGCCAACCTTTTACTCCTTAATTTTCTTTAGTATTAAAGATCTTCTAGTGTAAAAAATTCTATTCACGAAGTTTTTAGTTTATTAGTCAACTTGCCAGACACGCAAACCTAGCGAGTTGAATTTGTTTTATACTACGCTGCGGTGTTTAATTTTTTTTTTCGATTCGAAAATAAACTCAGGTAAAAACTGGAGTGACTAATCTATCGAAACACGATTCGATTTTGCACTCATTTCTTTAGGGGAACTTCGATTCAATCCACTCATAATACTCCGAAGAATTACTAATAGACAAACAGTTTTTTAGTGTTTGGAGATGATGAAAAATAAATCAAATATCGATTGTGAAAGTAATAACGTTAAATCATTTAAAAAACAGTTATTTGTTAAAAAAGTACAATAAAAAGACGGCGAGAGTAAAATTGATATCCTTACAAAAAAACACATTCGAATATAACACGCAATTTAAAACTCTCTAAGCCAGCCTTAAAATATAATCGGATTAAAATCGAATTAACGTCTCGAAGTGGCAGCTTTCCGTTTCTAAAGACAACGTTGTATTCTATAAAAGGACAAAGATTATCTTCTTTTTGAGATTCGCAAACGACCGCAATTAACTGTCTGACACGCAGAGCCGTTTTACGCGGCGCAGACGCCTTCAATGTTACTACAATCAATTCGCTTTTAAGAACTTGATAAGAATTACGTCATCGCACAATAAATCTCTCTTAAAAATAAAAATCGTAAAAACATTTCTGTATTATTTACTCATAAAATTAGAGTAAAACAGGAATTAGGCGATTTCGGAAAGCAATTAAAAAAATGTCTTGAGAAATACGTTACAAAGACATTAACATTGGATTTAACTAAGTGCAAATGGACAAAAAAAAATTCGTCGAATTGTAATAACTGAATAGATTCATAATTTTCAAACGAAATATGCGTGTCGTTATAAACGTGAGACGGTTTATAATCATTTCTGTTTTCATGCACTACAAATTATAATCACTGATTAGGTTTCACTTTTTAGTAACGATACACGACATAATTAGAGAACACTAATATATCATTTTCAAACCATTAGTGTTTAAAATTATAAAAAAAAAATCCTTACTTATTGTATGACAACTACGGACTACGAAATAAAGCCGTAGATTCGAACCCCCATTCGATTACTGATCTTAATAAACTTCACATACACTCACTTTAAATTGTTAATAAAAATAATATTAAGCTATTTATACAATGAGGTAAAAAGATTCGATTAGTTATTTGTTAAAAAAAAAAAACTACTGAACCTACGTTAAGTAAATATATTTAGTATTAAATCGACAAACGCTTATTAAAGTTAATTTTATTGTCTACCGTTGAATATTGTTAATGTTTCCCGCTTTGAATTCCTAATAGAGGTTCGCCGGCTCTGAGGTGCATCCATAATAAATGTGGATAATAATGAAATCCATACGCACCTAAGTGCAATATGAAATAACGCCATAAACAATTGTTCTCGGAATGTTCGTCTCATGTTTTTTTATTGTCTACGGCACTTTCGTATTCCATTGAAGTAGAACATTCCTTAGCTTTGCGACTTATCTATTTTATAAACTCACATAGTTAGTACTTAATAATTTAGTAATCATATAAATTCATACAAAATGTTATTTGATATGAATCCTTTCCGCACATATCTACCAGATACAAATATCACTAAATGAGTACTTTATTATTATGTAGAAGAAACATAGGATATGCTTTTGCTGTTTTTATTGACATTTGATGCAGGAAACAACCTGCAAATGCATTTTATAGTGAAAAACTAAAACTTTTGAACCAAATGACAGATCCTAACGGACTATTATACGAACACCATTCACAAACCATCAAAAACGTCTATACTATTTTAACAAATTGTAATCCGTTCTCTCAATTCATGGCGTTAAAGACATTAAAACCCGCTTAGATGGCGCGCGCGTGAATCTGTTTTAGAACGCATTCGTGTGCTATGGTGTGTCTGGTTGACTTTCTCGGAAACAGCGGATCGTAGGAGTCAGACAGCTCGACGCCGGATCACAATGGTGTCCAGTTTTTTGTCTATGTAACAACGCGAAGCGTACCCGCCGTGTCAAGAGGCGATAGAAAAAAAAACACCCAGACACCATTTAATAGCGTTGTCAGGATAGTTCGCTGCACCTTTGATGTTTTATATTTAGCTTAGGTACCTGCTTGTGCCACATAATCATCTTGTTAAGGCAGAGTTACAGGTTACGCGGATCGTTTTTCGGCAACGAAATTGGAACGCTCGTGTTTCGAAATCTTTTTCGAATAACCTGTAATAGTTTTAGGTTAACGTTTATTTTCTTGTTATCCATATATTTTTATTTTGATATTGTTATAGTCAATGTAGTGATGAATAAAAAATGTAGTAAATCACTATACTGATTTTCTTTTAATTTACGAATACTCCTCGTTTCGGTTGCCTTTGACTGGAAAGCACAAGCTTTATCTAGATTTTAATATTTTCGCATTTTAAACTTGAAGCATATAAATCTTTTGTAATTGCACTGATCGTTTAAATGGTAGAGATATTAAAATCATTCAAAGATTATTTAAATTGGTTTGGAAGAGACGTGATAAAATTATATCTGAATTTAATTAATGTTAAAACGACACATTTAGAGATTTTATCTTTACCTTAAAGTTGCCGTCACGGTATAACATCGCTTGTATTAGTAATTTATTTCAACAAATTAAATCAAGACTTCGTGGAAACCACTTCGCAAAGCGCTATATTGCGCCCAACGTTTATAATCATTTTATATAGATCAATTTATAGTAAAAACCATTTATGCCAGTAAATCATGCGATTTATAACCGTTGTCAAACTTTTTAAAAATCAGTTCACTGAATCTTAGTTCTACAACATTTAATGGGGGCTTATTGAAACCAATAATATTTTCTATTTTACTAATAATGTTCTCATAAAATAAGTGATAAAATCTGAAAAATAATCAGTGATAGCACATATCTTAGACCTTTCACTATTCGGTTCGAATCCGAATATAATATTTAAAACTAGCTTTCGCCCGGGACTCCATACGTGTGATTTTTATAACATTACGCATTGCTGGATAGTTATTTTATTCTTAGTTTCTTGTGATATGTTACTTTAAATGTGATTTAAGTAATACATTTAATTATCTTGTTATAACCTATACGTATCAAAATGGTTTATTTTTTTATCTTTGTAATTGCCAGTATTTTTTTGTTTATAGGTTTTTATGTTTCCACCAAAGGTCACATCACTAGACCGGTTGAGTAGACTGCTCCCCTCACTCCTCGCATCCCACACGCCCTTAAGGATACAGTAACCATGCGGCTTGCGTCAAATTACTCTATCTCTAAGATGAACCATTATAACACCATTATACTAATAGCCAATCCCCATAATCGATCTCGAATCATTGTTGTCTAAGATGTTTTTAATCTCTACACGTTTAACCAATTGCACAGCACTATGTGATATGTATGTTAGTATATCTTACTAATAATATAAATGCGAAAGTTTAGATGGATGAATGGATGTTTGTTAGCGTTTGTAGCCTAAACGGCTGAATGGATCTCCATGAAATTTGGCTCAGGTTTAGAGCATAGTCTGGAAGAACACATAGGCTACTCTTTATCCCGGGAAGAGTTACGGTTCCCGTGGGATTCATTAATTTAGTTTTTTAATGTTCACTCGATCATTCTGCAACGGTTCAACATATCTTATTGAAATTTGGCACAGATGTAAAACAAAGTCTGGAGTACACATGAGATAAGCTTCATCCCAGAGAAATGTCCGGTTCCCGAGGAATACGTAGCTTTTTGTAATTTATATAGTTCGTATGTTTTCTAATACCACGCGGACGTAGTCGCGGGCAACAGCTCGTATCTTTATAATATTCAAATATACGACCTCTTGACTAAAAGGGTCAAAATGAACACAATCAAGACTAGGTGGTATATCTATAAATTTTAGTTACAATATCTGCAATGTTTAAATTAGCATAAGTCAAAGCGCACAAAGTAATTAACATGAGCAATTGCCTTAATAAACAAGCTATACGTCATTAATTAGTCATTTTATCTGTCATTTTTTTAACAAATTCTCATTAATTTTAAAAGATTTACGTTGTAGGATCCAAATTATCGGAGGTATTATTTCGATATTACTCATGAAAGACTTAATGCATTGTTTACATAACATTTATCTGTTAGTAAAACACAGTAGCATATAACAAAACACTAACCAAGTTCTCAATTCTTTGATAAATGTGGAGAAGAAAATAAGTCGCAAGCCATTAAAATTAATGTGTTTATTCAAGCTCGTCTGGCCCTTGGCGAAGTACCTTTTAATTTGCATGTGGTGAACGAAAGGAGTCACGTTGCCCGCCCCTCGCTAACGATTTATCAATTCCGATAATAATAAGCTGCGAGTAAAGATTTATTGCGTGTCGTACCTTAGAGATATCTCGCTAAAACATTCCAGCTCGGGTTCCTAGATATGTGTTGATTTAAGTGCCCAGCTATCATAACCAACTGTCGCCCGCGACTGCGCCCGCAACACCGCTTACTACACTTATAAATAAACCATGGAAATAAATTGCACTCAGAGTCACGCAAACATATTACCAAATAACTTCGATACTAACCTCCTCTCTACAGAAATTAAAACAACATAATAATAAATTAGAACTATTTTATAGGCATTTTTGATAACCAGTTCATCCGTTCCACATTATTACGTAGTTATAACTTAAAATATAGGCAAATGTCTTAGTAAATAGTAGAATAAGCACTCATTAAATAGTTATTGTTATTGTAATCGATATGTAAGTATCTATTTTTATTAATATTACGATCTATTTTTATTAATATTACGACTGGCGTAAGACCTTTACGTTAGGTACCGGTATCTTCCTATCTCCTTCAACACTGTATAAATGAAAGATTTTATTATATAGTAAATTAAAATCGACGAAGCTCCAAGCAACGATTTACAACAGATTTGCATAGGTTCGGAGTTCGGACCAAAGCCCTGAAGCAACAAAAGGCCTGCATTAAAAAGATACTGAATTATAGCTTAGTTAAAATCATAACATAATACCAATTTAAAATATTCTTTAGAACAATTCTTAAACCATTTCAATTATCCATTGCAGGAACTACGTTGTTCGTTTTATTTGTTGACTTAAAATTTTGTCCTTGATACATTTTAATACGCATTTATTCTTTATTGACCTTCAGCGAATGATGTAAATGCAGACGCGTGCGCAAAAGCTTAAAAAGGTCCTTTATGTTTTATGTATAGAATGCAGTGCGTCGCCGTCGCTTTCCTGACGGTTCCACAAACAGACCGGACTTTTTACGTCTTATTTTTCGCAGGTAAATCACACACGAGGCGGCGCTCCTCAGTTCGGGGTCAACGTAACAAAAGAAGTAAGTTCTAACATGAATATATTTTGCGAACACTATTTTACATATTAAAGGGAACTCGTGTTAAAACTTATTGTTCCTATCTATTGTAGTCAAACAATATATTGTCGAACGATGATTGTATTCTTCAATATCACTAAACAATGTATTGTAAAGACATAATCTTATTTTAATCTATTTGTAATATTTAAGGATGTTCATTATGTTAGCGAAAATATATTTATAATTACGACAATGTTTCCATTGTTGTGAAGATTTAGATGTATTTCGACTCGTGGTTCACCTTTGCCATACAGATACCATCAGGTTACGACTACTTCCATCTTGTGCTAAAGCAAATAGTTATACTATACTAAATATACTATTCATACTACTAAATAATACTATACTTTTTTAATCATATAAACCCGTCGTAAAATTAAACATTACCTATCAAAATAGGTAAATGTTTACTTTAAGGATAATTTTATATAAAATTATTCGAATGAGAAATCAAAGCAATGTTCGATTTAATATCTGCAAGTTTTTGTTTATTTATTATATTAAATACGTACATAAATTAATGAATATACTGAACAACTTCCTGGGAGAAAACACGTCTGCACTTCATCTAGTAAAAAACCGTCAAGACAGTATGTAGCGCACTTATTACATCAGACATTTTTTATTTATGCAATTTATTATCTCGTCTGGGCTCCGATTGACAATTGCGTTTTTACTTATTGCTCGTTTGATTTATTGAGTTCAATTTACATTACTTGACGATAGTGCGCGTACATTGCCGCAGATAAGTTACATTCGCTGTTAAAATTAATCTATACTTCTATACTAACATTATAAAGACGAAAGATTTGTGTTTTTGGATTATCGTATGTATTCGATTCACGTAAACTGGGCCGATTTTAAAAATTCTTTCACCGTTAGAAAAGTGTTTTTTTTTTGTGTGAAACATAGGCTATATTTTTTTAATTATCTAGTATTTCATATTCTTGTTTTTATAAAGAACAATCAATAACTGATTTTAATAAATATTTGTTTAGGTTGCACCAGGATAGACCGCGTACAATTTAATGGGAACTTGATAAAGATATTCAGTGGTGAATATGAGAGAGTGCGTGCGGAAACTGGAAGTGCATCGTTGGAGCCGAGAGCTGTAGCTGAGTGGAAGTTTCGAGAACTCGACCGCGACAGAAGCGGAACCTTACAGAAGTCCGAATACAGGGGCTTACGTCGACTGATTAAAAAGGTTTGTTTTGTATTACCTGTATATATAAAATCTCGTGTCTTTACATGGGATATAGCTGTATGTAATTGTTTTCATTCATAAACCTTCTTTAGGCCATTCCCAATATGAAAAAAATAGAGATTGAAACAGGACGGAAATTTGGATTTTTACTTGTCCTGAATAGAAACCACGATATGTTTCTTACAGATTTGAAGTTTTAATTTTTTAAAGCAATATTTTATTTAAATAAAAATCACAGTTAACGATAACTGTATGAAACATTGTCATCATATTAAATACCCTGATTGGAATTCGAATGCTCTATTGAAGTTTGGTCTTTGAAACGAATTGATAAACGATATGTAAGAATTGATTAAATAAAATGTCCTTGTAAGACTTTTGAAATTCTGCTTAGCAATGTTTATTCCTTTATCCGTTTTGTTATGCGAATACTAATATATTAATACGATTAAAGTGCTGTTAATCATACTAATATTATAAATGCGAAAGTTTATATAGATGCATGGATGTTTGTTAGAGATTGTAGCAGAAACGGCTGAATGGAATTTGATATAAATGTAAGTAAATCAAATTTCATCAAAATTCATTCAGCATGTATGTAATAGTCTGTAAGAACACGTTGGGTTCGCTTTACTTTTTTATTTCTACAGCTAGTAAAACGATGTTTTTTGTAACATTGCAGGTGGTAAAACCGAAGCGTTGCGCACGCGCTTGGGCGCGCGGTTGCGACGGGGATGGTGACGGAGAGATCGCTCGTGCAGAATGGGCATCCTGTCTCCTCGCCAACCCTGACCCACCTGCACCGGATTGTGAGTACCACTATACTATCTGAACGTTACGAGGATATTTCATCCATTAATCTTTACAACTGAAAATAGGTAAACATTATACTCGCATATAAGTTACTAAAGAAAATTTGCAGTACCCAGAGTCACTGTATTGTCAATAAGTTACCTTACAGTAGCGTACGTAACGGCTTCATAAGTCAAAGATTTATTTTATTAAAAAATGTATATATGTAAATTAATCGATAACTTATTTCGATTTTATAACAATTTGATAATGTACTTGTGGTCGGAGCACAAACTAAAACATTCATTTTTTTCTTCATATTAATACAGATAATACATATTACACCAGTTTACGCTGGAATGTGGAGTATGACGAATCAGTGGCAACAAAAGATAAGAATATTACCACGTTATACTGCGGTCACCAACTTGTGGTCACTCCGAACTAAACATACATTTAGGGACATGGATTACGATTGAGTCAAACATACGAAATCTATTAATTTTATTTGTAGAGACTTTTTATGCATGCAAAGGTTATTTAAAAACCTTTATAAATAAACAATCCAAATGTATGCGCAAACATAATAATAATATATAGTCTCTCTCCGTTTCTTCATGTCGTTGAATGCAGACGACGACAGCGGGCCGGACCCTGAGGTCGATTACAACGAAGAGGAACCACCGCCGGACCCTAGCTCAGGTACACCAACCATAGAGTAACATAGCTCTATGATACATAGAGTATCATAGAGTATGCGTTCCAAAGACAATATAAATAAATTGCACGCAAAAGGCAATATCCTATATATTTTTATAGATAGATTTAATCGCTTTTTACTTTTGATAAGTCTGAGAACCAATGAAATACTTTGTGAAATCGAAGTGACATCTAAGCGAATTGCGACTACTGACGGTACAAGTCTCCGGCCAACGCCAGTTTCGTTTTAGTCGTACGTAAACGATCGTTGTTTTATTCTTTTTGTTTTTTACAGTTTATCGACAACTTGTCCCCGTCGTTTGGCTCTGGCCTACCCTAGGTTAGATGTGACCTGGGGTAAAGTCTAGTAGCACTAATCTACAGTTGATAAAATAAATAACAATGAATTTTTATCTTTTTTACAGTGTTGCCAGGAATTATGAAAAATTCTTTCGCACCTGATGGTTCCGATTCGGAGTCCCGACGTGAAGACGAGGCTAACGACTGTTTGACTGATCGACAAGCGGTATTGGAAGAACAGGTTCGAATTTCAATTTCTACCAATTCCTACTGATTACCGCCATTTTTATGTTTTCGTTTTTATAACCATTGCATATGCGACTAACACGCAACGCTATTTGTATTATTGCAGAGCGATTTTGCACTTGTTTTATTGTTTAAATGTCTATTTTGTTTTTGTTTTTATCAAAAGAGTTCAAAATTAACCGTGTTTACTTGATTTTAAATTAATATGCATTATTTTCTTTGACCTAAAGAACCTAGTAAAGGACTTTTTTTACCCGTTTCATCTAAAAATTTAGATAGTACGCTTATATCACACTTATCTTTATAAAAAAAATACGAAAAATTTCGCTGTCGCCCGCAAACTTCGTTAGCGCGGATTTAAAAAAATGTCATCTATGACATTCCCGCGTGCATCCTACCGGCTACCTTTCAAAGTCTCGTCTAAATCGGTCCAACCGTTCCAGAGATGGGGTTCCAGTCGCCATTTTGACATCGCGGAATTAAAAAAGTAGCCTATAATATTCCCGTCTCTGTCAGCTACCCTTCGGTGAAAGTTTGGTAGAAATCTGCCCAGTCGTTTCGGAGTACATCCGGAACAAACGGGGCTTGCGGACAAACAAACAAAATTTTTTTAACGCTTTTTTGTTATCAGCAACGCAAACAACTTCCCGAAATCTGGCATTTTTCACAAACAGACACTCCAATTTTATTATATGTATAGACTAGCTGCTAGCGACTCCGTTCGCGTGCAATTAAAAAAAAAGTGAGTAGCGTATGTGTTCTTCCAGACTATCCTCTACATCTATACCAAATTTCATCCAAATCAGTTAAGCAGTTTAGACTACAAACTCTAACAAACATCCATCCAAACTTTTGCATTTATATTAGTAAGATAAACGATGTATTTTGTATAGAAAAACGGCAGCGCAGTGCTTTACGTGCCGGAGTGTACCGGTGACGGTAGGTACGCTCGCGCACAGTGTTACCGCTCCACTGGTTATTGTTGGTGCGTACATCAAGACACCGGCAAACCAATACCCGGCTCGTCGGTTAAAGATCGCAAACCAGACTGCGATTCCGCACCACAACACGCCAGCCCAATGAGAGGTATATATGATACTATAATAATATAATAAAACTTTAATACACACTTCTTTCTTATAGCACTATCTGTTCTTCGCGACTTCCGCATGAAATTAAAAAAATTACGAAAAAACGTAGCCTATGTTAATCACTTGCTTTTTTTTAAATTTCATGCAGAAGTCATGGGAAAAAGTTATTAAAAGTTTAATATAGCGTAAACACACACTTCTTTGTTTTGTCAGCAATATAATAAGAGCTAATTTATAAAGTCTTTAGTATAATTTAGAGGGCCATATCACGTATATTATTTAGGTTTAACAGTGGTAGAGCCCGTTTTAACATCTTCGCACGAATAGGCCGGCTCGCCCGGTGTAATACCACGACCACACAGAAAACAGGCATGAAGTGGAAGCAATTCCGCGCACAGTCTGATGAGTGTGGTGCCGGAGGCCTAATTTTAATCTCTTTCCCTTTCCACCCTTTTTTTAAGAGGAAAGGATGGAAAGGAAAAGTGGATTTAACGGTGGAGGAGACACATAGGAAGGGGAAATATTCTCTTTATGTGCAGCTCCTCCTCCGTTAATGAAGGGTAGGCAACGCATCTACACTTGCGGATGTTTATGGGTAGCGGTCGCTTTTCATTTCGGTGTATTCAGATGGCCGCTTGCTCGTTTGCCACCTTATATTATATAAAAAAAAACAAATTAAATCACTATCACTCATAGCTGATGAAATATTTTCAGGATGTCCAGAGCCGATGAAGTCAATTTTTTTACGCGATCTCATGAACTTTTTCATCACAAAAATGACAGCTAGCAGTAACGGCACAGGTCCCGGGTACGTATAACAATTGGTTTTTAAAACACGTTTCAGATAAAATCAAAATTAGAAAGTAAATAATTTTTTCCAGTGATATGGTAAAATGGGGTGCTTCAAAAGAGGAACAAGCAGCTACTTGGACGTTTGTGATGTTAGACAAGGACAAGAATAAAGCGTTGGAGAGACGAGAATGGAAAGCATTCCATCAACTTATAACAAATGTGGAACAATTAAGGAGATGTGGAAGGAAATTGCCGAGATATTGCGACGTAAACCATGACACTAAAATAAGTATCACAGAATGGATGGCCTGCTTGGAAGTACTACAAGCGTCTCAAGGACATTCCAGTAAGAAAATAAATATCTATACTAATAAAATAAAGCACAAATACACTACTTCGTGGCGTAGGATGTCAGTAATCACAGCGTATTTTTTTAATAATTCTTTGTTGAATAAAAAGCCTAACACTTACGATACGCTATAGATTATATATATCATTTCCTCAAAGGCCGGCAACGCATCTGTAGTTCCTCTGGTGTTGCGGATATCCATGGGCGTCGTTGACCACCTCGGTGTTCTCGGTGCTCGTTTGCCCCCCTTTATTATAAAAAATATATATTTATATATGTATATATTTTCATTTAATTTAGGGGTGAATATTTTGGAAAATATGATATAACGATAAATGGAGATTCATTTGGATTTAGCCACACGTTAATACTACTATTTTATAAATATTATATGTTTTTAATGAAACTCCAAAAAATAATATAATTTAATGTGAATTATTTCGTTTGTCACATACTACAGGACCTATAATTGCATAATTATGTTTTCGATAAAGACTTAGGTAACTACTCAGTTCTCAATTAGTGAGGACCAACTAATTAAAAAATTAACTGAAGTAGTTTAGAGAAAAACCCGTGAGACTTAGGTATAGATTTTTTTCAACAAAAAACTTCATCAGAAAAAGAATGGATATATCTATATTAAAAAGTTGTTAAATTCGTTTCAAAAACAATATAATTGTAGAATCATGATAATAAATTTCATAAATTACCACATAAGTTTCATGTTACATTACAGTTAATTATTTTAAAATTACCTTTCAGCGGAATCTACAAAAATACCTCCCAATCCAAGAAGAAAAGGCCCAAATCCTTTGGAATCGATACTCAAGGCGGAAGATTAAGTTTTCAATATTTAAATATACAGCAGTGTGGCTATGATTATACCAGTGTGGTGGCTTTGTGAGTTAAACAAGTTAACTTGCTGCGGCTAACAGCCGGTTTCTGAAACACTTGTAACACACTATACTCAAATTAATTAATCAAAATATAAATAGTCCGACAGGCAGGACTCGGTGGGCAACTAATACTAAACTACAATATTTTATTGGACTATAGTCATTTGATTTTACGTGTCATTTACTTATATTGTTTATATGAGTCTTATTTTCTATTATAAATTACGATATAATTTCTCCCACCGCGCCAGATATTTTTCTAACGGAGGCATATTGAAACGAAACTTAAAACAATTAGCTTCATAGGTACCACTTCGATCTGTTATCTAAGATGCTGTTACAAATTGAAATCTCGTTTCAGTATTCGGCCGTTACTCTATGTACATAGATTATTCGTAATTCAAATTGATTACCCTTTCAGAAACCGGGCATTATTATTATTATTATTAAAATTAGATCATTTATTTATTCAGTACATAATGAATGTAAGATTCTGCTAGTCTTGCACTGTTTCAATTATTTCAAAGTAGAAAAATCAATTAATTAAAATCATTTTCCTATATACAAGCACAATTTTTAGTAGATTTTTAGTAGCAATTGATTTGGCACGTGGAATACAAGAGTAAACTGCCACGGGCCAAATCAAGCGTTGAATCTATATGTATATTAAATCTGACAATTAAAATGAAGTTACATTAAAATATAATATGAAACATTGATATTGAGATTTTAAGAAAGTACTTACACCATAGTCAATAGTGTTAAGCAATTCGTATGGTCGTTTCGAAATATTTCTATATGTATATCTAATTTTTAACTTAAAGAGTATGTAATTCTTCAATGTTCACGAAATGTTTACGACGTTACCGTGCGTTTCCACTGAAGAAGTAAATATGAAAAACCCTGTTTTATTCTCTTCGAAGAGAGACTTTCACCGGGAATATAAAAACATTCGTCGCGTGAGTGTCGCCAAAAGGGTCATGTTTTGTAAATTAATTTGGTTTCTTGAAATTAAAGAGAAATTAAACAAGTTACCTACCGTTTTTTCTGACTTTACATCTATGCCAAATTTTATCGAGATCCGTTCAGCTGTTTAGGCTACAAACTATAAGATACATCCATCCATCTAAGTTTTGAATTTAAGAGTAAGATTCGAAATACTTATTTAAGGAAAATTTAAAAACTCAATTTCTTTAAAATTAATAAGTAGACCCCATCGTCATCCACCCTAGATCGGATTCCCCCCGCCCTTGAATCATTAGCTGGCGACGCCAATTCTTTGCAATATTGCGAAAAAAAATAGAATTGACTTTTACGCACGTATAACGACAGTGGAAACTAACGGTTATTTCAATATCAATGTTTTGTAAAGATTTTTTTTTTAAACATTTTATCCAATAGACATGATTTCGGTGGTAGATTTATTTAATTTATAAAACAGTGTTTATAGGTAGCTTTTATTTTATAGTCGTGTTTTAAATGTAGTTCAATATTTCTTAATTATGTTGTGTGATTGTGTTTACGCATTTCTAATCATGTTTCGCAACTTTATGATTTATTGTTGCCATTGCAGGCTAATTAATAATCGGCTAAATATTAAAGGTGTGCTACTTTTCAAAAATATTACTTTTCTTGTAATGTATGTATGTTTGCTACACATTATGTACGTACCGCTTACGAAATTGTCTAATATTAACAGATTATTTAGTCAGTATGAAATGTAAGGACTATGTGATATTTTTTTTTCATTATTAATAAATATTTAATAATTGAAAATATCAATAGCGTTTCATTTTAGTAATAAAATGATAAATATGGGTAAAAATGTTATCCGCCATTTTGTGGCGTCAGCCATCTTGCATTTAACATTTTATTTAATAGGAAAGTTAAAATTATGTATCGATTTTCATATTTTATTCACAGGAAGGCAGTTAAATTTCAATTATATTCGATATTAACAGTGGTAGAAGCGGCTCGCATGGTATAATAGCACGAACTCACAGAAGACAGGCGTAAAGTGGAAGCAATTCGTACAGTCCGGTGAGTATGGAGTGCCGAAGACCTAATTTTAGTCCCATTCCCTTTCCACCATTATCTTATACGCAAAGGATGGGAAGGGAACATGAATTTGACGGAGGAGACGCATAGGAAGAGATAATGTGCTTTTTATGTAGACAATCTCTGTCGATTAAGAGTAGGCAACAGTCTCTTCGCCATTTTGGTGAATTCATGTGACCGCCCTTCTCCTTTGTTACCTTAAGTAATAAAAGAAAAGTCTTATGTTTTTCTACTGTTTATTGAGATATACTTTTGTATACATGTAGTATAATTTGCAAAAAAAAAACTTTGCATTTCACGTGTATATTTTACTAGTCATCTATATTACTAGTAAGAATGTGATATTCGTTAACATCCTAAATAACTATTGCTAACGGATAACAGATAAAATTAATTGACCTAATTTTCTTTAAAATAACGTAATACTAACGTAGGTTAAATTTGACTATACTTTATTTACATTAACAATACAAGAGTTGCAAAATATAGACCGAAAGGTACACGTGCAAAGTTCAGTTATTAAAACTAAAAAAAAACCACGAAAACCGACAGTTCGATAACAACAGTAATTGTAACTATCTCGCAAATACTAATACTTTGTGTTTATCAAATTAATACATAACCTTCTTGTCGCTCTTGTCTTTATTTGTGATGTCAATTTGCTTATACAATAGAATAATTTTTAATGTCGCTTTTAACTTATGACATTTTCGTGCATGAACTATCGCTCAGTTCTGGGCATACAATATTTAAAAGCTAACATATAAAAACGTCTAATATATTGCTGGTATATATTTTCTACAACACAACTCAACAAGATTTCTTAGCCTCTAACAATAACAAATATAGCAAAATCATAGCTCATATGGCTAATTTTCGACTGACACTTGTGTGGTATTCTTGTAGTAAATTTATAGCCTAAAAGCTATATATTTCAATACTTTTGTATTCTTCCCTGAAGTCACTTTAAAGTTTATTAACAATAAACAAGAATTCCTCTGTCCCTCTGATAACAAGAAAGCTATTTTTTTTCTTTACTATCTGTAGAAACTATTTTCTTATATTCATCTACTGTTTCGTTGATTAGTTTATTAAATATGCTCTCGAACAGTTGGTTCTTTACTGAAGCCTCTTCTGTATGTAGCGATGTCCATTCCGGTTCACAACGTCTCCATTCCGCAAATAATATATCATCAATATGATCTGTCCGTCTAGAACTGATGCCTGTAAAAACATTTATTACATTTAAAAAAGTCTAGATATTAGGCCTATAGATTATTACATTTTATTCCCTTTCCCTCTTAAGATAAAAGGATGGAAATTAAAATAAATTTGACGTGGGAGACGTATATGGGAAAATATCCCGTTTATGTGCGTACCTCAGTCGATTAAGGGAAGGCAACGCAATTGCGAATATCTATAGGGAGTCACTTCGCCATTTTGGCGAATTCATGTGGCTTCTCTTTTGTCACCTTATGATAATAAAAATACAGATCTAGAAAAGGGCAAAAACTATTTATTCAATCTTACCTGACACGAAAGAAGGTGTCGCACCTGACAGAACTTCTTTCATCTCCGTACAAGTTTTAGCGACTATCTTCTTAGTATCCGGTGTGGGTTTTTGTGGCAACAAATTACAAGCATCCCATGGTTTATTGCTTTTCTCGATACGTTGCCCTTCAACACTTTCATCGCAGAAATCTTTAAAGAACGCATCGAATGGATCATTTATGTCCAATAATTCGTTTCTCGGCTCTATGGTATTTTGTATTTTATCTTCAGAGATATGGTCGGGTAAGAACATTTTCGGCGGCTTCGGCATTCGAACCTCGCTCGGAGGTATGTAAGGCGGCGGAGGTTTGTCCGGTATCTCACGAACGACTAGCAATTGACACTGTTGCTGTTCTAATGCTTTTATCTGGAAACGAAAACGTATATATTACAAATGTGCAGTAATTTTGCACATAAATAGAAATTATTTTATAATAATCGATTAAAAACCTAAAAACTGAACTATCTATGTTGTTTTATTCATTAATCGAATTTAGTAAAATGAATGAAATTTCATCCACAGCTACTTTTATTGTTAGCAAATGATGAATAAAATTTAAACACTTCGGTGTTTAGGTCTACTTAGCACGTCGTGAAGATTCTGTTAATGTTAAATTTTAATAGAAATCTGACACTTTCAATATTGCGTTGCAAGTAAATTACTTACATAACAGTAAATAATAATTATTAAGTAGGTGAATTACTATTATTAAACAACACTATCTTTGCACTTTGTATTCTAACATAATAATGTTACTTCTATACGTCACTGTGCTCTTATAGTTAACGGCCAATTAGATTCACAAAGGATACTTAGCAATATCATCAAAAAATCGATTTTGTAACCGCGACACTATAATTACGTGATTATCATAATTTAAATTAATCAAAACAATTAGGTACCGAGTTAATTAATATTAGGTAATTAATAATAATCAATCTTATACACCTGTTGTGTTTACGATGTGACCCGCCCGTTACCACTTTATTGATAGTGCGTAACAAATCGGCGCATCTCTGCGCATCTCGGATCTCTTATTTTCATATATCGTTTCGTCATAAAGTACGATTTTTCTTTTTTATTCCTACTTTTCATCTTTCCAAACATAGAAATCATCAAATGATATGACCTATCAGGTACAAGAAAACGTTGCAGACCAAAACAACCTTCGTAAAACGAAGTACGAGAAGTGGCAAGAAATTTGATCAAAGAGGGAAATAAAGATGGACAGGCAAGTGGAAAAGGGCCCAAATATTAGAATAAAACGCTAAAATAAGAATATAACAAATAAAGTAATCAAGTACTATCCCAATTAAAACGAGAGTAATTATGTGTAATGCTCTCATTTTATTATATTTTTTAATGGTATATATTTTTTTCATAATAGTAACATTATATAATGAATATACCTCTCTTTCAATAGCTAACTGCTGTCTTCTTAACTCTTCAGCCTCACAGAGAACTGGTGATGCATATTGTGACGAGGATGTGATGCTTGAAGAAAATACTTGATCTCTGCTTGTACTCTCTGTAATGTACACTTTTAGGTAATTCACAACAAAAGAATCCATCATTTACAGGGTGTTTAAATTGTGTTAATTATCTAAAGAACATTAATTAAATTCTCACGGATTATAAGAATTTAAAATTTATTGAAAGTGTCTCTATCCTTTCCTTTTTATACACCAAAATATAAAAAAAAAAACCTAATTTGTTATACACTCTTTAGTACGTAATAAGAATATAAGAAAAAACAAACCTTTTTCAACAGTTACATTTGACAGCCAAGTAGTATCAATAGGTTGATCATCGACTGGGTCAGAGGCCCCTGCAGGTACGGGCAAAGGCCCTGCAACACTTACACCAACCTCCCTACTACCTGTCTCTATCTCAACAGATAACATAGGCTCACAATTATATGTACTATCAATCCCATACACATTACTTAATCTCTTCAACATACTTTCATCACTATCCATTATCATTGTTACACTGTTATGATCACAAACATCACTATTTAATTCATTGTTAGATCGCATTTCATAATCATTGTGTACTTCATTATCATATTCCGGTGAATTAGTAAGCGACTGATCACCGAGACATTTGTAATAATGATCAAACTCTTCGACAAGACTATGCGCAGTGGAAACAGAACTCGATCCATCAGTATCAGGATTTTTTATATGCTCCATAAACTTTTCAAATGTATCAGTGTCTTTTGACAAATTATTATCCGAGTTCGAGGTATTGACAATATTTTTTAAAGCCTCCTCATTCACTTCATATTGTTTACCGTTACTGAAGATTTGTGGTAGTGACAAATTATGGAATAGAATATTTAAATAGCCACCATCGACGGCAATGCAGTTTTCAGCTGTAGTGGCTATCAGTTGAGCGGGTAAGTCAGCTACTAAGATACTATCACCCGTTTGTATACTTTTCTCTGCACTTGATGCAACTTGATGGAGAGGATTGTCAGCAGTCAATGTGCTATACCAAGCACTTTCTGACAATTCCTTTGATGTAGTGGAATCTTCACATCCACTACTCGAAAGATCAAAACACTTCAACGGTGCCAAAATACGATCAGAAGATGTGCTCCGCTTCAACTTTTTCTTACCAAGAATTATTTGTTCGACATCCACATTGTTGGTCAATTTCATTTCAATATTCTTCTTAGTCTTCATGAGGGCGACCTTACGTTTCTCAGATAATGTCAGTAACGCTTTTCGCATCCTTTGCATTTCACCACATTCGTGCTGCAATTTCAGCAATGCACCACGCTGCTTTTTCTTGAGAGTTGAAATATCTATATTGTCTTGCTTTTTCTTCTTTTCTAACCAAAGCATTTGAGATTTTATGTAATCTTTTAGAACATCCTCTTGCATCTTCAACACAAATAAGAAATCCCTCGCTCTTCTTTGCTCATTGTGAATGAGTAAATTAAGCTGAAATAAAATAAAATTATAACAACTTTAATAATTGTAATTACAGCACTTAATTGTAATATATATAATTGTACCAGTAATCAATTACCAAATTACAAGTGCACTTTATTGAGGTTTGTGGTATAATTGATGCTTCACTCGACATGTTTACAGATAAAAAGAATAACACTCACCTGACAAAGACTCTTTGAAGCCATTGTTTCACTATCATCAACATAACAACTATCATCAATCTTCGTTAAATTACAGATATAATCAGAATCATTCAATTTTGTTTGTTTACTACATGTTAAACTGTTGAATTTTATCTCTGTAAGATACTTTTCAGACAGTTTTTCTAAATAATTAAGAGATTCAAAAAAGGAATCAATAAAGTTGAGTTCCCTTTGGAATTGTTTGCAAAGAAAATCACTTTGTAACAGACTATTATTAAGCCGAATTGTGCTGATTATGTCCGATGGTTTGATTAATTTGTTAACAGAGTTTGTTTTACTATCAAAATTGATATCATTTCTGGATTTAGAATTAGATCGTGGTTTATCTTTCTTCTTTGATTTTACTAAGAAATCATCGGATTGTTTGTTTTTTATTTCTTTTTTATATAGCGATACAACATTTAAAGGGTAAACTAATGTTGGCGCGATATTATTATGTATTTCTTCATTATTAACTACATGAATGTCAATTTTTTGTTCCCTTGTATATGTGACAGTTGCACGTCCAATGATATAAGATGAACTTTTGATGCATGAATCACTTATATTCTTATCACTTTTTAATGTAATAATATCAGTACTTGGTGTCTTGAGATTCGGTAATGTGTTATATAAATTGACTACTTCTTCTGTAGTGGAATTTCGCTCATTTCTTAGAGTAACGTCAGGTATACGAAGACTGTCAAATTTTTCGTTTATTAAATCCATTTCTGTAATCTTATCTTCCATTCTCACAAGTAATGAATCAAAGGTACTATCGATCTGTGTAATTTGATCTGTCCGTATCGGTGGGTCTGTTTCTACAGATACATGTTTTGAAGCATTCTTTTTAACTTGAACCATCTGATCTATCATTAGTTCTTTTTTGGATGGTTTTTGTATCTTCTCATTGTAAGATACATGTATATTAGTCGGCGCCTTTTTTTTTACATTCACCGAACTTGCTGGCTGTAATTTATTCTGTTGGTGTTGAAATTTCTTCAGATTATTTTTATCTTCCGGGTTGTTTCCTTTTTGTAATTCATCATATAACATTTCTTTATTAGAATGTGCTTCCTTTTCATTTTCAAATGAAATAATAATATTTTTACTTAAGCTATTTTTAGAATATTTATTGATATTCTTTTTTTTATTCTCTATATCTGAAAACGAAATATAAATCAGGTAAGTCAGCAAATAGAAAGGTCCCAAATCATGTGCGAGAACAAACACTTTTTTATGTTTATCTCCTATTTCAATTAAGATAGCTAGTGAATCTGCAACTCATTAATTGTGTAGCATATGACTGCTCATTAAATATCATAGAGAAATAGTAAAAGCAGCAAACCTTTTTCTTTAATTAATCTTGCTTTGTCATTGTCAGCAATTTTTATAAGCTTGTTATCAAACTGCTTGCTCTTATTAATGTTAACTTTGACTGATTCATTTCCTTTACTTAAATCTCTATTTTTTGCTAACTGTTGTCTCAAATCTTCTGAATCTAAAATGTAAGAAAAACAGCATAAGCATTGCTCCGAACCCATACAACCGGACATGAAATCCACTAACCGCGGTTAGTTAGATAGATTGTAATTTGTAAGAGTAATAAAAGATGAAAACTGTAAAACAATGCAACCTGAAGTAAAGAAATATATACGAGTACTACTAATTTAATGGTATTCAAAAATGTATTTCATATTTTGTGGCAGAATATTTATGTATGCATCCACATTAAATGTTTATAATAAAATGTTACATACACTTTTTTGTCCTTTTCATTCTTGAATCTGCATTCATCAAGTCCAATTTTTCTGACTTTGGATCAACACCTTTCTGATCAGTTCCTACAAGCCTGCTGGATGTTTTTGGAGATGACTTCTTAACATCCTTTCCAGCTGAAGTAAAAACCACAATAAATATTTTTAACCATAATGTTAATTCCAAGTTTCGGCTACTGAACACTTAATGCTATTTGTTTTTTAAATATTATATTATTAATATAATATTTAAAAAACAAATTGCTAGTAAGAACCACCGCCAGCTCATATATTCAGTGGAAGAGAGCAAACAAGCAACGGATCACCTTATGCTCTTGATCCAATGTCCATCTACAATGCCAGAGAAATCGCAGATGTGTTGCTGTCTTTTAAGACATTCTTGTGGCCATTAATTAACAGACTCTATACTTATCTTTACATGTTCAGTGCCATTAACTAGACTGTGGTGTTCCCTTTCAAACAAAAAACTAGTACCAGCAATATGTCTGCAGTTCACCTTATACTGTGTATTTGTTTAGGCATTGGTGATCGATGAGTTCCAGTTAGGTTTTCTCCACAAAAACATAAAATCTCCAATCCCCCATAATAATTTAAATTTTGATGAGCATCTTACAATCTTATGCCTCAAAGTAAAATCAATACTTACAAATATTTGAATAACTCTTTGTTTCCTCTTCATCTCTTATATTAATAATTTTAATCTTCCGTTTAGGACAACTGGTAGACATGCTTGTTGGGTTTACTAAGTTTTGTTTTAGCGACCTAGTTGATTGAATTGGTTGGTCGTCGAGTGTTACAACACGGCGGAATCTTGGATGTAATGAATTCCGATTGCACCATGGTTCTGAAAATAAATCACCCTCAATAAATGAAATAACCTAAAATAAAGTTTCACAAATTTCAATGAAATTAAGGTAAGTTTAACAACATATATCAAATATTGCTTGGCACAAACATAAATATAAAAATAAACATCAAGATGTACAACGAGTTTGAACACCATACCTTCAGCATCAAAGTTTGGCAGTTTTGTGTATTTGATAACAGTGTTTTTGTGTTTTAATGAGCTTGGAAAAGAACAATTTTCAAGAGTAAAAAATAAATTAAACTCTGTGTTCAATTTTTCGGAATCTTTTTTTAAGTAAATTGAATCATCCATTATCTTTAAACTGTACTGTATGTAAATATCCGTGCTTTCATTTTTAAACGGTTAATTTTAACATTCGTAAATAGTACGAAACTGCAGTTAGTAGAACGTTTGGATGATAATGTTACATTTTGTTTTACATGAATAATGAATTTAGCTTTTGTTGATAATGTTTTTAGTAGATATTTACAAAATATATTTAGTTGATGTCAAATGGTCTATGCAAATGGTTGATGGTATGTTATTCTTGTCTACGGCCATCTTAACTTCCATAGATACAATCATAGAAGCTTTTAATAATTCATCGTAATTTATCATACAAAGAAGTTCGATGTATGTAGGTACCTATTCCCGTTAAGATAATCATGACCCCTATATGCAGGATGCAAAACATAATTATTATTCAGTTGAGTGAAAAAAACTAAAAACCATGGTATAATAAAAATGGTAAACTTTTGTATTATGCATAGAGTGGTCAAAATTGTCACAAATGATCCCCTACATCACTTCCTAGAAAATACACGTCGAAGTGTACAGGGTTATTAGTAATTAAACGTATTTCCTTTGGGAGGTAGTAGAGGGGAACATTTGTGATAATTTTAACCCCTAAACACATCACACAAAAGTTAACCATTTACGAGTTATCTTGATTCTTTTTATGTAGTCAATAATCCAACTTTAAAAAAAAATCTATCTATGACACCTTCAGTTTTTCTTAAACGTGCCCGTTTTTTAGCTCTCCTAAAATGCATAATAACTAGGAAGATGTTCCAAAGGCGCAGAATAAATCTACTTTACCGGTAGAAGTCAGCATCTGAGGCTATACAGCCGCGGGTGGGCCTGGGCCTGGTCCAGTAAATTCTATTATTCTATTTTGGTATTATTATTTTATTCTATCTATTCTGTGTATTTTGGTTTGGGCCTTTTGCTTCTAGCCCTTGACGCCGATGTTCTTAAGATACCGGTAGAAGTAGACTACCTTTTTTTGGCGTTGTAAAATGGAATAAAATAATTGAGATGGCTATCTTACTAACACCTGTATGCGAAATATATCGATTTGCATTGGAATGACGGTAAACGTCTAATAAGTTATTTAAATTACATTAGTTTATTGCGACTTGGGCTGATTTGTTCAACTTATTCTTAGCCCGGAAATAACTCTTGACATTTAAATTTTATTTTCATCATCATCATAACCTTACTGTACTTCCCTACTGAGGGGCTCGGAGCCTAACTAAAGCAAATTCAATTCAATTTTATCAAATTATTTCGAGATGGTCAGTAAACTAAAGTAAATCCGTATTAAACCACAGACAAGTCGAATATAGAGCACAAGGTAATGATACTGTATTATCTTAGTTTACACTGCATCAAAGTAAGTTATCTGTGAAAAGTTTTTGGAGTGGTCAATTTTAGATATGAATCCTGAATATGTACCCGATAATTAAATTGACTTTGCAATTTGTGAAACTACAATTAAAGAAATATTGACTTTGTGTTTATTGTTGATCTTGGCAATACAAAAATATCTAATCGTAAAAAAGGCTTTCATAGTTAAAATAGGTGTGTTCTAGGATTGTAACAATCAAGTATGTAATTCCTTTTGTTCAAGAATTAAAATGTTACCTCACTTAGAAGTTAGACAGAAGCGTTCTTAATTCGAATTCAATAAAAGAGTGAATTATCGTAAAGTGTTAATACAGTGTTACGTCATGTATTTACTATTTAGTGTTGTTAAAGACTATGTTAAAAAGTTTATATGAACATTGGCATGTGGTTCGTGCTTAGCTGTTTATTATTCTGCGATCAGCTTGTTTAATTTTAATGTAAGTATTGCAATATTGCTTTTTATCGTTTATTTTATATATGTGCGGTAAAGTAGCCATTTTTGATATACATAGTAAACTTCGCCACGGTTAGTAGATGCTTAACGACCAAGATCGGTATGCGCATGTCAAACGAATATGGGGTGCCTATTATGGAAAATTCGTAATCTTATGTGGATTGCAAGTAATTTCCAAACGAAATAAAAAAGGCTTAATATTTCGCAAGTAATTAATGAAATACAAGGCTTAATAAAAATAATAAAGATGTACATTTGAGTACTTCCTACCCTCTTGTCAGTTTGACCCAGTGAATAGCAAACAAATCCATGAAGTTAGTATAGTCCCTTATTGGTATCAGTCTGTCAGACACAAGATGGTTTTTGAGAAAGCTGAAGGATCCAAGATATCCATCCCTAGCCAAAGGGACCCTGATCCTAATCAACCCTCAAGTAAGTAATTTTGTCATTAAAATGTAGATATCAAAAAACAAAAGAGAAAATGGTGAATTATTAATGAAAACAAGTTGTTATTGATTTTTCTATTTTTGTCTTCCTACATCATATTTTGATGTGAGTAGGAAACTTAAATCATCTCAAACCTTATGTTAAATTGGATTCTGAAGAAGAGATTGTTATTTTTCTATTCAATTGAAACATATGTTCTTGAAGAGAGATGCTATTGATTTTACTATTTCAGTCTTTTTAACAAAACATTTTCTGTTCTGCCCCGCCCAAGCACATTTTTTTGGTGAGATTTATTGTTTCTGAATTTCAACAATTTACTGTAAAAGGAAATTCAACTAAGATCAGAGATCTAATGCTTTGTGATAACAATATAGACTTTTCCACTGTCAAGATTAAGAAGGTTCAATTTCATTGTATGGGATGAGATATTTGTGCTAATGTAGTGGTGTCGCGTCTTCATCTGTTAATGAGTAGCGGAATTCATGTCTGTGGAATAATCCAGTTGTTTCCAAAAAGTTCTGGAATAAAATGACAAATGAATCAACAAAAAAAATAAAATTTGGGGGATACCAAGGGACTCGGATATGACTCGGGGAGCTTACTATGGAAAGTGAACTGTGAAGAAGTCTTAAGTGAATTGCAAAGATGATTAAGTGACCGTTAAGTGAAAGTGCTAGTGTTATAGTGTCATTGGTGCCTTGTAAAGTGCTTAGTGCTAGTGTAGTGTAGTGTGCTGTGTTTGTGTGTGTCTTGTACAGTTAACAGTTAATTGTAAAAGGGAAATGAATCCCTGTTACTGTAAGTCAAGAATAAGTTAATGAGGAATTATCAAAGTGTTTTAACTCTATCCCCATGCTCTTAACAGTATTATATTATGGGTGGATAAAACTATTAACTCGTCAGACTGTAACACTGTTTTTGTTCCCTATTTGTTGGCCTGTGTGTGTGTTTTAATATCTCATTAATAATCTTACTAATATTATAAATGCGAAAGTTTAGATGGATGGATGGATGGATGTTTGTTAGCGTTTGTAGCCTAAAAGGCTGAACGGATCTCCGTGAAATTTGGCACAGGTTTAGAGCGTAGTCTTGAAGTACACATAGGCTACTTTTTATCCCGGGAATAGTTACGGTTCCCGTAGGATTCATTTATTTAGTTTTTTAATGTTTACATGATCATTCTGCAACGGTTCAACATATCTTAATGAAATTTGGCACAGATATAAAACAAAGTCTGGAGTACACATGGGATAAGCTTCATCCCCGAGACATGTCCGGTTCCCGAGGGATACGTAGTTTTTTTGTAATTTATACAGTTCGTATGTTTTCTAATACCACGCGGACGAAGTCGCGGGCAACAGCTAGTATTTGATTAATTGTACAAAACATCATGATGTCAGAATTATTAAAGGGTCAGTAGGTACTTGGATATTTATTTTTCCTTGGTCTTATAATTTTCAGAGAAGATGGTCTTAACACTTTAAATCTGATCCTCTGACTAATTATTCTTGATAGATCTGTTCTGCCACTGATCTCTAAATGGCCAGGCTATAAAATGTGTTTTTTGTGCCTATATGATTTTTTTCATTATGGCGCTGACAGTTGCGGTTGCGTTGCGTAAGGATTCGAAGTGATAATAGAAGTAGACAATAATGTCTGCTTAGCCTAGAGTGGCGCCGCTAAATCTAGATACAAAATTGCATAAAAGAACAAAACATGGTACGACAGCTCAGTATGATAAGAATATTGTGATACTTTTTTGACATTGACAGCAGGGCGCTAGTGAGCTATAATTCATTATGGAATTCCTCGGCCACAAATCAATAATTTGTCTATAATTTCCGCAATAATTCAAATTGGTTACCTGCAGATCTCACGGTTTGTACCTGCATAGAGGTATGATTTGCGTGAGTTGAGAGTCATCGGGCAATTCGCGACTCGCGGCTCCTATAGTTATAGTACAAAGTAAATCCGAGGCTCCTGCGGGAGCCCTCCAGCTTAATTACTCATAAACGAGGTTTAGGCAAAGCGCCATCTGCGCTCGGCCACTTCAAGCCCGGTGAATCTGTAAATGCTTCTTCAAGGCAAACAGTGGCCATTCAGTCACAAGACGGACCTTTGATCTTCGGCAATTTAACGTTAGCGATGCGAAGTATATTTGTATTCGTCAAGATAAATAGCGATAGGACAAATTTCCAGATGTGGCAACGGCTCAAATCTTCGCCATATCGTGATATTGTAGCCCATGTGTTAAATTATCACTTGGGGATGCCAATGCATAAAATACTGCGAGACTGGTTTTTAATTCTTCTTTACGACTTTAATATGATTAAATATTTGCAATGAATGTAAAACAATTTACAATATGGTTTGTAATTATTTTGAACGAAATTAATAAAATAAACTTTATCGATCAGTTCGTCGTCGAGACCAACTGTCAAACGTTTCGGAACGGTCGCAGGGTAAACGTCACTGTCAGATGGCAACACTGTTGCAGTGGTTTCGCAAATGTCGCGAGTCTTATTGATGAATTATTTTGTGTTGTATTTAATAATTGAACTTTTTGTTGTAAGTGTATAATATTTGCAATTGCATTTAGTTTAAAGTATTAAACAAAAGTATCTTAAATAAAAATTGTGATGGTGAATCCTTAATGACATTGTGACCAAAGTAAATATTATTGTAAGTATGCCTTCCTATATTTTTTGTTTATAGTATATTTTATCTATTTTGGGGGTTCGTTTTTGATCTGGTGTTATTTTCGTATTGTTCATGTTTATTCAAATTTTTATTTATCTTAATAAAGTATGAATTTTATCATTTATATAGGACTAAAATGGCAAAACCTTTATATGAAAGTCCCATAAATTCTTAAAGACTTATTCTTTTGTGTAGACATTTGTTATTTGTCAATATAAATGGATGCTACAAAGCTCTGACCTCGTGCATATAAAAATGGAATGACAATGAACAAAAAATAATCGGAAGGTGGGTTTCGACTGTGAGGCATACATATTAGATCATATTGTCATCTCTCTTATTCCCTTTAATAAAACGGAGACAATAATACAAGTGTTACAATATTGAAACCCATATTTAAAATTTATAAGTCACCATGAAATTTTATGAGTGAATAATTTTGTTGTCCGCAGCTTTGTTTGAGTTGTGAGTCTGGGATACTAATAAAAATACAGAACAGATAAAATTAAATAACTGACAGATTTCTAACATATTGCAAAACATCTAATTAACTTAATTGACTGTTAAATAGGCATAAAAGTAGAATACAGATAAATTGGGAATTCTAGTTTAAAACATACCTGTAAGTTAGTCTTACCGCAGAATTTTATTCAGTTTGAAGTTCAATAAACTCGGCATTACAGTGCAACAAGGAGTAATTGGTTAGAGTCTATTGTGACCCATTTGTATTGCACCGAGGGGCCTTGCCAATACCTCAAGTAATTGCTTGTTATCACTTCAATTCTATTCTTCAAGTAGTCTATAAAATAGATATATTGTAATAATTTGCATATTTTTAATTGTGGTATCAAGTAATTGTAGAAAATCTATTAGCTTTTGTCGAGTGGGAATAAAAAAAATCAAATTGAATTATGTGATCTTCCGGCTTACTTTGCTCTCCATCTGTGCTTTCATCAAGATCCACTCAGCTGTTTAGGCGATAAATTCTAACCTACTTCTAAACTTACATATTTCGTAAGGAGATTCTGATTTTATCGGCTAACTGCTTATTTTGTACTTATAATTAGTGTGAATAGTTATTCAGGGATTATTTCTTATAAAATTCTTTTTAACACAGTTACAATGACTTGGTTATAGTGAGGAGTCGCTTTTTGGCACACCAAAGGTCACAACCCATGTATACATCCATATCTAACTATATATTTTCTGTCTATATATTGTATAGATGTAATAAATTTGGAGTGTCTGTATACAATACCATTGCTGATATCGAATTTCGCATTTAAAAAATATTTGTCTGTCTGTCGGTAGTTTTCAAAACGGCTGGACTGATTTTAACGGAATTTTTACTGGAGGGTAGCTGACATGGACTGGCACATTTTAGACTACTTTTTTACTATTACTTTTAAATTTCGCGCTGTCAAAATCGCGACCAGTTCGCTACCTAACCGATTTTGACGACATTTCGACGGGGAGGTAGCTGGTAGGAAGTAGATGCACGCACGAATGTTATAGACGACCTTTTTTTTTAATTCCACGCTAACGAAGTCGTTATTGAATATATTTACATAAAAATGCCTTTATATTGTTTATAAATGGACATATGAAAGGTAATAGATATTGGTGGAACCTATTTTTAACATTTAAATGAACTGGGATCTAATTTACTTAGCTAATGTTCTCAAGTTCCTTTAAATATAAATTATATAATACTAGCTGTTTCCGTGCGGCTTCATCCACATGAAATTATGAAAATTTTATTTTATTGTTTTCATTTGTCAAATTATCAATAGCAAATGTCAAAATTACATGACATGACATGACGAACGTTAGCAATCTTTCTTTCTTGATGTTGGCAGCAACTTATGGTCTCTTTCCCATATTAGGATTTTTATGAAAATGTTTACCCCCTAAGTTTAATGGCGTGAAAATGTAGAGCCTAAAGGATGACGTAAGTGTAGGGCTTTTTATTAAAAAAAGGTAATCCTTTTGAATAATTTCAAAAATATGCTGTAATTGCTGAGATCTTAGGCAACGAAGAAATGTGTGTTTACGATTTGTTATAATAGTATAGATACTTTTTGTAATAAATTTTCTTTAATCGCTTGAACTCTCAGTATCTAGTGAAATATTCCAATATTTTCTTAGCACAAACTTAATATTCGAAGGAGATGCCACAGCCTTAACAACGATTTCCTCCACTTTCTAGATAAAAATCCACTTGACTTTATTAAATCCGGAATGCAGTTATTGAGTTTACGCTAAATGAATTATTTTTCAAATATTATCGTTCGTCTAGAAAATATAAATATTGCAGGGAAATTTGCTTTGATTTATTTTTAATAAGAAATCCTATTCTAACAAAACGGTTGAAGCTATATATTTTCACTATATTTAATTTAGTTATGAGTAAGTTAGAAAAATATTGCTATGCGTTAAAAGGACGATAACAACAAGCCAAAACTAGCAAATAATCAAGATTTCCATGGTTACCTAAAGTCTCAGCCATGTCTTCCTTCATTAGAAATTTCTACGAAAAGTAAAGTTTTATGATAAATATGCGGATGAAGGCGCACAAGAACAGGTAGATTGATAAGATTCAAAAATTTATACTAAAAGTTAATGTTGTCCTCCCTTTAATTAAATAAACGCAGATAACATTATGTTTTAAAAGAGAAAATAGCACTAAATAATATACAGAAATATAGCTTCCACGTACGAACAAAACGCATTCAGTGACGTTAGATAGGTCAGTTAGATTAAAGGACCTCAAAAATCTTTGTCGCTTCTTCTGCAACAAAATCTCTATATCGCTACTTGTATGCATGTCTTTCAGAGTTATCTTGTAACCCCGTCCTCGTCTGACTTTGGAACAAGTACATATTTATATAATAACGGGCATCTAATTGGGAGGTTATTTTTTACTTTATCCTTGACTTGACTATATCTAAACTCTCGCATTTATAATATTAGTAAGATATAACAAAGGATCATATAATTATATTAAATTGATGAAATATTATGTGAATTGTAGGTAAAACGTTTGATAAATAAATATTAATTGTCGTTGTGTCTTGAGTCGTATGTTCGATGTTAAAGTCAGATATATGAAAGATATTTTTCTAAAGGATAAAATTTAATGTACACCACATTTAAAAATGTAAACTGCAGTCGCCTTTGTTACATTGAATTCAGTTTAAGCGGATTTTATATCAAACGCACATATCCGTTGCTTTGACTTTGAAACGTACCTGCTCGCAGGAAGAAATGTTGGTCCTAGATTTATAGGAAAAGAGTACAATGGTAAATGATTATTTTATTCAGCTGTGATTTAGTTTTTATCTAACTGACAAGAGGGTAAGGTTTTTTTTGGATTTAATGTTGTTCGTGAAAACTATCTCTATATGTTCACATTTTTTTTTTCAAATTATTATTATCATTTATGTTTTAGAAGGCTTATGTTAATTTGTAAAATTTATATATTTAAGCGATTATAATCGGAGTACAATCGTCTGAACCGAGTATATTTAGTGCGGTGTCATTCGATTCGAATACCGTGAGTGTCATACCTCATCATCACCAGCAGCCTTTGTCTCCCACTGTTGAACATAGGCCTTCCCCATATAATGACAGTTACAAATTTAAATAATAACGAATAGTAATATTTATTCTCTTTAGATTTAGACCCAAACGCCGCTTCGTGATGTGATTCTGATTTGTTTGATTTCTATCATTTGTATTCGTGTTTAAATAAAATGCAGTGTTCGATAGTAAATGACTGTGATGTGACTCGATCCTACAAACATTAACGCCGGCACGCTCCTCGACTTAACTACTCATAAGCGTTGTTGATACCTATTCTAAAGTTTAATAAGCTCTCGCTCTTTTAAATAGTCTACATAATTGTATTTTCATATCTATACTATTATAATAAAGCGTAAACACAAATTTTTTTGTTGCCTAAGATGTCAGCAATTACTGCATATTTTTGAATAGATATTTTTTTAATAAAAAGCTTACGTCACTTACGTCACGCTTTGAGCTATATATTTTCATGCCATTAAACTTAGGGGGTAAATATTTTAGATAAAACCCCTAATGTGGCAAAGAGACCATAAGTTGCTGCCAACATCAAGAATGCAAGGTTGCCATGGTTTGTCATCGTCATGTCATTTTGACATTTGCAATTGATAATTTGACAAATGTAAACATAGAATTCTCTTAATTTTATGCGGATGAAGTAGCACGGGAACAGCTAGTTGATGTTATGAATGGAAAAGTTCAGATGGATGGATGATTGTTTGTTAGAGTTTGTAGTCTAAACGGCAGAACGGATTTCGATGAAATTTGGTAAAATTTGATGGGATAGTTTGGAAGAACACATAGCTATTCACTTTTTGTTTTTAATTCCGCGCGGACTGATTCGCGGGCGAAAGCTAGATAATTAAGATAAAAATAATGTTCTTAAGTTACGTTTTGATTCTTTAAATGTTTTAACATGTTCAGTGCTGGCGATTGTGTACATTGTTAAATATGCGGAACGGTACACCATAAAAATTGTAATGTCCCGGCACATGTAAAAAAAATACTTAGTTGAAAGATCAATAATCTTACTTTACCTTCGTAAAAAAAAATAATGCATGGTATATAATATGTAGTACTCGTTTATAATCACAACTATTTTAGAATGTATTTGTTTGTAATGTATAAAATTCGTGTATGTTCTGTTTACTCGTTTTGATGAGTTTTCGATCAAGACTAAAATGAAATAGGAGCAAAAGATCAAAGTTTATAGACTTTTACTGTTTTCCTTTATTTAGATGTATTTTTCATCTAGCAAAAAAAACTAAGATGTGGCATCCGATGCACTCTTAAATGTATTTGATTAATTTGTCTTTCCACTCAATTCTGTATTCGCTCCAACGGGCTTTAGATCTGCCGAGCATTCACTTTGTAAACCTGTACCTCTACCAAGAACGTTCATTCCTTTGTATCTTACATGTCCTTTGACGTTTTGGCTTTATCATATTAAACTTAAACGCTGCAGCAATTTAATTCTGTCTACTGATATTTAATATAATTTAAAGGAAATAAGTGCTTTCAAAGAAATGCATAGATACAGAATATAAATATGTACACGATGCACTAGGCGTCGCCCGCCTTTTTTTTTCTTATTAATATATTTTTAATAACTTTGTGTCTTGTTGAAATGATGGGGACATAAACCAGAAAGTGTTGAGATTGAATGTGGATGGCTACAAAGGAAGAGGAAGACCGAAGAAAGTATGGATGGATGGAGTGGATTCAGATATGACGGCTGATAGAGATGTATGGAAGAGCAGCACATACTGTGCCGACCCTCCATAAGGGATAAGGGAAAGTGGATGATGAACTTTGTGTCTTGTTCCGTAGGTTTGAAAATAAAATCAGATAAGCATAAGTTAAAATTATATTATCTTAATGGGGGGTCCATTAAGATAATATAATTTTTAACTACGTTCCGATATGAATTATACACTACAAGTTAGGAAGAATTATATTTTACCTCAAAGGCGTCTGGAAAAATATCACGTATTGATTTATGTCGGAGTATAAATAGCCCAATGGAGTGGGAGTTTTGAAGGTGGAAGTTTCCTTGAAAGTATTAGCGCTATTTTTATGTAGCCTTTTAATGTTTTTTTTCTCGTCTGTTTTAATATACTAGTATTACCTTATACTATAAGAAAAACTAAAAAATAAAAACCTAAAAAAATATAAACCTGTGCAAGTATTAAATGTCCTTTTAGAAAAATACTTGATAGAAAGTATTACTGAGAAAATTTCTGTATAAACGTCTGGGTACAGATTATAAAAGCTCCTTAATTTCAAAGGACTCGTGGTAAACCGTGTTTCCTCTTCTGTTTTATTTCTTCCAATACTCTACAGCAAAATTTACTGTGATGTTTTAACTAAAATATATTTAAGATGCACATTTAATTTAAAAGTGAAAGAACATGTAAATTTAATTTTGCTTGCAGTTTATAACTCGATAGTTAGTCTCCAGCAAAGTTTAGTAAGTGCTTTGTATAGGTGCCACGGGCTGTAAACTGAAAACTTAAAAGACGTTATTTAATATTGTCGTAGATATTCGGCGCCGACGGCACATCTATATTTTATACCAGTAAATCCATCGATTAAACTTTAGTTTTTTGTTTCGTATTTAGTGTTTGCGTAGACATGCCTGTATCATTCAGTTATGAATAATCGAAATAGACATTCGATGAAAATTCAAAACAGAATATTGTCACTCAAATGTAATCGTTTACGCTTCAATACGCAAACAAGGGCATGTCCTAAGCTTTGGTAGGGTTAATGAAAAAAATTATTAATCTCTATAGCCATAAAATTATTCTCTTTATTTATTTAAGAAGATAGTTATGAGAAAGAGCGGAGTAAAATAGATTGGAAAATGTGCTTGTGACGCTTTTACCACGACCTTTGCTTCGTTTGTGAAATGAAAATGGAATCGATACAGCCCTGTCCATAACAGACTGTTTTAAAATATTTAAAAATCATAGACATAGGAACAAAGTAGCCGCTGCTCTGTGAGGAGCCTATTACTATTCGCGATCTATTTAAAAAAAAATGGTAGGGCTTAATATAACTCGAGTTAATGTGAGACACATAGTTAAAGAATTTTCATGAGCGGATTTGTCCATTCTAATTATTTTCTTTTGTTAACAGCTAACACAATGGTGGTGAAAAACCGGGAGGTTGTCGATGACAACCCCAATCAGCTCGACCTGAACACGGTGGCGAACTACATCCGGCTGATGGACGAACAGCCAGACTACGTACCACCAGCCATCGAGCTCATCGATAACTGTGTCAACATCGTAACATGCCTAAGTAAGTATTTATTGAATATACAACATCATCTCCTACTCCCGTAGGGTCAGCGCAACAAGTTTTTGTCCTCCACGTAACTCTTATCATACGTCATCTCAGTCATCACTCCCTTGACCATGTCACGTTTCACAACATCTATCCATCTCTTTCTAGGTTTACCTCTACCGGTGTATCTCAACACTCATAACTAACACTATCGGTTTAACACATTTTTAGTTAATTATAATTAGTCTCACTAGTCTTGAATATGGAAGAAGGGGTAAGGAAAATTATATTGTAGGGAAAGTTCTGATTTTACCGACAAAAACCTCACTCCACCGCAACACAGCTTTGACAGCGTCTAAAAATCAAGGTAAAAGCGAGTAGAGCAAATAATTGAATATGCACTTGAAAGTACTACGTAATTTCATTCGTTTACATGTAAACTGTATGAAGCCACAAGGTTGTAAAGTTATAACGTACGTTATGGTTAACTTTTTAATGTAAATCAGTTTGTATTTTATTTCCGGACGCAAGTACACTGTCATACGACATACGACAGGAGGTAGTCGATATGTCCGGTTCGCTTGCACTAAAATTTATATGTGCTGAATTATCGATTTGTGTCGTGAACTCTGTGATGATGGCGAGGCATCGTTCGTTACATTAATGTTACGTGCTTTTAGCCAACCGCGATCCGCATATACCTAAGAGCTGTTAATTGAACCAGTACAAAATTTGTAAATGCCATGCTCAACCAACGTCCCACATCACTTATTCAATTAACGTAAAACAGCCATTTTATGAAGTAATATGATATCTATCTATCTATATACACATATAATAAGGTGGAATGTCTGTCTGTAATATCAAAAGAAAAATTCCAGATTATGGCAAGATGATATTTGCGTTGCTGATAACGAAAATTGCATTTAAAAACTTTTGGTCTGTCTGTTTTTTCAGACTAAAAATTAAATTAAAAATTTACGATTTTCACAGAATAACTAAGTAATTGAAATAGCGTAATGGCCGCCAATTTGACGTTTCTCTAATTTTAGAATATAGAATATATGGTTTATTCAACCGTCGCAAGCTTCAGCAAGTCAATTAGAAACTTAAACACTGACTTGCGAGACGAAACTAGAACTTATAACCAATTTGGCTATTTGCACTTCTATCTATACTGTTAATATCTATACAATTGGAGTGTATGTAATAACGAACAAAAAATCTTTTACGAGCCACGTTAATTCTGGCTTATTTCCGAAACTGAAGATATGAATCCAAGAAATGTAATAAGTATTTTTATTATTACTACATATTTTTACTGTTGGTTTGTTAGTAGTTTATGATTTTGTTTAAATTATTTAGGTTAAAAGAAATTTATTTATACACGATGTCACCAGATAAATAAAAACATTTTTTTTAATCGGCGATAAATTAAGTAAATTTCGAATCGAAACCGCTGCCTAAGATAACAATCCTACCAATGTTACATGCTAGATGATATATTGACAATGTCAATTAAACAAAAAGAAAACAAATTTATATGAATGTTCATTGTCTTAGGCCAAACTGCGGGTACAGAAGATCAACTGTGGGGTCTGCTGACGGCCGTCGAAAATTACCTCGTGCGTCTCATCACTTCCTTAGAAAACCCGTTGCGCAGTGATCTCATCGACTCCATTTTGGATAAATTCTTCTCCATAGTCTCCGATCCAAGTAAGTAAAAACCACTACATAATTAATTTAACACTTTCGTGTTCGTGACAATATTCTAGATTCTTCTTACGAGTAAAATTTTTGACACAATGGTGTAGTACAACTTTAATACAACGGCCGTTTGATTTGAACTTTGAGTGTTGGATTACTAACAGTGTGTAAGCGCTTACAATCTGACAGATGTAAATTTTTTAAATTGGAGTTAAGTGTGGCTTGGATTTTTTATTCACAATGGGCTGTTACACATTTAAATGTCGTTCTAGTATTCGGCCGTATGTGTCGTAATATGTTGTCAACATAAAGTAATTACATGAAGCGAGTGCTCTATACGAGGTCCGCTTACAAAGGACGAGACAGGGCATTGTTTAGTTTAGTTGAGTTCAGAGTTTCGTTTGTCGTTTAAAATCCGAGGTAAAACTACCTTGCAGTTTCTGTGAAATATTGCTGAAATGTTTAATTACAGTAAAGTTTTACGTACTTATTTTCAATTAATATTAATATATTTTACCGAAGTAGGGTTGGCAATAGGCAGCAGTAGATATTAAGCCAAAACGTGAAGCTCCACGTGCGTGAGCTAGTTCCATCGATGATTTAATTGAAACGAAATTGTATACATTTCGCCTTTCTTCCTATGCTTACATACAACATCCTTTTTTAGTTTTGACTTATAATCTAAAACATAATAATCTTTAATCTAGTGTCATGGTTTTTTTTTTCGATCAAGACTAATAAGGGCCAGTGATACAAAAACCAGTCCTAAGTGCACTGCAAAATTTCGAAAGTCATTTAGTTTTTTTTTCTTTTATATAGTTGAAAATGGATTTTCGTAGCATTCAATGAGAGAAACAACTCTGTAATCCGATTAAAAGGGGAGGAGGGGCGTGCATGCACTCACATGCCGGCTTTTCGTAGCTTTTACAATTCTCACTAATTAGTATGTTCAATAATAATGTTCCATTTATAGCTTTGCGTTTTTAAACATACCAAATTACTAAGAATATTCATCTGAGAGCAATACCAAATATATTACCCCTAAATTGAAACACTCAGCGAGATTAAACTAGTCCATTTTCACTCGTCCAAATACCTGTTAATGGTCGGAATTGCAAAAATGTATCGCAACATTTTAGTTAATATATTTACCCGTGTGTCGTTGCAGTTTGCTGAAGCTTTCATAAAATGTCTCTTGTCTCACCATTTTCATTTAATGATGAATAGCAAGTTTTGAAAGGAAATTTTGCTATAGAAATTTGTAATTGGTATCGTAAGTCGGAGCTCTCCATTAATACCGTAACAATAAGGATTATAGGTTATTGTAAAATAGATAGTTCTGAAGGCTTCTCTTCATTTTACTTGAGGTATTAAAACTTCGCTGCGGCTTCTGTGCAAGACTAGGAATATCATGGTTATAATATATTAAAGTTTGTTACGGTAATATCACATAGTTTTCAAGCTCATTTTCTATTTAATATAACGTTATTAAAATCGTACAAACTGCGAAGTCACGGGGTAATTACATTAGTTTTCTGAGACTAAAACTAATATACATTTAATTATTTACAACGACGTTTTTCCAAGGATAAGAAGTTATACTACTTAATAATTTTTGCTCCGAAATTAAACATGTGGTTGCTGGAGCATTCTTACTTAATGAAACAAAGTAAACTTAGATGAGCGTATAATTTAATGTTAATCTAATTGGATTCTTGAAATTGAGAAATACCTTGTTTAGACTGGCATTCGCGTAATAAGCAAGTATTTCACGTTGATTCAGAGTATAGATTTATCCTGTAGTGTGTTAGGTTAAATACGGTTTTAAGTGGATGTGAACATTTTACACAAAGGACACCATTACTACTTGTATGGAATACAGGACCCGAAAAATGCTGTTGTTCAGTAAATTGAAAGTACATGAATGTATTCCTAATCTCAGAATAATATAATTTCAATTTTTCTAACGTTCAATATTTTACATCATAGTGTTTGTGCATCGGTGCTTTGTTTAACAATATACTCGTATCATATCAAAGATACTTTAATATTGTCGTTAAAGATAAATATTTGTCTCGATGCATTTCAGTTTTTGAATGCTTTTATTTTTCATTTCATTTCTAATTCGCAATTGAGTCTAAAGCTCCTTTCTATTGTAGTTGTATAATACCAATTATATGAAATAATATCATAACAATAGCGGAGGCTTACTTCCACTTCCTTCGGTCTCGGCAGACTCAAGTAGAAAAGCGGATTTGAGTACATATTGTAAAGTGTTTACAGTTGTAATCATCTTATAAATGTGAAAACAATATTGTTCTGATAGTTAATTTTTGTTGTAGCTTCGGATGCCCGTCCTGCTATGTCAGTGATCCTCATTGTGCTCGATGGATCTGAGATCGAGGCACCATTCGGCATCGCGCGCTGGTTGGAAGACGGCCCCACCCCCGCCAGCATCGGCACCGCTCTCAACTGCCTCTACCGCTGGATTACCGAGTGGAACGCCTCGCCGGCATTAAGTGATTGGGTCCTGGGATACATGAAGAAATTGGAGGTGAGTTTTAGTTTATTTTTGTTACGTAACGTCTTGCTATTGTAACGAATTCATCAATTAAGTGGATGTTTGGTTACGAAGAAAATGTATTTTCATGTATCCGGTAAACATGCGACCGTCATAGTTTTGATCTTAAAGTCAAAAGTCTAATATACGTCGTACTCAGAATCTCTTAATAATTACTTAAGCAGTTCGTTATTTCTTAAATATTTCTTACTAAATCTACACTAAGGAGCGGCCTAGAGAACATTAATTTACTCTGGGTGCAGTTATAATTTTATATTTTTAATAAAGACTTGATTTTAAACGCCGTCTCATAACATAGTGATGCTACCTAAGATTTAAAGTATCTGCGCAACTTCGTTTTTGCACTCAACGAGCAGAGATAGGAAGTCTTGTTAGCAAAGCAAATTGATATAAGCCCCTGGAAGGACTTGTGTACTACAGAATATCTTTCTACAATATTAACTGACTTATTATTATGTTCTTTTTTTGTTGTTTTTTATTATTTTTATTTTAATTTATAATTATATTATTTTGAATTTTACCCTATATGTTAATACTTGTTTATCATTTTCTTATTTAAATAGATATTCTCGTTACGGGTTAAAATATTTTTGTTATACCTTTTAAAATCACGATACCTTTATAAACAGACAAAAGTTCTCTACCATTTGACACGATTTCCAGTCATTCACAATCATGTAATATATTGAATTGCCTCCAACAATATGCAGACAAAATATTGACATCAGCACTTAGGTTTATTATCAATCGTTGTGTTGATACATTTCTTTTTCGACTCTCATCGACGGAAAATTTTGAACGTTAAGTTTACTTTACGTTGTTAGGTCTGGTTCGGTCTGGGTTTTTAATTTGATTGAACATTTGTAGAAAACATCTTTATTTGACTGGTCGAAATTACCTCAATTTACATAAAGTTCCTGCCCACATAACGATGTTTTAATTTTTTTTCTTGTATCATTGCTCAATTGGACGTAATAAAGGATTCACTTCACCATATGGCTCAAGTGACAAATTATGATAGAGGGAAAAGGTTTTCGACTTTCGGCTAGCTGTTGCCCGCGACTTCGTCCACGCAATATTAAGATAGAAGAGTAGTTATCAACCACCATTCAGTGAAAGTCCGGTCGAAATCAGCCCAGCCGTATCGGAGATTACTTGGAACACACGCGGCTTGCAGACAGACGTACAGACAAAAAAAATTTTCAATGCGATTTGGTTATCAGCAACTTAAATCTTCACGAAATCTGGATTTTTTCTTTTGATTTCATGAACAGACACTAAAATTTTATTATATGTATAGATAGATTGTATAGTATTATGAAGTCTATGTCGAAGTATTATGCTGTCAAAAACTGACAAAGATTTTATAGACTGTCTCTATAAAATCAATACTAAAACATGTGATAATGTACTGGCGAGACAGGATAAAGTTAATTTAATTGATTTGTTCTTTTGCCAGTGACTTCGTCCGCGCGAAATAAAATAAAAAAAAAAAAACTAGTATTAAATACAGTCTGTGTTACACAGTTTTCTACACACAACAACCATTTTTAAAATCTTTCAAGAAGCTTTTGTGTTTTTACGATAAATACGTGCGTCCTTATAATATTAGTGTAGAATTTATTAAATTACTCAATAATGTGTACTAGTCCACTGATTAAGTTATCACTTAAGGATGGGTGACAATATTAATCGGCTTTTTAAGTAACCAGTAAAACCACATTACGATATTATATGTAACAGCATCATAAATAAAGCCACGCTTATGCTCCAAATTCATTAAAAATTGACGTCTGTTAACACATAGGCTGCGCTTACGAAGCGAAGTTCTTAACATTCGTTACAATATTTGGTAATGAGTGCGGCTTTTGGTAGACAACTTTTAAAAGCAAACTGTAGTATGAAGTATAACACACATTTATCCTCCATAGTATAAATCAGACCTGTTAGAGTCCTTGTTCGCTGTGAGTAGATTAACTATGGTAAACAGACTTGTCACTTGTTTTATCAACCTTTTGGATCTTCTTCAGTCAGTATAAAAATAATTTCCGATTACATTGTAAAGAGGAACAAGCACAATAGCATATGAACTATCGTCATTTCCTAGTGTTCCTGTAGGGTAAATCGCACACCGGCAATTGCTTCCGACCAAGTGAATGAAAAATGTGTTAAAACACTATAAATAAATATTTTTATTACTACACTTAAGCATAGTAATAAAAATATTTATTAAAAAAAAATTATTAAATATAAATAAATATTTTTATTAGTATACTTAAGTATTTATACTTTAATAATAGATTTTGAATTTTTGCTTACCTGCGATACTACTAATTACCATTTTTTTCTTTTGGCACAAATTAAACCGATACGATTGCAATAGGAATCGATGATCGATTTTTTCTGCGGGGATTATTTTTACCAAGCAATTAAAAAGTATCTGATCTTTCTCGTGAATTGAATATTAATTTACGCCGTTGGTATTTATAGATTGTCAGTCTTTATGTCGTCTCTTCGAAATACCAAAAGAATACGCTTTATGTTTCAATGTGGTTTTCATATAGTTGTATATTTAAAATAGTATTTAAAATGTAATATAATAATGATTTATTTAAATTTTTGCATTAGTGATGTACTTAAAGGGAAATGTGAAGAGTATAACGAGGCGATGTCTGTTCAATTCAGAGATATGTTTGAATTCAGGATGTCTGCACGGCACCACTTGTGTCCTTCGTCAGACGAAATTGCGTATATCTGTTTGTACAAATACTCAATAAATTGGACGAAGTACAGGCCATAGAATACGTTTTTAATGATTTAGAATTTTTTGATATTTCCGTTTGATATTTCATTTATAACATGTCTCAAAATTCATCTATAAGCCGGTGCATGAACAGATCTAAAATGTTGGGAAAAAATAAAAAAAATTACTTTTGTTTCTGGTAGATATTTTGAAAAAATGTAATATGATACCCCAATAAATTAGACTCTAAACTACGCTAAAAACATGAATTTTAGTAAAATAATCTCTTATTAGCAATTAAAAATAGGAACAAAACATTAGTACTTCTAGTACAAAAAAGAAATTGCTTCAACTATTTTTTTTAATTCTTTGAATATTTTAACTTTGACATGCCGCTGCATAAAAATTTATCGAGGATTTAATGGCGCATTTACTGTCGCAACTCATCAAGATTCTAAAATGGTACAATACTATGATAAAAGCTTTTAAACGGTTAGAAATAATAAGTAGTAGGATGGATTATTTAAAGTAGTTTCGAAGAACTTTCAAATGTTCAAAATAGAGTTTTCAGTTACATATTCCGGTTAACCAACCATAGTTCATTGATTTTGAGGTGCAAGCGACCTAGCTAATGATAGTATTTTAACCCGAACATCAATTTTCATCGAGATCTATTTCGCCGGATGTCACTAAAAACATCATACATCTAAAGTGTAAACTTTGGCATTTCTAATTTTAGCTTTCGTCCGCAACTCTGTTCGCGAATGATTAAAAAACCTAGTAAGTAGCCCATGTGTCCTTCCACACAAAAATCCGTTGAACCGTTCGGAATATACGTTCTATCTAATATCTATCCATCTAATTTTTCGCATTTATAATATTACTAGCTTTCGCTCGCGACTCCGTCCGCGTGGAATTGAAAAAAAAAACAAAATTTAATAGCCTATATGTTCTTCCAGACTATCTTCTATATGCTAATTTTCATCGAAATCCATTCAGGCGTTTAGGCTACAAACTCTAAAAACATCTATCCATCCATCTAAACATTCACATTTATAATATTGGTAAGATTAAGATAAACAAAGATAATAACAGTAAATAAATATTAGTAGGAATTATTAAGGAGTCTCATGATTTCTTAAACATTTTCTTTAATTGGATATAATATTAAGACTTATAACTTAAAGGATGACGTAGTTCTTTTAATAGTAGAAATGGTGATTAATCAACTTTAATTTCATAATGAATAAGCCAAGTCTTAAAAGGGATTATCAGTTTGGAATTTGCGAAACTAAACTATTTTTAATTTTTATACTCTATACTCGTAAGTATAATTAAAGAAGTAGGAAAGTGTATAAAGATTTTTTCATGAATTTTAATTCCGTAACGAGAATTTATTTAACTTCCTAACAGAATAGCATATCGTTTGAAAATAATGTACAGAATAAATTCATCTTAATATACTTGTGTTGTCGGAGCACTTAAAATGTACTTGTTAGATTTAACTTCGGATCAACTGAACAAATCTGGACCTTGCAGGAGAACGAACAATATGATGTTTTGATCGAAATAAGCAAGGATAATTTGTCTCGCCTATTATTGGCAGTCAATAATCCTACGGACCTCAGGCAGTCTAATGCCGAAGTCATTTTTCATGTAATGGCTTCGCTTCGCGAAACCGACGGCGTTCTCGATAAGGTAAGCTTTATTTAAATAATCTTTTACTTGCCTAGTTTAAGTTGTCAACATGCTAAAACTGAATTTTGACTTTAGAGTATTGTAAATATTGTCACACATTTGTTATTTAATATGTTCCCCCGCGATTTTGATTAACGACAAATGATTTTAATCATAACAGGAAATTGTTAGACTTCGAGGAAAATAAGTGTTTTTCTCCCTCCGATGATACGTTATTTTGTCTCTAATTAATATCTAATAAGGTAAAATGGTTATTATATTTTCTTTATTATGACGGAAGCAGGAATCACACCTTTTTGCACAAACTAAGGGGACTAACTAATTAGGTACATAACTCTGTCCACGGCGCTTATGGCAGTGGGGGTATCGCCAGTGTCGCGCGATTAACGCGTATAGTAAAGATCGTTCAAGTCAAAGATTATTCAACGTTGAAGGTCACTCCATATCTGGGCGAGGTGCTGAATGCCCTAGTAGCTGACAGCCGACAGTGGAGCTGGCAGCTATTGCAGAATGTCGTTGACATAACTACAGCGATGGTAGACCATCTCAGAGCGCCCTTGTCGGGACAGGACCTTGTCAGGTTCAACAACAGATACAGTGGTGTGGTGAGTGATTAAATCGCAAACATAATGTAGGTTAAAATAAAGCTTTACAACACTGCCTCAGCTGTATATAACCATATTTTAAAAGTAGACTTTTTTTCGTTATAAACATAAAAATAAAATATAACCAGCATTCATTCCCTCGGCATAAACATTTTTTGACGTGTCAATGAACCGATACAAAAAAAATCTCTCCCGTCTTCAACTAGCTCAAACAAGCTAAATTAAAAAAGCTTATTCAGGGTTACTCCATGATAGATATTTTTTATTACTTAAAAAGGTCTATTGGTTAAGAAATTTTGAGATTGGACGAAAAACAATAAAACAACGCATATTATTAGTGTAAAAATCCTTAAGGATTTTCAGTGAGTGGTTCGGAAGTATCATGCATTAAAAAATAGTGCTAAATCTCTTTCCTTTTGGAAACAAAGAACGGAGCTAACAATTATTAATATATAGGAGTCATGACATTTGGAATTCACGGCAACTAGAACAGTATGGTTAACATTTATCCGAAAATCCCTGCGGTAAGCTGGTCGAACAATTGAAGCACTAATTTCGAGTTGGGATCATTCGTGAAACAACTGAAGTGAATTTCTGATTAAAATACCACCAACGGTACTCGGAAATGAATGGTCTAAATTATCATTGACACATCCCTCGAATGTCCTAACTACGCATTTATAATTGAGATTGTATTCTGTCTGGTATTCTAATGATGTGTTTACAAAGTAAATATTTATTTATTATAATTTTAGACGTAGATAACATTAGCGCACATTACAAATCAATTTGTATCATTAAATTAGTTACTGCATGTGCTATTTTTTTATATCTAGATAAGCTTTAGTTTCGAAGCATCGATTTTTAAGATTATAGTGTTAACAGCTTTTTTACTTTTTAATATTCTATCTAATATTTATAACATATTTGTAAGATTAGAATAATAATTATCCGTGTACGGATAGACTAATAAGGTCTGACAACCGAGCGAAAACCTTTTCTAAATTCCATATTTATTCTGTAATAGAAAAACTGAAACACAGTTTCCAACTTGAGCAATACGGTTTCCTGTTCGATTGTCCGTTGTGAACTCACAAGTTTTCAAACAATCAATTAGTATGGACCTAGCGTACATGTATTTTAAGCTTTTACTAACAGACTAACTTTTAACACGTTTTCCGCGTTGCTTTAGACATTTTGCGTCCGGTAACTGGTTTTAATTAATTTACAGCGAGACAGTAAAAAAAATATAGGAATTTACAGTTTGAAGAGGGTATTGTTTTTTCATTGTTCTAAAAGTATGACCGTTCCGCGATTTATATAGACCACCTGTAGACTAAACGACTGAAGCGTGTTTGAAGAGTGATTTGATTCGTATTTTCCGGAGCAGTATAGTTGTAGAGTTGGTCAGGCTTCGTGGAATTTTAAATTAAATACTACTTATTACAGCATATATAAAAGTTGAACGATAGCGAGCGGCGAGCTTTTTGTAGTGGTCGGAACTTAATTAGTTACAGGTCTGCGCAATCGCGCTGCGCACCGAATGACGTGTAGGTGGGATGTCGACGCTGAATTCGCCTCGCAAGCACTACGTCGCACCAGCGGCAGACGCTTCCTCTCCTCCGTTGACGAGGATCGTCCTCTCGTGCTCGGTGTTGATCGCTTTGAGCGTACGGTTTCAGTAGTAAATCTATAGAATATCTCAGTGCATCGGCTGATTGTAAATTAACTGTGTGCATTGCTGTATCGGCCGGCGGTTCCAGTGAAGTTGTCCGGATTAACATGGAATTGAAAAGTAATTTTTTACCAATTCTTTAATTTAGTAGTTATTTCACGGCCTTTGTAAAAATAAATAAAGGATATTAATAAATTTTTGATTTTAACTATTTAACAAAGTAATTAAATCACAGTACTTTTTATTAAAAGTTTTTAGAACTTCGAGGCGGTAAAGGAAATTTTATATTGCATTTCATTTTATTTGCTTCAAACTAAATGGTAATTTACAACAAGGCGAGACAATAATTATTTAAGGCAAAGGAATTTTCTTTCGTGATAGATCCAGGAGAACTTAATTAACTATTCCTTGTTATGTTCGCGGCTTATTTTAAAAAGTGTCTTCGTGTTGGGCACATATTTGTAGATTGTTCTGTTGTCCGTCGGTAAATGCAAGGCTAACAATAATTTTTTGTTGTTTTAATGTCTTTGTGTTTTTTCTTTTGTTATTTTGATTTAACAATTATTTTAATTTAATTATAATTACATTTTATTTTTGATCGACTTCCCAAAAGAAAGAACCCACGACCGCTAAATCGGTAGTCCGCCTACCAGACTATTAGGATATTGGCGCACTATATGAAGTAAGATAATTATTTCTTGTAGTGCGGTGCTGGTAGACGGACTACCGATTTAGCGGTCGTGGGTTCGAAACTCTGCAATCGACTGATGAACCATATTCTGACACCTTAAGTCTCCTTAAGTCCATTGATATGTAAAATAATGCAAGTGTACTAATGTTATTTGATCGAAAGGTGCTACTTAGCCTGTTTGTACAAAAAACTTAATTTTACAAAATTGATAGCATGATTTTCTTTGTCATTTTGAAATTGATACCCTGCTTTGTGGAGAAAAAACACCTTGTTTTTAGAAAAAAAACCTTGTTTTTAGAAAAAAAAACTAAAATATTGTAGAAATCTTTCTTCTGAAGAGTACTTAATAAAAGGAAATTATTATAAATCTCGGTTCCTCTGCATATCCCAGGACTCTCCAGTCACACAATATTTTTTCGCCAGAAAGCAGGGTATCTTTGCAAGATCTCTCTCCACTTCGATGGAAAAAGAACTATCGCACAACTGTTTAGTCGTGCTTTGATTCCTATTTGCTTATATGGAGGTGCGCTTACTACTCGATATTTAGTTGTGCAACTAAACAGTTAGATTTGTTGCGAAACGATCGACAATCGCATAACAGATGTGCGATACTTTAATCAAAGGTGCGCGCGCGCTCTTTGTCACAAAATTTTAAGTCACCAATATTTTTTTTCTTTTAGCGAATCGTTATAAAAAAATACACAACAATTACAAATTAATGTTTCAATGTAATAACGTCTGCTGGAGTTATTTATATCAAGACATTACACTGAATTTGAATCGAAAATATTATTCATTGAAAAGTCTGTCGATAACTTCAATATCAAAGGTACAATTGCGTCTGGGAATTACAAATCTAAAAATAACTAAACATTTTCAAACAAGTACATTCTATAAGTAAAATTTTTAGAAGCGGAGCTTAACGCCCACATGTCATATAAGAATACGAATGAAAATAAAAAATTTTCCTTGTAAGTTCTATATAAGAATATATAACTTGATTTTTCATGCCAACGTATTTTTAAAATCGAAAAATCTTTGAAGCGTATGCATAAAGCAATTAATGGACGTTTGACATCGGCTTTCATGTTTCGATGAATTCATATTTGCATACCAATAACAGACCTTTTTGTGATTTCAACACTGGTTACAGTTTCTGATGTACATTCGTAAAAACAAATGTAAATTGTAGACAATGCGCGTATTGTAGACAATTACATACTGCGAACATGTTTTAATACGGTTATATCATATTCTATAGTTTCGGGAAACTTCACTGGAAATGTAATTATAATGGAGCATTCGAGGGCAAGTCCTCAATTCTCCATTAAATTATATACGGAAATGAAATTGATTCCATGCAATAAATTGATTATAATTACACTTTATTAAAATACAGTGTAAATTTTCTCGGAATATTCAATCATGTTAAGTTTAAAATGTTTCGAATTATCTATGTATAGTCGTGGTCAGACCAGGTCCGGTGTGGATGCGGATGTTTATGTATATGCTTTCATTAAAAGTAGTTCTTATATCTATTTTACATTTTTCGAATCTTCGAAATCTCTTTGTATAACTTATTAAAGCATGGTCTCAATTCATTCGAGTTGTCAGAGAAATTGTTGGTTAAGTTTTAATGCATTAAATTTTAAGCAATGAATTTATACCTATAAAAATTCCGAGAACTGACACGAGTTTGCGGAATTTCAAACTTAGTTTCTTCGACTTGTGTATCTGCTTTGAAGTTCTTTGCTATCTATTCAATCCTTGTGGTAATGGTACACATTCGCCCGGCTTCTGTCGCTTTCTTTGGTCGAAAGTAAGTTCCATAGTTATTTTCTTTTTAATGAACTACGTGTTTGCGGGCTAGCGATTCTTGCTAAAGGATTTTATAATTATACAGTCTTTTAGCGCATAACTTGAAAGTATGACATATGTATGTGAGTTCGTATATTTCAATTTCATTGTAACCTATGCCAGTCTAAGCGGCCGATTTTGAGAGAGATGTCATTTAATTTGCATTATGCCGAAAGTAACAGAACTACGGTCAATCGGGTTCATTTGGTTTTTTGTATTTTTAAAATTGCTCAATGTTATTCAGATTGCGTGCTTGGAGCATCATATGGCCAGTAGGAGTAGCCAGTTCTTGAGATTGCCGGCTTGGGGGGCGGCGGCAGCAGCGGCTAACGATTTGACGGTCGGACGCAAGGTCGGCCTCTTAAACAGGGGCAATACGTGCTACGTGAACAGCGTCATGCAGGCATTGCTGGCAACTAGAGGGTGAGTAAATTCTTTATTTTGTTATTTTTTATAAGAGAGGTAAAATAACGAGTAGTTGATCGCCTTATATATAAAACAAAAGTAATGAGTAGTACATGCGTTGTCTTTATTTTAGGAAAGAGTACACTCTTACAGTAAAGGTATTATTTATTGCTTTTGTGTGATTTTTTCTGTTTTTAATGTTGTGTATATGTAACTTTACCTTAGTTAATTTCAATGTATTTCCTGTAGAATATCAGATTCGTAGTACCGGATGATAATTTTTTATAAGGAATCAAACGAGCAAGCGGACATTAGAGTTCGATAAAATAGTGTAGCGACTGCTAGACCGCGAGAGCAGCGACCTATAGATATCAGCATTTAAAGATGCTTTGCCTACGAACTACTTTGCTAAACAGAGAAGGAATTCACAGATTTTTCTTCTACCCATGCCTCTAAGCACCCGCGAAATCGAATTTTTCTTTCCATCATTTCCTTTGACTAAAAGGGTGGAAAGGACTATAATTATTCTTCCACTTGGAAATTCAGCATACACTCACCAAACGGAGCGCGGAATTGCTTCCACTTGACGCCTGTATTCTGTGTCGTTGTATTGCACCGGACGGGCTGGCCTTCTCTACCCTATCCGACCCTGCACCATGTACTACTAGCTACCACTGTCTATGGACGTGGTTGTTTACGTTGCTCGTATGTCACTTTCCATTTAAAAAATTACAATTACCCTCTAAGAAATTTATCAGACGCTGTTTTGGTGGACATATGCATTCATTTTAGCTTGATAATTTTAATTATGCCTGTATGCGATAATAGCGGTTTTGATATTTTTTGTGTTCCTCGTGTTACTTATAAATTTAGAGAGAGTAAAAGCGTGCGCACTAAACTATCGCACATTTGTTTAGTCTCGCTTTGATTCCTATTAGGTTACATTTTTAGTTGTGCAACTAAACAGTTGAATGGGCTGCGAAACAATCGACAATCTCACAACAGCTGTGTGTTGTTTAGTCAAAAATGTGCGCCCGCTTTTAATAAACTAACCAAATGCTATAGCGGAATTTACGACTTCTTATATTTAGTTGCATTATCATCTGACTGTATGTAAAAGCCGTCACAACAGTAAAGATGGACCTTGCTCAGATTAAATGTTATCCTTATTGTGTACAGCGTAGCTTCTATCTGTTATTTGTTACATATGCAGATTGCAAACGATGGCTTTTCGACTGATTCTTCAGTTGCCACAATCACATCCCCTGCGAGCTATCTCTTCCGCTGCATTTTTGCCTCTAGCGCCACTACGATCTTTTATTTTTAAAGGTTAATGTTTACTGCAACGTTCGTTTCGTATTCCGCAAAGTCTAATAGAAGTTCAGCGAATCGGGCTATTTAGCTCTTTAAATTAATTTTTGTTTATCCAACCATAATTTCTCTACGCGAATAGCAATTCTCTGTTTGTGTACAGTCTGAGTGTGTATTTATTAATTGCTTTGCTCGCGAACATGTAGCGTTTCAGTTACCATTACATTGATGAGAATATTCAGCAAGAGGGGTTACAAGGAGCTAACATTTGACTATTTTGAATACTGTACAAATAAGTGTACGAAATTTATTCTTCATGTTAAATCCATACAATCTAATTCTATTAAGTGTATACTGTGCGATCAAAAATTATCTGAATAAAATTCTTGCAGTGCACTTTGAAGCGATTTTTGTTTGTTTATTATTTTTAATTGTAAACTGAAAGCGCAGCTAAATAGGTTTAATGTGTTTGTTCATATGGACTCGCGGACGTGGTCAGCCGGTTCAAACTGGTTAAACTCACTTGACATCGCGAAAAAAACGCGAGTTCCGTCGCTTGTTAGATGTGAACACTCCCTTATAACTTCATATGTTCGAAATTTCATGATCGCGTCCGCGAGTTATTTATTGTTTTCTTGCGTAATCATATTTGTGTATTTGTGTTAGTATGGAACTATTTTTTTCCCGTTTATTAATTACTGTTATATCAACATTGGAAAAATTGTTGTTGGTCGTCTTACAAATAGTATTTTTTTGTTTGTTGCAGATTTAGTAACTATGTGGTTCTGCACATGAATGATCGGGCGTACTGGGCTAAGCTGGCAGAGCTTTTCGCCAAAATGAAGTACTCGGTGTCTACTAAAGTAGACCCGAGCGACTTTTATGAGACAATGAATTCAATGAAATTCGACATGCATATACAACATGATACCTCTGAGTTCCTGGGGTGGGTGTTGTTTATATTGGAAATAAAATAATTATTTATTTGCATGTATAATTAAATAGACATGTTAAATAAATTCTAAAATGTTTCGTAGGTACTTCTTCGATTTGCTGCTCTCGTACGAGCGTAGACTGGATATCGACCACGATTATTCCCAGCCGCCGATCATTATGACCTTTAGACGGCGCCTGCCTCCGCCGCTCACATTGTCCAACGCCAAGTAAGTTGTTCATTCAGTCATTCGGTCCGGTCTTCGTATACCTGAACCCAATAATCGATCCTTAATTCTAAATATCAAACAAATATTACAGTGTAAGCTACAAATACCACACTTTGGTTCGATTACCTTGTTATCGATACATTTTAACACTCCGTAGAAAGTTTTACTAAAACAAATTACTATCGAATTGAATAAGAATATACCGTAAAGCGTTGCTTACGACTTTGTCCGCGTGAAATTAAAAATATAATAATAAAATATAGCCTATGTTACTCAGTGAAAATGTAGCTTTTTAATAGTGAAAGAATTTATGAAATCGGCCCAGTAGTTTTGAAGTTTTCTTCTGTATAATATTAATGTAGATAATTTCGCAAAATGCTCGGAGTTTACACTGTGTTTTATATTTGTGTGTTAGGGGAAGATAAAATAATGGGACTTCTTAAAGGGATAAAAAAATGTTGATATTTAATAAAGATGTATGTGAGTGTGAGTTTATTTTTTTAAACTGTAACGTAAACTGTCATTTTCGTTTGCAGTCACGATGATAATTTTGTCCGACTGTTGCCCATCGAGATGTCGGCACCCGCGGATGACGAGCCAGTGGCCGGGAGCAGCACTGGTAATATTTCCTATATAAATGTTTATTAACAAACTAGCTTTCATCAGCGATTTAGTCCCCATGGAATTTATAAAAAAACTAAATTGAGTAGCCTATGTGTTCTTCCAGACTATCTTCTACATCTACGCCAAATTTCATCGAAATCCATTCCGGTGTTTAGGTTACAAACTCTAACAAACATCCATCTAAACTTTCGCTTTTATAATATTAGTAAGATTAACATACATCTTGATATTTAACAAAATTGCTTTGATGTTTTTTTTGCTTTTAACAGGTTAAAAATTTGCTTTCTTTATTTATAGGTATTACCGCTTCTAGGAAGCGTACCCGCAAGGGATATAGTTACAGTCGCAAGCGTCAACGCACAAGTGAACCACCCCCAATTATCGAGACTCGGGATTCTTTCGTTGATCACATCTTCGGCGGTGTGATACTATCCCGTACGAGATGTCTGATTTGCAGTCGTATGTCGACTACACGCGATGTCTTCCGTGATCTCACGCTCGCGTTCCCGGAGGCTAATAAAGATCATGTACACACTATACAGAGCCTCGTCGACTATTATTGCTCTACTGAGCTTCTGACTGCAGATAATAGATACAAATGTCCCGCCTGTGGATGCAAACGCGATGTTGAACGTCGCGCCGTCATCGAGTATACTCCGCGGTATCTCATCATAGTATTGAAGAACTTCAAGTAAGATTTTATTTCTATCAGAGAAAAATATATATACAGGTGGAAGGGTATTTGTTTCAACGGCCATTTTAGGCGATATACTCGTATAAACGGCACTTACATTTTGATTGTTTCAAGGATATTCAGAACATATATGTACTCAGAATCTGCAATTTTTTTCGTTTGGACTGGGTTTCATAAAGATCAGAGCACTTTTGTGGCGCTTGAAATAATCAAAATGTAGGTGTCGTTTTTAAGTAGCCATGTATGAAGCGCCAAAAAATCAGCAGTTATTAATAGTCAGTGGATTGAATGAAGTATGCATTATATTCAATTTCTTATTTACATATTTAATTTTGCATTGACCCCTCTCAGATGAAGGCCTCCTAAGGGTTAAATATCCATTTATGATATTAATATAGTAATTCTATTCCAGATTCGACATGAAGAAGCTTACTCAGAATAAACTGATGTCGAACACTGTGTACTGCCACTCGGTGTCTCTGCCCACTGTGCCCGCACAGACTCAAAACGTATACACAATGTATGCTGCCATCGTCCACGAGGGCTCCTCCATGTCTTCAGGACATTACTACACCCTCGCCAAAACTGAAGATGGATGGCATCTCTTCAACGACGACACCGTCACCAAATGCAATGAAGACCAGATACAATTCCTGAGACCCTGCAACACCCCGTATATGCTGTTCTATCGCCGTAATGATGTGCCGGATATCCCCTTCCCGTTGCTCAGCGAAATTCCTGCCAACATCAAGGACAAGGTGAAGGCCCATAATAAGCAGTACATCGAAACTGTCCAGAAAATCCAGATGACTCGTCCATGACGCACACGATCCCAGAAACACATCGATTTCTCGGTGCTCGATTACGTTAACGATGAATAAACACGTATCGCCCGATCGAATGTCGATAATCGATTTTTAAATCGATTTTTTAATCAACTTTATTGCTTATCTACTTGGCGTTTCATGTCGATTGATGGTTAATGTAATACGTAGTGATGCTTTATTGAATGAATTCTTAACCCTTTGTCACCCCTTAGCGATGATTTACAAATGATTAGGGTTACTCTGCCTGTCTTTTCCGTGCAATCTAGATATTTTGACGGCATTTTAGCGTCCAAAGGGCTATATATTTAATCAACTGTTTTAAAATACATGTATTATCTTTGTATACTTCACTGCTATCTAGATTTTAACTTATAATGATAAGTAAAATGTATTATTAATCTATGTTTTGATTATAGTTTTTCTTTACAAATTGTAAATGAAAATGAGATATTTTTATTCGTATATTCCTTTCGTTTAGTTTCAATGATTTATTATAACCATTTGTTTATTTAATTTCATATGTATTTAGTAATTAATATGACAATTCGATTTAATATTATGATTACGACATTTTATTATTAGGAATATTAATGGATGTCTATGAATAATCGATTATTGGATAGTTTCTTTATATATGCGGTCGTAAGAATAATCATTATTATGCAATTACCTAGAAACAGTAGAATTAATGTTTTCGAATTCATAATATCACATAACTGGATGTTTTTAAAGTAGTCATTTTAAAATTATCAATATAATATTTCAATTCTTAGAATAATTCAGTAGTAATTTTAAATATCATATAATCAATATCTACTTATAACATTGAATTCTCTTAGAAGTTTGCGAATCTTTGAGTCATAAAATCAGTACAGTTACAATATTTAAGATTAACGAAGAATCTTTTTTTTAACTAAAACGAACAGTACATTTTTTAAACGGATTTTTGTAAATAAAAATTGCTTACAAGTAGAATTGTTAGTTTAGACATGTAGCGTACTATGATAGATATATTTGTAGTTTATTTTTAATCAATCTATGTTCACGGGTTTATTTTTCTATTGGACCTTCTTTTGTTTATATTAAATTAAAGAAACCGCCAAGAGCGTAACATTAAACCTCATTTAGTATTTGCAACTTTGTCACCTTAGTTTTTAAAGTATGTGGACTTTTATGTTTTCGTAAAAGGTTTGTTATCTATTTAAATTGTAATTTTTATCTATTAATGACTATACAATGTATGTAGAAAAATGGTTATGAGTAGATTTTATGAAATAAAGTACTTCTTAATGATTTGTTTTATTTTTAAATTTTATAATCACTTAAGACCGAATTATGTTGATGTCTTCATCCATTAGATTCTATTGTTCAGATCAATAAAAAAAATGATCTGCGCTCGACTTCGCTGAAAACCCTACATATTTATAATATGTCAGTGGTATGCGTCAAAAGATCCCTTAACACAAAGACCTTAGCTGACCTCTATAAGTGGATAGGCTATAAACTGCAGTATTTGATTATTTTGGCGCTGATGATTGCGATAAGAGTTGTCTAACTCAAACTTTAGGTGCTATTCTGTCGATAGTCGATATAAAGAAGCAAAAGCTATCATTTCTAAATAACATCTATCCATTTATACAGATCAGTGTTAGAGACTGACAAGATCGGACCCAATGGTAATGTCAAAATTATGACAGCTCACTAGCGCCACTCTGACAATGTCAAAAAGAATAATGATCCTTTTGGTGCAGTAGCCGTCATGTTATAATATCTTTTACATATTTTCTAACAACACTGATCACGACAGCAGCGCCACTGTCATCGACTGAGATATCCTTATTTGACTATACTATGAAAATATACCACTGTACATTTTCTGAATCTTTAATGGTTTGTACTTAGGGTGAGTTGCATCAAATCGCTGGTTATCGTAAAAGTTATAATAGGGTTACAAGTGCAAAAACATATTCTCACAGAGGTTTTATGTGTTTTTCGTTTTTACAATGGAAACATTTAAACCTGAATGTCACTAAAGTGTCAAGCTGGTGTCAAGAATGACATTTACGTAAATTAAAATGTTTGGAAATTCATGTTTCGCCGATTATATTTATGTATCATACGCATGGTATTTTATAGTGAAATAAACTTTTTGCCCACGAAGATGGAGAAAATGGCAAACTCTTGTGAAAATAAACTAGTTTGGGCCATTATTGAAACTGTATTTACTTTACTACTCAAATATGTAGCAAAAATGAAGCAATAAAATTATACAAATATAAATGCATCTTATTTATTTTCCATATTATAAATTGTCCTGTCAATGCATATTATAAATTGACCTTTTATGGAGGACATTTTTTTAAATAAGAGAAAAGGGACAAGCGCTGTTGCTATGGCCTTAGACACTCGAAATTTGTCCAAACTGAATGTTTGGCCAAATTTCGAGTTCCATCTTGGAAATCCATTATTTCCGAGCACGCAAGACTTTATTCTTCTGGATTACGTATAGGATAATAGTAGAGATTTTCTTTTTCCATTACTTTTTCCATTATTTGTGCTTTTGAAGATAAGAGCTTGTGACAGTTGACACTACCGAACTGACACTAACCGTAACGCTAACTATAACCGCCCAAAATCGGGCGGTTATGATTAGTGTCAAATATGACGTCATTTTGACCAGCGCAAAACTGGTGTAGCGAATATCATGAACATCCGAAGACGTAACCATCGGGAATGTGCTGGTTAAGGTTTATAGTTAGTTAATGTAACTCATCCTTAGTAAATTTTAAGGTTATTCCAAATATTACTGTTACAAATAATTTTAACTTTAACGGTAACCGGCGATATGGTGCAACTCACCCTTAATGTTCTTATAAATAACTTGACATTCGGTTCTATAGTCTTAAATTATAAACCAACGAGTCTTCCTCCTAAATGATTCAATTTTTCCGTGGCTTTCCTAGTGAGGTTTCTAAAAACTTTGACTGGCACCTGAAATACCAAAAAAAAAATATAGGAGTGCTATTATTTCGGTAAACCTAAAAAAAAATAAGATTATACAAACAATCATATTCACTTTGTGCAAGTTGTCCAACACTATATGCAAATTATTAACATGGAATTATAGGACGACAATTATTTTAAATAAGCAAACTAACCTAAATGTAACCAATGACCAGTATTTTTATTGGACAACAAACCTCAAGAACTGTATTGACGAAATTTGAAACATTTTCTGCGCCGTTGACGATGGCCCTTCCTGCACTATAAAATTTATCGCCATTATTGCCATACTTTTCCTCTTCTTTTATTGTATCTACTATTGGTTTTGGCTGAAATAGAATTTATAATCATAACAAATTAAGTAAAAAACTTAGTAACTTTACAAAACACCAAAACATAAAAGATTATTTAATTCTATACATTAAAGTTTAATATAGATTTATTTTAAATTAAAGGATTCATCGTTTTAATATCACGATAAGCTTAAAAACTGCTCGAAGGATCAGTAACAATGTATCAGGAAATGGAATTCATTGTTTTAATTCAAAATAAGTTTCAGGTAAATTTCCAGTATAGGAATAGCTTGATTTGTATTGACTGGTATCCTACTACCGCAACATCTATACAAAATTATATTTACTAACTACTTACTAGTACATTTTCATGCCTCTTGTTGTAATTGATAAAATGAAAAACATGTTTTTATGCTTATCGACAATGGAAACTACGCACAGATAATAATAAATGGAATTAGCAAACTACAAAGTTTCGCCTCATTTATCATCCATTGGCAAGCACATCCTTTTTAAGTCGTGATGATAACGTACCGTCCTCAAGGTTCAAATCTACAATGCAATTTCGCACTTACATTGTGTGACAATGAACTCCTTCCGTTCTAGGGTACATGCGTGCTGCACGCAATTTCTAATTCGATTCTAATTTATTCATCAACACATAGAATTTAAGTGTCAAGTTGAAAAGGGATCTATACGAATAATATTTAACTATTTGAACGTAGATATTGTAAAAAGATGCTGCAGCAAATACATCGATCAAATCGTTATCTTCTGGTATATGTATGCGTCGAAGTATGGATGTGGAAGAAGCGATAGAGACGCCAGTCATGCCAAAAGGATACGCGTGATTTTTAGCAACATATAGTTTACGGGCGTATTACGTTGGATAGACGTGGCTGGTTACAAGAACAAAAAATCGGAAAAAACTACAGTAGGTGTAGAGGAGGGGCAGCTACCAAGATTATGGTATTATTCGAAGTTTTTTTTTTTATTTCTGTTTAAAAGTTTTATTCTAGGAGGAGGACAGGTATCACCTTCCTTTTTAGATTTAGTTTTGAAGACGGATAGCGAAGCGATATGGATAAAACTTACCTACTGCGACCCTACAGAAACGTTAAAAGTGTAAGAAGGTAACATTAACAATAATAAGAGATACCTGGAAGATTCCTGCAGCAAGATTTTGTACATTTTCATTGACCGAGAGGGTCTTGCTTCCAAAACCTTCGGTTTCGAGCAATGCGCCCTCTAGTGTAGTCACTGGTGCCGACAACAAACCACCTCCATAATTCACAGATCCGATCTAAAATTGTACAAAAAACACGTTCTTTTTTAAACACAATTGTATGTTTTTTAGACTGAGATAAAATGTTTTATACCAGTATTTCAATAATAGAAACCCACGGTAACAAATGTACAATTGATATCTTACCGGAGGATTGCTTTGTGTTAATGTAGCGGTGTTTTTGTTCGAGAGAAAATTGTCGACGATTGATTCTTTATTAATTCTAAATTCGGGATGATTCTCTGGCACGAACGGTTCGCTTAGGTGGGCACCTGATTGTTGCGACGCTTCGTACACTGGTAGATCGACTCGTATCGGTTCGTCCACTGGCGCCGACAGTGCACCCGCAATAAACACAAAGAGAAGACAACGTGACAGCATTCTGCAGAATAATTATTTTTTTAAGTAAGTAAGTAATAAAGTGCCAAATGCTTTTTTTAGAGGGCTAAAAATTATTATTAATATTTAATATTATTTATTTAATGCATGGTATGTTCGTGTGTGGAAGATTGAGAGCTAGCCAAGGAAGTAACGACAATTCTGTGAATAGGTACAATTGGGTATTTCAGTTACCAATGCAACTTATATCTTACTAATAATATGAATGCTAAAGTTTAGATGTTTATTAGTATTTGTAGCCTAAACGGCTGAATGGGTCTGCATGAAATTTGGCATAGAGGTTAAGGATAGTCTGGTCAAACACATAAGGCTACTAACTTTGTTTTGACAATTCCACGCGACGGAGTCGCGGCCGAAAGCCAGTATGTTTATAAACCGACCAAGTTATATGACCGGTGGGCGTATGTCGAACTAAATTATGATAACACACTAGCGCCAACCTGACAATACCAAAAAAAGTGTCACAAAATCCTTATATACAACGTTGTCAAACTATAGAAATAGATAAAAAAACTATGAAATTTAAAAAAATGTCTCCTTTATGTTTGTGTGCATGTAAGTTTGACATTGTGAACATAATGTAAATAATTTTAACGCATTTTGGGTACCTAAATTAATTCTTACAAATCAGTAAACATGTCTAAAGGATAATTATCAAATAAATTTATATAAACATACGCTTATCCCAAAAATTATAATATGGAGGAAGAGTCATTTGCCAAGTTCAAAGCCCCTGAAGTACAGAAGTGTTTTGGCTGTTTAAGTTTACGTGTCGGAACATTTCTAATAGCTCTTTTAGAGCTCGCATCAGGGTTGACCGGACTGGCTGGAGTTATATTATACGGCCTCGCAGAGAAGAGCATTCTATCGAACTTCGTTAACAGACAAATTAACGAATGTGTGAGAAAGAAACTTATACTGTTAATCGGATTTAGTTCATTTTTACTGACTCTTGCAGGATATTTTACCCTTCATGGCACTATCACAAAAGGGAAATATGTAACTAAGCTTGGAGCAATTACTTTGGTAGTAATGTGTTGTATGGTCCTAGCTGCTATTATCAGTGTTCCTGTCTCATGTTTCTTTTTTAAAATGTGTTTTATAAAAGGCTTCCCAATAGTTTTCTTAGTTCTTTGCTTTATTTTTGTTGCTATCTTTCTTCACGAGTGGTTTTATTTCGCAGTGGTAATATACTCATATGCAAAACAAAATTAATTTTCCACAGATACAAGGAATGTATATTAAAGATATCGCATTGTTATAGTACATTTTACTTAAGACAAAAGTAGTTTATATTTTAAAATTATTCTAACGCCCAAAAGCATTTTTGTTACAAGTTAATAGTTTTAATCACAATTAACAATTACGAAAAGTGCTTAACAAATCGTAGTTGTTATGATTACGCGAACATTTTTTTTAACTGTAATTTAACACTTGTTTTTAACGATTTTTTTCCGAGAATGTTAGTAACGTTTTCTTAGTATCAAATTCTCTCATACTAAATCTTTACTAGGGACTGAGATAATCATTACGACTGTGTTCATAAATGAAGCTAATGTTTTATTACTATTTTTTATGAATTTTAGATATTCAATATTTCTTTGCATCTAATTTCATACTAGATCGAGGTGATGCTCGAGGATACTTCTTTCAATAAGGCACTGATGAACACACATTTTTAGTTTTTAAAGTTTGCAAAGACAAAACAAAAAATACAATTTAAAACTATGTAATCGCTATTGCAAGAAATTGTTTACATAAGTCGCAATCATAATTTTAAAGGTACCTAAAAGTAAGTGATAATTTATATAATGAATTAATCAAATTATGCATTTATAAAAGTATTTGTTAAAGAGATATATATAAAAAAAAAGGATAACTCACTTGTAAGAAAATTCACATATGTAAACGATAGTCACGTAGTGTTTAGGCGCTACCAATTCTCTAGACCGCCCGTATGTCGACTGACAACGCGCACATTATGTTCGGACCTCGACCGGCGATTGCAACTTTCACAGATTGCATAACCTTCCAAGTTACCAATATACGGATGACCACACAGCCAGGTCCAAGTGCGTTGCTTTTTAATGAGATGTTTAAATATTAGAATTTAGACATAATGTCTAATTATACAGACGAATTGAGAACCTCCTCCTTTTGGAAGTCTATTAAAAATGAAACACTATACATGCGCATTACAATGAATTTTGACTGGCGAAACACATACACATAAAAACAACTTGAGTTTCAAAAGAACGATGTCTTTTACAACATTGTGTTTTGGCAGTGAAAACTCATCGGAGCATTAAGAAAAACGTTTTGACTTTTTTTTTAATTTCCCAAAATTATCACACTTTTTATTCTTACTAATATTATAAATACATATGAAATTTTAGAATGATGTTTGTTCGTGTTTGGCATAGATGTAGGGCATGGTCTGGAAGAACACGTAGACGTACTTTTGTTTTCTTTAATTCCAAGCGAACAGTCGCGGGCGAAATCTACTAAAAAAAAAGAATACTATTATAACAAGTAACATAATCATGGTGTATAGCCTGGCCTGAAATATAAAAACCTTCACCACAAAAAAGTAAAAAAACTATTTTTTTGCATACATATATTACAATAGAGATGCCGACTGAAACTGATGTTTCCCATTAGATGGATTATCTCCAATGCGATTTTCCCATTGGATCGATTCCATTTTTCCATTCTATTTTTAAGTTAATTATCACTTAAATAGCAAAAAATCAATTCAAGTCGTAACATTGAATAGATCAATCGGCCCATCGGTATACATATGGGTGCAGCGCACCAAGGCCAAGATTTTCATATTCTTGGCTTTGCTTTAAGTTTGGAATATGTACATATAAATGAAAGGAGGTTTGTCGCTTATCTATGTCATTTATTGATGTTTATTATTGTCGATTAAAAAAAAATCTAATTGGCATTGATTTCTGTCAAACAATCCATCAAAATATATTTACAAACTAAGTATAGCAGATATTACCTATGATGAATTTTATAGCAAACAAATGCATTATACGATTTGGACAACGGAAAATACCACATCGAATTTCTGTTAGCCCAACCTTTTTGTTAGATAAAGACGTTCAAGAGGAAAAATGTAAAAAGTCTACACATAAACTTCAACCTTTCTACACGACTACAAAAATAACTTCGTTTGGATTAATTAATTGGACGCAAATACGATATCACAAAATCAATCCTTACTATCTACATCGTGACATCAAGTTTCCGAATTTCGATTATGATAGAAAGAAACAATTTAAAGATGTAAACAAGACGACATGGCACTCCGGAGATAATAAGATAGGAATGCTATATGCCATCGGATTCTTTGGTATGATGTGCGGAGCATACGGTACAAAAGCTAATATACTTTACTGCGTGTATACTATGGGGGCTCCAGCTGATGTTATCGCTATGTCTGTGATAGAACTCGATATATCGAAAGTTACGCCTGGACAATGTCTTTCAGTAAAATGGCGAGGGAAGCCACTTTTTGTGAAGTACAGGACCCAGTCTGACATCGCCTTGGAAGCCAAAACGCCTTTGTCTTCTTTGAGAGATCCCGAAACTCCAGAGCAACGTACGATAAAGCCTCAGTGGCTTGTGGTTATAGGCATTTGTACTCATCTAGGTTGTGTCCCAGTACCGAATTCAGGTGACTGGGCCGGCGGATTTTATTGTCCTTGTCATGGCAGTCATTTTGACAACGTGGGACGGGCACGCAAAGGACCAGCGCCAACCAATTTAGCGATTCCACCTTACAAGTTTCTTACAGATACACTTTTATTAGTAGGTTAGAAAAAAATCTGTAAAATGTTTTCTTTTTGACATTAATACATATTTGTTTGAAAGTATTTATAATTGCTTTCTGCTGTACTCAGAGTCGTTAAATAGTTACTTAAGTAGTCCTTACTGCAGATATATCATCAAAAAAAGCAGGGTACAGTTCGATTGCCTAGGTCCATTATAAGATCTTTAAGAAGATAATTTAATTTATGTTGCAATATTAAAGATAATTCTAAATTTAAAAGTTACTACTTAACTAAAATTTATTGAAAAAGCAAAATATATGCCAAACAAATAAATATACATAGATAGGTAAAGATTTGACGCGCTCTAAAATATGCTGCTGGTGAAAAACGCTGACGACACCTTGGATCCAGTTCCGAAGTAACCTATCAATCCTCGAAGACCTCGGCCTCGGCATTAAAACTTTTTGTTTTCAATTGTTATCTAAGTAATCAGATGAAAATATCTATGAACGCCGAGATTCTAGACCTCTATGCGGCGGGAACAAGTGAAACTAAATTAAGATAGCTCACTAGCGCTATCATTACATGCCATTTACTTTGTTGAGGTAAAGACTACGAGCCTTAAAAACAAACGCGGTATAAAGTTAAACTTGGGAATAAACTAAGTATAAGTAAATATTAGAACAAACTTTATACCGCATTTATTTGTAAGGCTGTAATGTTTTCTGACAGAACCGCTCGATAGCAGCGCCTCTCTGACAGCGCTAGAATTCCATAGACATCCTTGCTTGACTACAATATTTTTATGACGTCTATGATATGAGTTATAGTTTTTATGGCAAAAAGTTTTGAATCCATACCAGCAAATATAACGCTATTGATTATTGTTTCTTGTTTCTCATTGCTCATCTATTGATTTTCCAGATTGTCTACGATCACACAGGTTTTGGGATTGCTGTGGAACGGAGGCGTTTGTTTGAATTCAGCTGATACTATAAAGTAAAGAGAGAACAGGGAGATATCGAAGATGCCTGAACCAACTTGCGTGAGTTGTAATAGTGCTAGCGGCATACTTTGGCGTATTGGGGCAAACGGCCAAATATGCAAAGACTGCTCCCGGCTCCCGGTGTTCTTCGAACATCTTCATGCTCCTGCTGCCGGGGAATACAGTGAATCTGTATTTTATCGGGTAAGTCAATCATTATGAAATTAATACATCACCTATAACGACATTGGATTTAGATTTACCGGTTAAAAGAAAATTAAAATTTTCTCAGCACATAAAAAGCGCAACATTTCGAAAACCATGTATTATTTATTTATATTGATTTTAACGGTTATTTTATTATATTTAAAGCTGTTTTTAAATATGTAGATAAATCATAATCTAAATATTAAGTTTAAACTTCATAAAGGAAAACCGCCATTTTGAAAAAGGAATACCTCGAAATACTATAAAATGGAAAAAAAGTTCTATGAGAATTAATAAATCCTCAATTTATTAATTGTATAAACTTTCATTGTAGCAAATTAAAGGGAGGGATAAAAAAAAGTATTTTTAGTGTATGTTTAAAAGAAGCATTAGAATGTTAAGTTTGAACAGAAAGGTATATCGGAGAATGGCTAGGAAAAATTGGATGCATAGTCTGATATGATGCATACCCTGGATGATGGAAACCAGAAGCAGAGATGATGAATGAATAATGTTTACATTAGAAGCTACAGAAAATAGCTTTTAAGTTACTAATTTGTTTGCAGAACATGCACATGCGCCGAGGAGCCATAGTGTCAATGGAGGATGGGCGTGGCCAGATTCACTTTGCGCAGATCCGAGGTTTCCTCACTCGCTATCAAGAAGAATTCAGCGCCTTTGTTACCTGGCTTGTGCCGACTGCAGACAGCCCCCCTCCGGAACAGGGTTTCATCCCTACTACATATGTCTTCGGTAAATAAAATTAACTCTTTTGTTAATGTGTAATTTTATTTTATAAAACTTTTGATTGCTAATGTGAAATATTTTTCAGGCTCTGAAGATGATACTCCATGCAGGCTGGAGTTGATGAAGTTCATTATGCATCTCCCGACGGACTACTACAAGAACAATGATTATCTGATGCCCCCTCAAGAAGAAGAAGATGGGGAAGTTATATATGAAGAGTTTGTGTGGGCATTGCGCAATGCTGGAGAAGGATTGTACTAATATGCATCCTTACAATACCTCGCCAGCATCATTATTAGAATATGTTGATTCAGTATTATTGTAATTATGTTTCCTTCTGTGATTATTGTGATTAATTTATAATTAAAAATGATTGATATGTTTTTAGCCTGTATGATTCCAAGAATTGATGGATAGAATATTTTAACATTTTATTTTAAATGATTATTGTTTTAAATTTATAAGATTATCTTATTTCAAACTAATTAAAATTTAAAGGAAGTCAGTTGACACAATTTATTTATTTCCTACTTGTGTAAGCTGGGATTTCTACTATATAATAAAAAGTTAGTGTAAGATGGCAATTAACTGTCGCCAATATTTAACCAAGCTCATACTCATCTACTATGTGTAAGTCATAACAATTTAGTAAATGTTTCAAAAACATAGTTAAGACTAAGTGTAACTTTAAACTTTTAAGTGTAGTTTCTACTCTCTCATTATCCTGTTTTAAGAATTATATATTTTTTTGTATTTTGCTGACACTACCATTGTTGTTTTTTATGTTTATTGCATTGTTTTGTATTTTATAAGTCGAAGTTTTAGTAATTATCATAAAATGTCATTCTTTTGTATTATGTTGAGTTACAACAGCTGATATACTTGTCTAAAAACTAATTATCTTCATTTCTTTATGACAAAGAGGAATAATAGTATATTATTTTAGATGTATCAGAAGTAGAAACTAATGGTTTGAGGATTTAATAATTGTTTATTCAACAATTTGTCAGATACCTACTATAATAATAATTTAAGAAAACCTAACAAGTTCTCTGCAGAAGAGCAGTTTTATTTGTTTTTGTAAAATTTATTTTTGATGATTTTAATAAAGTAGATTTGGGAGATTCAACATGTTTTCTTATTTTTCTTGTGTACCCACACTGCTAAGATTACCTGGTATGGGTATCCAAGATATAACCCTTTGCATCACTTTCTGCCTGTCCTACTATAATTTGTAGCAGCATCCAATACAACTATGAATGCTTTTAACAATCAGCGATCAATATTAAATTAATTTGGCAAATTCTTCTAACATCAACATGTACAGAAACGTAATACAACATTAATGAATCATAAACAATTAGTTCTAAAGTTATATGATTGGCTCATCAGTCATTTTGCCTTATAATCGAAATTATAATTTAAAAGGTAAAATATGAGAAGAGAAGACAAATGTGGTAATTCAATAAAAAATGTCGACTAGAAAGATAAAAAATCAATTTAACAAATATGGCATGAGCATTAAAAACGATAGCTTCGAGCATAAAATATATGCTCGAAGCATATAATTTACGCTCTACTAATTATATGCATACACAAATTATGCAGTACTTTTCAATTTTGTGTAGGTGTATAATAGCGTTTCTTTATATACAAATGTAAGTGAATTCCAATAATTAGTGTCCTGGTGCCTATGTAAACATGTACCGCCCACATAAATCTATATTTAGTTAACAGGTCGCCAATCAATAGTATCCAGTCTAGCGTCCCTAGGTGAACCTAATCAATAAAACGGCGCGCGCATCGCTGACCGCGCCTTAAAATTTTACGTTCCAAACCAAAGAGGATATAAAGTACAGAATTATTATGTTTAGATGTAACTGCATATGTTTTTAATTGATTTTGGTTTATTATATGCGCGTATATGTGAAATATTGCATTAATTTTAATCTACACACTACAGTATTTTTTAAAATCATACGTTATACAGATGTCTGGTAAAAGAGTGTATAATGGAATACCATAGATGATAGAGTTATCAATCCCTACAGCTGTCAGTTATTAATGGCGCTTGGCGCCCAACTTGACGTTTCGCTTATTATTCATGGTTTTTGTTTTTATAGTGTTTAATGCTTACGATTTATTTTCTGTTTCTTTAATTTGACCCAGGCCGCTTGTGAATTTTATAACATAGCTATTAGTCCCCGAATATTAAAATAATCCTGATTAAAACTTGCCTTAAAACAAAACCTACAAAAGTTAATCACATACACATACATCATAACAATAGGAATCAAAACTAAACAGTTGAACTGCGACTATTTAGTTAAACCTAGACATCAGTCACTCAACTAAAATTGGTGACCTATAGACCTCACGTGTGAAGGAGATCGTACCTGCATAGTTATGTTTTGCGTTCGCATCAGCAAATCGTGAGTCACAAGGCAGATCTGGGTTTGGTCTATGAACTTTTGAATAGGTCAGAGCTACACTAGTTAAACTGAATTATCACATAACTAAGTAAATTGAAATTGTTTCATGTATATTAATTTTGCAATTTATTCCTAACATATTTATATTATCAATCATATTAAATGGATGTTATTTCTCCAAACATTTTATTTTTGTTGCAAAGTTTTGATTATAATTAATATAATTTCAAGTTGCAAGGTTGTAGATGATCTTCCTTTACCTCTGTCTTAAAAAAACCTTTATTGATTCAGAGCTTGAAAAAACCTTTATTGATTATTGAAGAAGAAATAAAAGTCACACATTCCAATAAGCATATTTATTCACTAAAAACTAACAATTTGGCGACTCTAAAAGGTAATCAGAAAAATGACTATTGATACACTACTTACATTAAGAGATAATGAAGATTTGTTTCAAACTATTATATTGTTATTATCCAAGTATAGATCAAATATTTTGCAACTACATTTACCATATTAATAGAATATTTTATTAATGAACCAGATAAACCATTGGTTTTATGAACATGTATTTTCCTTACAAATGTTTTTTTTTTTGGTAAAATGAAGATTAGTTTCAAACTACTGCTATTATTCAAGTATAGATCAAATACCATGCAACTACATTTACCATATTAATAGAATATTTTATGAATTTACCAGAAAAACCATTGGTTTTATGAACATGTACTTTCCTTACAAATGTAATTGTATATAATTAATAATGCATTGGAAAAATTTAATTACAATCAATTAAAAAATAACTATTTAATAATAAGCATTATCAGTCTTAGATTTAAATCATAAAGGCAACTTAAGTAACATTAAGTTTTTAGAAATAATAAGTAATAAAAAATTATAAACAATATACACTGAGGGGCTCGATGCTTACCCCTAAATAATACAATAATAATAAAATATCTTTAAGTATATGGTATGGCACTAAATGGCTAAAATGTACTTAAGTTTTATAACTAGTTTTAGATAACGCCACCAGGCGAAATTGAAAAGATTTTTTTTTTACATTATTCTTAGATTTTTTGATTTTAAACTACGATAACATACATCAGGATACAACTCAAACACTCATAAACAAAGCATTCAGTTTGCATTTAACATAATTTTTAGAACCAATCTTCACTGAGTAAAGGGAAATCTTAGCCTTCCACTATCAAATAAACAAATCATATATATAACATAGTGGTATAGTAATATAATCAATATAAATGTGGCAAAAAAAATTAATAGAATAGAATTTAAACCCGTTCGTTGATGGCGGACCTGCAGATGGGGCAAACCCAGATCCTTATTGAGCATGCACGGCAAAGGATTCTGAAACCGATAAAAATGTCTATACTAAATACTATATTATAATAAAGCGTAAACACACACTTCTTTATTGCCTAAGATGTCAGCAATTACACCATATTTTTAAATAATTCTTTTTTTTTTAATAAAAAAGCCTAATATACTATCACGCCATTCAACTTAGGGGGTAAATATTTTGGATAGTTTTTATCCACCACTAATGTGGGAAAGAGACCATAAGTTGCTGCCAACATCAAGGAAGCAAGACTGTCAAGGTTTGTCATATCCTGTCATTTAGACATTTGCTATTGATAATTTGACAAATGTAAACAATAATATAAAATTTTATGGAGATCCGTTCAGACGTTTAGGCTACAAGCTTTAACAAACATTCATCAATCTAAACCTTCGCATTTATAATAATTATAAGAAGTATATGTCAACATATAAAAAGATGAAATTTTCAAAGGATTAGGATTAGCTCGGCCACGTACAATTGCGGAAATCCGCGGTGTTCCACTTACAAATGCCTTGTTTCTTGCATCGAGACAAACTCAGCCCCTTCTTATAAATAACCGTAAGATTAGAATTAGTCGTGTACCACTAAATGACTTTTCGCAGACACATTTAAAAGCTGCGTCGTTTTAATCGAATTTATACAATCATAAAGAGGATTTGTATTGATATAACTCAAAAAGTACTTGGCCGATTTAAAAAATTCTTGCACTACTAAAAAGCTACGTTATCAGTGAGTAACATAGGCTATATTTTTTAATTTCACGCGGGCGAAGTCGCGAGCAACAGCTAGATATAAAATGAAACCTTACCGATGTTGGCAGGGCAGCAGTGTGACGTTAGCGGCGCGGTCGTAGCAAACGGAACACGTGTCATCAATCTCATTGTACATCCCTTCTTGTTGCAGCACTCGGCGAGGTATTCCGAACTTCTGCGCACAAATATCGAAAAAAAAAAGATATTATATGATCATTTTTCTCAAAAACGGCGTATCTAAATTTCTAATAGCAAACGATTTATAATAATACATTATATTATATTATAATTACATATGTAATGAAAATGAATTATGAAATAAAAATGAATAACACGTAAGTTACATACTAAGTTTTTTAATTCCGCGCGAACAGAGTCTCGGCCAAAAGCTAGTATTTACATAAAATATTGACTTACGTACTAACAATATGATAAACTTCAAATAAAAGTAAAAAAAAGACAAAACCCTTGTAAAATACTTAATAACAGACACAAACAATTTAAAAAAAACAAGTAGTTGCATATTTTATTTTAAACATACAAGTGGTTCCTCATATTCGCCGAAATAGCGAAGCGAACTAATTCGCGGATGCGTTGCCTACGCATGAAAAGAGAATGTTCCCCTTCCCTTCACCTTTCCATCCTTTATAAGAGAAAGGTTGAAAGACAAATTAGTTCTCCGGTTCATTCACTTGCAAAGGAAAAAAATTTTTTTTTACGTTGATCGGCAGATTCGCGTTCTTTTTTGGTAATTTCTAAAACTGCTGGAACTGGAGGGTTGTTGAGCTATGCTTATGAGTAACTTAGGTTAATTTTTATTCACTTTGACGAAGTCTCGAGCAACAATTGACAACAACATAAGGAATACATAATTACCCTCTTTTGGACAACACTGAGTTCTCCAACAGCGTTGAAAGTTGAGAATCTTACTCCCGCAGGCGGATTGCGGAACGGCCTATTGCCCAAGTTCACGACACACTGTTGAAATGGAGCGATAGTTATCGCAGGGAAGAATTTTTTTGTTTCCCTGAAAGAAATATATCAACATGTAAATATCACAGTTAAGATTACTTTTTGCTGCTTAAAAGAAAACGTCTAACAATTTCTGTAGTATTAAAAGAAAAAAAATCGTATTAATCACATCAATCTATATTTCGTGGTGATGTGTTGAGATATATTTATAATAATTAAATAAATTTCATACACGTATGTAATAAAACTCATGTGCAAGTAAAAAAACTTACTCAGTAGGAGCAAAAAAATCATCAGAAGTGACGATGGATTCTTTCCCGTTCAGGAAGAAAGTGATCGTCTTGTTAGTAATGTCGAGAAGGCAACCTAAGACATCGCCCCTCTTCCAGACACCCAGGCCAACAACATAGGCATTTTTAAAATACCACATTAGTTTCTTGCTGCCTTCGTAGCCCACTGAAAATTCCTCAAATCCGACTGATGCAGTCTGTGAAATAATAAAGAAATATAAATTAGTATTTTTATATCTAATTGCGCGACTATCACGAAGTGATCGGTGTTTCTCTGAAACCACAAGCACCAGAACGCTAACCTACCTCCTGACTAACCTCACACAAACAGCTGTCCCAAATGCTCGCAAACACAACTTATGTTGCCTTTATAAAGTGGTGATTATTTACACCACGAAAACCTACACAATTTGTATCACAACTGCACCAGTTTGACACTAGTAGGTGCACATGTTTGTTAGCAGGTAACTTCAAAACGGCCAATCGGATCTGGATGAAAACTGACACAGAGATAAATTACTGTCTAGAATTGGGCAACGGCTGTTTGTTTAGTTTTTTTTTTATTAAAAAGTTAGCCTGTATAAAGCAAAGATACCATGTTTGTCAATCTCTGAACAGGATTGGGACCTAAAAGTTGTATATATAATATTTAAATTACTATCTCTTCATTGGAACTCTTATAGCATTGTGACTAAATTAAATAGTATTATTTAAAATGTAATTGCAGCGCTTGCCGGGTACAGGTAGTTTTTAAAAAAATAGAAAAGTCATAATAACCATGTCGGCGCCGGTGATTGCCCAGCCAATAACAAAGGAGCCATTGGTAATCAAGCTGATCTCATAATACCATTTTCCATCTTTAACATGGCAAGTCCCATATAATGTTTGAGTCTGTATTGTATCATTCCTAATTTCCATAAGGTCAGGCGAGTACTTCAGAAACTGGCTTGGTTCATTATTATTAAACATAGCATTTGTTCTTGATGTATCCACCGTTTCATATGATAGGTGTCTTCCATTTATTGGGACTGTAAGAAATACATGTCATAACAAATTATATTTACAAACATAGATAAACATCTGTACAAGAAAAACAATTTTAGTATGTATGCAATTATTTCTCCTCTATCTTTTATTAAGCATATTGTGCTTAGATTGTGATAAAACATTGGAATTTTCTTTTTATTGAATTTGTTTATACTATATTTTCAATATTTGATATTTAACAACATTATACAACACAAGTATTGAGCTTGTTTACAGTACAGATTATACTAATTCTTTGGAATCTACAATTTATTTATATACGTAGTAATGGTTACAAGCTAAATGGTTGACATGAGACCTCACATGCACAGCTCTAAGATAACAATAGGTTTCAATGTTTGTGTCCGTCCTGTAACGTCTTTGATACAAACAACCATTTCTCGCTTTAGTCAAATCAAATTGAAACTATAACGAAATTGAATAAAAAAACTTGTCTCGTTGATTACTAAACATCACAAATCTTCTATATTATGTAAAGTATTCAATAATAATTACTCTTTCACCGACCCAAAGTCTAGTAATACATGCAAACTAAAAAGTAACATTTTCTACTCACAGATGTTATCAAGGGTCCACCGAGCGCAATATCTAATTTCGCGCCAAATTCCATCATCAGCAGAAGTATCAGTATAGAACTTCTCCAAATTAGGTAAATGATTGACATTTAGTTCTGCAAGTTTGTCTAATACCTTTTTCTTGTTCTCTGCGATGGCGGAGAATTTTTCAAGAGTCAGTAAAACTATCTTTTGTAATTCTGCGTCATTATGAAATCTATCGTTTACCTATAAAATAAAATTATCATGTAATTTTTTCATAATAGCAACAATATTCTATTACTTGTCAAAGTTAAAAGTTGTGTCTGGTAGTGTCAATCAATATTATATAGACAATAGTGGTCTTTTTTTGTGTGATTTAAATATTTATTTTTTGATTGTAGTGATAAATGTGTTCTAAGCCATGCGGATGTCCATGGGCGTCGATGAACATCTCGGTGTTCACGCTGCTCGTTTGACCCTTCTCTTATAAAAAAAAGTAAACAGAATTATAATCCGCCGCTCTATTTGAGAAGTTACATTTATGTATATCAGAGATATTCAGCAGAATCCGAAGACGAAACATTATTATTGTCCTTCAAAGTTTATGAAAGAACTGCAAAACTACTGGTATATAATGGTCATTTCGTATTTTTCACATCAAATTATGTGTTTAACTTGCTGACAACATAAAATATTCAAAAAGCTACTGTTTACTTTGAAAGGTACAAACACATGTTACTGTAAATGCTAATCTTGTAGCATACAGTGAGATATGTTGATACCTTTTGTATTTATTTATTAATTTTAATGGTAAACAATCCTGCCCCTATTTACGTATCCATCTCGTTAGTAGCAAGGGCATCATTACTCTACCAAATGATATGTATTTTGTATTTTCCAAGATTTATTAAAACTATGCTAAAATAGCATTGAAAATAATAAGAAATAAAGGTGTGACACAACATGGAATGTTAGAACCAGGCAGCAAAGTTGAACAATATTGACCATTGTGATCTCAAAAAGAGTATAATTGTGTTTTAGTAGTCCAATTATATAACAAACCAAATAAACAACATCTCATTTACTCCCTAAAATATAAGCTTATATCTTAAATAAAGTAGCGATTTAATGAAAGTGGAGTTGCCATAAGAATGATAGTGGCACCCCTATTTAATTCATGACATTTTTCCAGGCTATTTGCCTTATTACCTTTTCCTACTCATTCCCTAATCTCTCTGGATTGCACTATTCCTTTATTAGAGAATGATAGTGTGATAAAAAGTTGAATTTGGCCTCTATCACCACATCTGTCTTCTACATGGTCATGATATTGAACTGCACAGTTCAGCTCACCAGCTACATATAGTGCAACATGCAACTAAGTATATATTCATCTCTAATATTATAATTAATACTCACAAAGATGTTGCACAAGTAGCTGCAAACATCATGAGTGAATACTAGAGTACTTTGATTGCCCACGAATTTCTCCGCTAAGCAGTTGAGAACAATGCAGATGTTCTTCTCTATCTCAATGTCCAGTATGGGCGCCAAAGCGCGTCGCTGGCCCAAATTGAATCGGTTAGTCAGGAGCTGAAATTATATCATTTTAATCTCTTGTTCAAGGGAATAATATAAACTTTAATTAATTAAACAAATAATCTTACATTTGTGACTGTAGCCACATCTGGGGCATGTATGGCGCGCATAATAATTAAGATTGCGGCAGTGGTGTTAGAATCAACAGGCATGTGCCCCATCAGACAGGTGACTATTGTCAGCCAATTTTCACTGTGCTGAGAGATGTTCACAATGAACTCCATCAATGTGTCAAATCGACAAGCCCTAAATCAATATATAACACATTTTTAATAACATAACCAAAATTCCTACATTTTAAAGTAAAGTAATATAACAATTTAATTTCTTTTATAACTGATCATTTATTATAGTTAATGCAAATTGTGTATTATCAAATACTTGTGGGTAAAAAATAATCACATTATTCTAAAAACTGAAGAGTGTGAAATTAAATGAGTAAAAATGTTATGACAAGATAGTCACAACAAGCCAAAGTTGCCAAATTGTATGGATATTTCCTTTCATTAGCCTTTCATCTTGTTGCACATACATATACGTGAATATAGCCAGCGATATGAATTGTTTTCTTAAATTGCTGGCAACAAATTTACAGTCAATCTGTTGTTAGGATGTGATGCACATAAGTGATAATTTAACCATAAGCAACCTGTTGGTGAAGGAAATTTAACAATTTACAAACATCCAATCATATTGTGCACCCAGGGAGCTTGCAGAGGGTGCAGATTAGTAGAACCTTCACCGAGCAACTATATTTCATTTCTACCAATTCATGTATAATACTTACACTCTATTTCTTGGACTCAGTTTTTGTAATGACCGCATAATCACATTTCTTACGAATTGTGGGTCCCAAACTCCGTTTTGCTGTAGAATATGACTAGACCTGAGGCCATTTAAGTGGCTCAATGTTCCCGCCATAGTACAATTATCCTCTGCAGATTAACTTGTATTAACAGTTCACCTGTAACATCATTTGATATTCAACTAATATAAAATTGTAAAACTGAAAAAAATGCAAAGTAAAAAATAAATATAAAGCAAGCAATGGACTTCCTATTGTCCAAACATTCAAAAATAATGGACTTTGTATGGATATTCTGATAGTTGAATCTTTAATACCTATTTCCAATTTTTGTAAATAAATAAATAAAATAAAAAATACAACTATTCATTGAGGTTTAACATGTTTTAGACTTTAAGAAAAATAATTATTTATACAATGTGTCTATTGCGATAACATTCAAAAACACATGTAAGGATTTTTTGCAATAAACAAAATGTGTAAAATGCAAACCAGCTCTGCACCGGCTAAATATTTAGTACACATTGAACACATTTAATACACTTGAAGCTTAGAGCAGCCATTTATTGACTAAATTGGCAGTTCACTGACTGAATTGCTAGTTCACAGCTCAATCTGTGTCAGCGCATTCAAACACAAAATTTTACAAGTATCCAGTGAGTACTAGATTATGTTCTACTTCTGTGGTAAATTTCATTTAAATCCCTGGAGCTGTTCAGGAGATTCATGGAAACAAACATCTATGCATAGGACCTTTCGCATTTACAATGTTACAAATTATAAGGACCTATAAATAATTAATTTGTGATATCAATTGTAAGAGAAAGACAAAACACGCTATTAAAGGTCCGACGATTTACGCGATCGTTCTTTGTTATCTCGTACTGCGCACTCTATATCTTACAACGCCCCTTGGCTCGCAGCTCGAAACGCAAATCAAAATCAATAACTCATAATGCAAGATGCATACAAACTCTCTGCGTTTAAATACACTGATATTTGTACGATTTAGAATATAATAGGTAAAAATACCCGTTTCGATTATATTAAATGGTTAGCGTGAGAATATGGAACATTTTTTATTCGACCACTAAAAATAATATTCGGAATAATGTAAATGCAATCTTTGCATGATTCGGAACGTTCACATATTGTAAAATTTTGCCGAAAGTATTAACTAATGTAATAATTAAAGAGAAAATAAAATATTTCCTACCTTAACTTGTACCTGTTGCACCTGGTTCTTGCTTAGCCGATCGATTAAAATTTAAATTGCCATACTCCGCGCACCTTTCCGCTGACCTGATCTATACAGGCTAATCGTTAGTGGTATAGAGTATAGTGCCGCAAGGGTATTGCTGTACCTTTTTGACATAAACAGGATGGCGCCTCTGAGCATTTAGGGTTACCAGCAAAGTAATATATCCACGAAATTCTTTTCTTTTGAAAACGACAACGCAAGTACTTGTACCTTACAACGTAACTAGGAAATGGCCCAGACTTAGTTTGTCGGTTAGAAAAAGAATAATAGAAATCTTAATGATTGTTGTTACAATCAAAGCGCAGTAAGAACTATGTCGTATGCCCCGTGGTTTTAACTCTGCGTTTTAAATCCGACAATTACTTTTTGATATATTACTGGGTACACACAGTAATTTCCTTATTACGTCAGTAAATATGTAATTTATGTCAAGAAGGCCACATTTCCAGTTGCACAAAACACGTTACAATTAAGGGCTCGGTCACGGCAATGTGAAATAGGAAATGTAACAACTTTGAGCAAAATATTTTTAAGTATAAACCAATATTTTTGCAAATGCTTTCTTTTTGGGAAAAAGTAGGAGCTCTCAAACGATTTTTTCAATCGTTCTCAGTCGATTCCCTAACGGCGAGAAAAATTTGATCTTTCTGAGTCCATGTCCATGATTTTCATTTTTAATTCTTAGAAAAGTAAAATCGATTCGAACGTTATCGACTTCAAAATTCAAAAATCATTTTCAGAAAAACTAAGAACTCTCAAACGATTCTTTTCTTTTCTCAATCATTCGGAGACGTTTCTCTAACGATGAGAAAAATTTGATCCTTCTAAGTCCATTACTTTCATTTTTAATTCCGGGAAAAAGAAAATCGATTCGAAAATTTCTAATATCGAAATTTCAAATATTTTTTACAGAAAAAGTAAGAACTCTCAAACGATATTTGTTTTCTCTCATTTTTTCTAAAACGATTCTCAAACGATTTGCGTAAAAAAAAGTAAAAATAGAGAAGGCGAGGGGCTAACTACACGAAGGTTGGAAGTGGTCACATCCATAGTGGTTAAAAGTAATCGACCAATAGATGGCGCTGTATTCAGTTTATTAAATTTTATTAAATGACGTTGATTTTAAGACTGCAATCTATATTAAATACTATTATTTATATAAAAAGCAATTTTTAAATTGTAATTTGTTATTAAAAATGTTACAATATATATTACTGACTGGATAAACATTTAACCGGAATAAAAAAAGGAAGAAATAGAGTAGCGTAATGAAAAGAAAACAACGTAAATTACCTACATATTTTTAGTTCTATAATGCACTCGTATGTACTTAACAAAATTAAGTTGTTATTTTATTATTACTACTTTTGAATGTTAATTAATTTAAAGATACGATAACTTTTTTTATAGAGCAAATTCATGAGATAGAGCTTTTTTTCGAAAAATTGAAGCCGAGCGAGACCTCAATAACTGTACTATTTTTCCCCTCTGTGCCCATGGTGACCATATTACATTTAGGATAATAAATTTAAAAAAATTCGTGACTTGACGTCATGAAATGATCACCCTCGTTATTAATAACCTTTTGCCATCTAGTGGGCATTTTCAATCCCGGATAGATAAAAATTAATTGTTTTTAGATTAAAATGTCCCAAATATCGACATGCGCAGAAGCGACATTACTTTCCGGTCCCCCAATGTAATGTACAGAATAGGCTTACTATTTTTTAAGACAACTAATACATTAAAAACAACCATAAAGCAAGACCTTGAACTATGCTGTTCCACGTTCCTGCACGTTTTTTATTTCTTAAAATTATTATTTAAATCTATTCCTGATTTTGTGCTCCCGAACGGAGTTTATCTCAAGGTTGTCTGCAACAGATCCCAACTGATATCGTCAATCGTACATTTTGCTATTTTGCATTTATAAATACTGAATATTTTGTCTCCTTTGACGCAAAAGTTATAACTACTTATACGCTTAAATTTGAATAAAAAAATTTTGAATACTGTATGTACTGGGATATGTGCGCAGCAATAGATTGATCTTAACAGCCTATATTAGTCCGGCTCACTTGTCCTATTAGAGCCATCAGGACAGTCCTCACAACAGGATATCGTTTTGTTAAAACTCGGTCACAGGCGCGAATAGCTCACTTACGAAGCACTTTAGTACTTTAGTGCAGTAGGGTTAGGATTTTCGCATTGATTGATAATAATTTGAACATGCATTTATTCGCAACTAAAATAAGGACGTATTTCGCTTGGCATTGTTTGACTGACACTGGAACAGCAACAATTATCGCCTGATGAGATAATGGATGGACCTAAACTGATCGTTGTTGACTTAGACGTGATCTCTACTCCTAGCATATATAAATCTAAAGGCCGCTAAACACACTATGTTATAACTGCAGTTCTACTGTACAGTTAAAATAGTAAGTGTGAAGGGGGCTTAAGGAAAAACATGAAAAATGTTTACGAATAATATTTAGCGTGCCTAAGTCCAGCATGACGCAAAAACTTTGCAAGAGGAATAAGTTTTTTGTTATGACAAAGTATGCAGTCTAAAAGTAAGTTATGCATATGTTTTATGTATTATGTGGAAGGAACGAGAGACGTGCGCAAAAATGTCAGGATACTTAGTACCTAAGTCTAAGTCATGGTCATTTAGTCTAAGAGCGGAAGCTCATTTATAAGATGTTGAATATAAAATAATTGAACTCACCTATTTAATTTTGACCGATTTGATCAAACTTTTATCAAATTGTAAGAATTATTTAATGTTCCAGGAATACACATCTAAGAAATTAGCAAATAGTAATGTCATTAAAAAAGTCAGAATTTTGAAGTTATATGTTTAGCAATCCTATTAATAGTTACCGTATAAGAATTTGCATTGACAAACATAATACCTGGAATTTTAATATATTCTGAAGCCAAGAGGAGTTACAAAATAATGGGAGTACTTCCTGGGATCAAAATTAATCAATTATTTACAAGCAGTTACAGTGTTTTCATGATTATGAATCATATGAAACTGGTTCATTTGATGCATGGCACACGGGATTTCTAACCCAACAGCACACATCGCCTTACTCTGCACTATCTTCAAAATTTAACTGTAATTTAAGCTATCAAATGGAGCCCCTTAAATCCATACTGTTACGCCTCCCTTCCTTGTCAACTGTTCTGAATAGTATAATTCCTTCTAGATTTTCTAGTCTTTTCAGCTATATACATGATTAACCAAGGTTTAAGAATCAACCTTACATCCGACAAATAGTTTTTACTATATTATTTGCCAACTTTGTAACCTAAATGCACCTAAACATACGCAAGTATGACACACTTACTAACAAGATAGAGGTGTCGCTGTAGTTTATTGCACTATTTATGTATAACCTCACTAAAGTACGGCCCCACTCAGAGTTATTATATGCTCACTAATGGAGTCTTGTTGCTAGAAGATGTATGAGAAATCTACACTGAGAGGACTACTTAAGATTGACTTTATCAGTTATAAATTACTTTAGTCTTTGCTAATTTGATTTTTAGTTTCAATTTTAATAAAGCTATCAATATTGTTGAAGTGTTTGTTTCTTACGAGCGATTCCAAGAATAGATAGATAGCTTCTTAGGAGGCTTTCTTTTAATAGCAATAGTTAGGTTTGTGATAATGCCTTCTACATCATCATCGACACTAGCACACTGCATCCATCCATCCCATCTAAGAGCTCGGAGCTTATATCAATATGATATGGGGTCACAAATCAAAGCTCCTAGACTTGAATACTTTTTCGTTTCTACATTATGTTTCAGAAACATTGGTAATTTAAATTTAAAGGCTGCAAAACCAATTGTATGAAATTAATTATTTATTAGGTAACTGATATGTATAGAATATTATCCAATGCTTTACTTTTCATAAAGAAGGTAGGGAATAAAACAGGAGTGAGCGAGTGAGTTGCGCTAATACCACGCAGCCTTTTAATGTCTTTTTCCATTAGATAATAAGCCGCGATACAACGACCGCAAGCGACTATTTTTATATTTTACGTTTAAATCAAAAATCACCAATAGTAAATCAGTTATAAACATTTTGTTTAAAAAAATACAATAATCAAAGGTAAGAAGTTAAGTATTTATTTTTAAGAAGGCAGACCACGTTGCAAGTTATAAAGTAGTGTTATTGTTAGTGGAATGGCGCTTAGAGAGGACTTTGTGCATTGTTTAGTTTACAAAATAAGAGTCGCGCGGAGTCGTACGGGTAATCACGCTGGTGAAAATAGGGCTTAACTGCTATATAACTGGTCAGTTTGGTTCGGACTTGCCGTTGCCGCTTTGCCTTTGCCAGTTGATTTGTTGGCGCGCTGTGTGTAGGACGTTGTATTCCCTCGGAACCCTATTTTCACTTCAAAGACCACGTGTAAGATTAAACTTCTAAAATAATTTTCTTAACAAATAACAAGAATTTTTATTTCTTAGTTTATGTAGTAGTATCGGTACTTCTCATACGGGAAACCTGTTTTTTTATCTGACCGGGTATTATTTTTGTTGCGGTCACTAACGAACCGCAATTAATTTTTGTTTTGAAAACTTTCTTTTGAATTTTTACAAATAACTTAACAAAGTTTTTTTAAAATTTTCCGGTTAACTCAAAATGAGCATTTTTTCTAGAATCTCTGAAAGATGTCAAAGAAGAGTAATCTGGAGGCAGCTATGAGCAGCAGCACCTCAAAGGCATCGGAGTCAACTCCGCTGATAACTAAAACGGTAAGGATATTAAAAAATCATGTTCTAATACTTTACTCTTTTATTTTACCTCTTAACTATTGTGTAATATTTTATCATTACACTGAATTACTTTATTAACTGCGTCGGTAATTAAATTTCAATTGCTATTATGTGACAAGAGCTACTTACGATCCTTACTTTTTTATATTAACCATTGTATGAATGTGAAGCGTCCAATAAGATCTGTAAAAGTTCGTGACGATTTATTACTTTAATTTTTATAATTCCTGGGTGGAAAATGATTGGCGTTTTTTTTAAAGTATTATTTGTATAAAAGTATTATATAAGTAGGTATGTCGAATGTTCGCAAGAAATTGAATTTAGAATTTAAAATGTATCTGTCAGTTGTAATATATAAATAAAATAAATGCATATCGAAAAAATCTGAAGCGCTTTTAACAAGAAGCTGTTTTACTCCGACGAGATCGTGTAATATTAAAGAGAATCAGGTTTTAAAATGATTACGCAACATGTAGATTAATTACAATTTATACATCCAAGCAGCAACAGAATTTTTCTGCTGAAGAATTTGTTAAAAACATATTAAGATCTGAAGAATATGTTTGTGTTTTACTTAGTGAACGCCTACTATTGTTTGGCAGACGTCCTTTTGTCTCCTAGAAATAAGCTTAAGGGCAGCCATACATGAACAGCTACAAGTGATCCGGAGCAGCAGCTTCAAGCTGTGGGCGAGTTGCTACCGGCATATTGTCTCCATGATAAATGCTACCTTCTTGAAGCTGCATGTAGTTGCTTGTGTGAAGGCTCTTTCGTATAACTACCGCATTTCCAACCCCTATCTTCTCGAGCTCAGCTTTTTGTTTTCTGGTGTTAATCGGAATACATTATTTTGTTTAGAATGACAATGGTGAAGAGATTCAAAAAGGCGGCAAAGGGCTGTCGGTAAACCAGGCGGCGCTGCTGGTGGCCGGTGAGATGGCTGGTAGTGGAGTGCTGGCGCTACCCCGAGCTCTCGTCAAGACTGGTAAATTTTGTATTATAAATAGCTAATGTTTGTCCTAAACGCTTTGCTAATATAAATCACCATAGATCGGATAGTGATAACATTTTACCAAGAAGTTCAGAGAACGTCGTAGGCGGGTTTGTTTTTTATGGTTGGTATTGTAACTTGTTAAGCTATTAAATAGCTTAAAGTCTAGCGTTGTTAAATTACATTATTAATTTTGTCTTCATCTTTGACCATTTAATTTCATTACGTATTTATGGCCAAAATCTCGCTTCTCCGAGGCGTTGTACGCGAAGTGCTTGTGTATAAAAATAAAAAAAAATATTGGATACATAATTACCTCATTTTTAAGTATACTTTTATTCATCAAATTATTCATCCATTAGACAATGGTTGCTGATTATGTGATGATAGTAAATGCATGACTGTTAATGAACAAGGAAGTATAAATTACACACATTTCTTAATTAAAAAATGCAATTGTAAAAAAAAACAAATGCATAAATTAAATCCAAATGTTTACTGTTACGACTATGTATAGAAATCCATAGTTTATTGGTTATCATCCGACGCAGGGAAGTTTTCTTAGTACTCGTAGTACGTAGTGTTAACGACTTAACTGGTAAAACTTTAAGTAATTGGCATAAGATTCTATGCATAGTGAACAGTCGCGGTAATTCACTGTGTTCCACTTAAAGAAAAATAGCCTTGTTTCTTGCAACGAGATAAACTCAGCCTCTTCTTAGAAATACCCATTTAGGTAGCAAAGATTTGCGCAAACGACTTAATTATAATAAGAAACATTAAGTCTTATGCACTTAGCGATCTATTTTCATACAGATACGATTAAAACGTGCATTCACCTAACTATTTTTCCGCGTCATCGTTTGTACAGAACGTACAAATGTCTCCAGCTTAAATGGACCACCGACAAATGTTCCAACTGTACATGGTTAAACCGCACAACAGTCGTGAGAATAAGAAGTTATACCCAGCTGACGTATAATTATACTTAAACGAGTACAGTTGGAGAAAATTATAGGCTGAACATACGAAAGGACATCCAAGTACCAATACGCTGTCCTTGTATCCTACAAAGCGATACGTACCTACTTACCTGATTGATTTTACTGGTGTAACGTTCATTTTGAAGAAAATTTAAAGGGCTACAATTCTTCCATACATCATTTTTATGTAGCTACGTAAGCAAAAAATGCAAAAAAGACCCGAAATTTCATCGCGCGATTTTGAGCTAAACGATTTAACTAAGTCGTAGTCTTTGACTCCAAAAATCAACCAAAAAAATGGGACTCACCTGCAAGCATTACCTTTAGGATAAAAAAAGAATTATCAAAATCGGTCCACTAGCGGCGGAGTTATACCGTAACACACATAAAAAAAACATACAGACGAATTGAGTACCTCCTTCTTTTGGGAAGTCGGTCAAAAAAACCCTGGTTCAACTAACTTTCATGTTACTATGAATTCATAGTGGCTAAATACCTGAATAAAAGAATGTTACCTCTGTCTTCTAGAGACAATAATTAAAGCATTTACGAAGGCTTCCTAACGTTACATGTTACTTAGCAGTGGTCAGAAGAAGACATCGGCAAATATTCTGCGCGGGATTTATAAGTGTTTTGCCAATGAACATGTAATATTCTTATGGTGCTGGTGACGTTTTCATATCAAATGTTTTTTTTTTGTACAAGCAAAGCTTCAATATTACCAAGGATTTCAAAGCGAATTTTTATGCCTTTAGCGAAGTATGATTAATGACAAAATGATCTTAATAAACCATGTTTGTTTTATTTTTAAACTTTTCTTTACATGTATAAGGTAAGAACATTTGTATGTTCTCTCGTTGAGTGATTTTTATCTGAGCTTTAAGGGCTGATTCTTTTAGCATGGCAATAGAGATGATGCCCTTGTTGGCTTTAATTAATAAAGTAGTAATTATGAAATAACTTTGTGAATGATTTGGTTTAAATTATATTAACTCACGTTCCGTGACAAATAAGGTTTAACCCATTAATCTATGGAAAGTTTAAATTATTCAATCAAGTTTTAAACCGACACGTTAAGATTCTAAAACCCACCCACTGAAGGCGAATATTTCAACATTTTTTTTACACATTAACATTTATTGCTTGTTTAGTTCACTTAAGATTTTATTAGTGCACATGCTGTCTCATCTCCCGTCCCAAGTGTGAGGGGAATAGAATACTAAAACATGTCCGACGGAGCCGCTATGCTAATGTAGTCGCTTATCGATATAATGACAGTTTCCAAATGTGGCCAAGAGTCGCTTTATTTATTTTATATTCTTTTAGTATAATTATTAAAATACCAATACTAAAAATATATGTTTAGCGGCATTCAAACTTGATAGCTAATGCTGGGAATATTGCAAAAGAACACTGCAAAGACTAGAATTTTATGAAATCTGTGGGTCCTTTGTAATGCATTGGAAAGATAACCACGAATTAATATATATATAAGTGTGATTCTAGCCTGTTGATTCTTTTTTTTGCGTATACAACTTTACTACGAATAGCTGTAGCTCAGGTAAACATGATAAGCATCAAGTTTCGATAACAAAAGCAATTTATTGATATGTGCATGTTTCCTGACCTCAATTCATAATAAATTATAACATATAACTAGTAAGTATTAATATCGATATCCAACGCAAGCCTTGAAAGCTATTAAATTACACATTCCTAGTTAATTATTGTTATAAAAATGCACCAATTTAAAACTTTATAACGTATTTTTAATATTTCAACAGTCTAGATTTTCAATACATTCCATAAATGAAGCTTCAAATGAAGTTATTGATTTCCTACCATAAAATCAAGTTCCTAAGTTCCACCCCAAAATCCGAAAAATTCCATCCAAACTTTTATAATTATAATACACTAGCTTTCGCACGCAACTCTATCCGCTTAGGATTATAAAAACAATAGTGAGTAGCCAAAGTGTTCATCCAGACTATCCTCTATACCTATACGAAATTTCACTGAAATTCGTTAAGCCGTATAGGCTACAAACTCTAACAAATATCCATCCATCTATCTTAACTTTCCCATTTATAGTATTACTAGCTATTCCGTACGCATGTAATAAAAAGAACAATATTGAGTAGCCTATGTGTTCTTCCAGACTATCCTCTACATCTATGCCAAATTTCATCCAAATCCGTTCAGCCGTTTAGGCTACAAACTCTAACAAACATCTATCTAAACTTTCGCATTTATAATATTAGTACGATAAAGTATTAAGTAAGATGGTCGAAATAGACTCAGGGGAAAACAAATATTTAATATTATAATATACACTAATGATGCATTAAATATTACTTTAGGTTACGATACAAACTTCTTAATTAATAACTTTAATTATTTCCTAGGAACCAATTACTTTGAACTTGTAATATTTCAAAGTGAACTTTTTTTATTAAAATCGATTATAAACATGACCTTTGTTCAAGTGGACATCAGCAATTACTTTAAAAAACACCTGCAACATTTCACAACGACATGCAATTGAACTTTCCTTACCCTATACTTCAACTAGGAATAGGTCAATTTTGTAGATACATTTTTGTATCTACTTCATATTTTAACAACGATATTTAGATTAGTAGTAAGTCTAACTTTGTATCTACACATATCGACGTCTCTTTCATTCTTTTTGAAATAGCGGCGACAAAGATATGATTCCCTCCAATCGAAATGCAAGTTCATATGTTCTTTAAACTTTAATGTGAAGTTTTAAACAGATTATTATCATCCTGTATAATGTAAGAGTAATTTGATATATAATTGTAACAGAATTCTTAATAAAATTATTCAATGACTTATTTATTTTCATCACCAACATATTAGCACAACATATCTTGTTACATTTACAGTCGAAACCATACGAATGTTAGAATTTAATACTGAAGTAAGCTGACTTTTAGAAAACAAATTTAAACTTATGTAGAAAATGGTAGAGATAAACTGTAGTTGTTTACTAACCAGTTATTATTACGAAGACTCAATTGGTTAACTTTAGAAAGTTAATTTTACTTAAAATGGTTTTTAATTTAATGGGGGCAACTTGACTAACTTAAAGGTCGGTAGCTTTATAAGGTGTAGTTTTAAAAGCATTTTCAATATTAAAGTAACAAATATGATTATTTATAAATATCCAAGGTTTTTAGTGTAAGTTAGAAACATGCTTAACGTCTTTTTGTTGTCTGTCATAAATTCTCAGATAAGTTAATGGATATATTATTCACATTATAATTAGAGACGTATAGTTATTGCCTAGACAATAAAACATAAATATTCTAACTTATTTTACGGACAAGCACAGTAAATAACACATGTTTTCTAACAAAACATCTTAAAATTTAGGGCTCCTTTACAAATAATCAGGTAATTTATTTTTACACAATGTCACAGAGTTATTAGATGCAAAAAATAAATTAAAAAACACAGTAACACAAGTTAAATTCACATAATAGAGCATCGAAAATTGTGTAATGAAATTATAGTTCTTAATTGAGTTCAATTTCAGTTCAAATTAAAAAATGAGAGCTTTGTTGGTTTAAACTGTGCGTCCGCTTTATGCTTATCATGTGAACAGAGTGTACACTTTAATGAATCAAAGAAATGTTATCGCTATCTAATATGAATACGCCCACAGATGTAATAACCTTATCAAAGGAATATCGACCATACTCATAAAAGCTTAGAGTTTATATCGGTCAGTTTTTAAAAAGGTTCTTTTCTTAAACCGGTTAATGTAGACTGATAACAATACATGTTAGAGCTGAAGTGCCCTACGACTGTTAACACGGTTGACGAGACCGGGAAATCTTTTATAATTTTAACATAAAATACATATATAAATAAATAATTTCTTGGTGGAATTTAGTATACTTCAAACGCGAGACTTGTAAATTACTCCGATTTCTAACTCTTGAACTATATAATGAAATCTATTGATTCCAAAACAAAACAACTTAAAATACTCTAAAAAAATTGCACCAGTAAACGGAGAGACACAATCTAGATATTAAAGTAGGTATTTTGTATACTGAGTTGCAAAAGTTACTATAGAAAATGAAATATAAGAAAACGTTAAATGAGCATTCAAGAACGTCGTGGTATCGAATGAAGCCTCAAAGTTATATGAGTATAATATTACATCCCGTCCTTCAGTCGTCTACTATTCATTAGCCGAAACCGGACAACCTTCACCGCACAACGTTTCGGCTACACATACATACCCACCGCTTCTTATATATGTTAGATAAGATTTGGTCATTGACTTAAACAAATAACACAATGATAAATAAAATTTCAGTAAAATGCATCTCATTTAAATAATTAAAAATAAAAATTGAGTTGTTTTAAATCTTTATTTCTTTGACTTAGAGTATACCACGTGACTATTTTGAAGCATTGTTACTTTTCTATTTTTTCCTTATCACACAGTTTCTAATCCCATAGTGACCGAGATTGGTGACCGCATTTCTAGTTCTAACTACAGCATTAGTATTACTTGCGTTCCTTTTCTGTCATTCCTAATTTGTGTTCGCAGGTGGAGATTAATTTAAACCGATTATTGATTTACAGCTGAGCTCGTAGACAAAGTTTTGTTATTTAAGTCGACAAATGCACAAAAATAAACACTCTTGCGTTGCTTTTGAATAATACTCTCAACATGTTTTGCTTCATCTGGATTAAATTGCTTGGCGTAAGTTTTTATTGGCAAAGCGAAGGATCAAGCGCTTTCATTGAACAATCATGTTGTTTGTCCACTTTATACCAATTTACGCTGTGTCGGATTGTATGTATGCATTCTGAGTATGGCTTCCTCTTTTAAGTGCTTGTTTATATAAGCTTTAGCGAAATTAAAAGGCAAATTTTCACTTTTACAATTACAGACAAAAAATAACCTGCTAATATTATTTTAACAATAAATCTGAAAGTAAACCAAATTAAAGTAAAACAGGTAAATAGTTTATGATCATAGAATATATATTAAAGAAGTTTAACTGTTCCAGGTTGGATCGGTGTCCCAATAATCATCTTGATGGCGGCAATGGCCGCGTTCAGTGGCCGTCGTCTAGGCGACTGCTGGTCCATCATCGAGGGTCGGGATCCTGAGATGAGGAGCAGGAAGAGGAACCCGTACGCCATCATCGCTGATCAGGCTTTGGGAAAGACATGGAGGTTATATTCTCACGATTCCTTTATATAACATTCGATAAACTTCGTAAATTATTCTGCATACATTAAAAGAATCTAATGTGAAACTATAACGATATCAAGATAATCCTGTTAGTTTTAAATTAACATAAATATGCGTCGAAATCGAAGCTACGTGTCGAGGATAAAAGGAATCTTGATATAATTATGCTTAACACGGTAAGGTTTTCGAACATAATTATGGACTAAACATGCTGTTCGATATCAGCGGTTCAGTGTCGCTGCGTATTTCTTGGCTTTCAATGCTGAACATCTGTACAAAAATATCTAAAGTGTGCGTTTAATAGGCAAATCTTTTAATTGCATTTAAACAATCACTCCCTATTCCTTCCTTTTTTAATATAATGTGCAGCTGAAAATAATTCAGTTTGTAACTATTAAATATGTAATATGAAAATGAAAACGAATCATCTCTTTATTTATATATAGGAATTGTTAAAAAGTTTATGTGAATATATCATGTTGTGTTTGATATTTCAGTGCGGCGGTGTCTCTTGCGATCATCGTGTCGTTGTTTGGAGCGGCCGTCGTATACTTGTTACTGGCTGCTCAGATAATAGAGGCGTTGGTGCTGCCTTTGGTGCCCACCGTCACCTTCTGCATCTGGTATATGATTGTAGCAGGCGCAATGACACCCCTCATGCTCTTTGCAACACCTAAAGATTTCTCGTAAGTAATCAGCCATCCAAGGTAATTCGATAAGAAATGTGTCGACGTCAATATCATTATTGATTTATTATGTGCTTGACACGTTATTATATGTTTCGTCACATTTTGTGGATTTTACTAGCGATATTTCGCTGGCACGGGTTGACGCCGCGCGGTTCGCGAGGCGTCCGCTAGGCGTCAACCCGATCATCAATATTTCGACTCGACCACCGGAGCTCTCGCGCGTCGCCATTGCGCGGTCCGCGAGACGCCGCCGTCGAAGCGACAAGAAGTCGTCAACCCGACGACAGTACTTCGAGGCGTTGCCTCGCCGTCCTCGCAAGCGCGCTCCGTAAGCACTAACCATTTATATTTCCACACAACGCAAGCAATTGATTTATAATAAAACTTCTTTGTTCATCGTGTGCTGTCTACGGAGACACTCAAAAATAAGTAAGTGTGAAGTTAACCATCCATCATTGGGCCAGCATGATTGACTAGTAGTCATGCTCCGGCTTGGAACATCATAAGTCCCTCGTTGCCAGCTGACGACGAGTACTCGTCCATCGCTTCTGTAGGAACAAAAATGTGTGTACTATATTTCAAGTCTCTAGACCTATTATTGTTAGCGGAGTGTGTTGATATACATATCAGTAAGTAAGTCAATGAATCAGTTTACTCTTTTATATAATATCTCGATTACTCAAGAATTTGAGCTTATTTAGCTTGTGAACATTTCAAAAACAATATTAACATTATTTGAACCTTTTTTTCCATTCATTTTAGCCTTTAGGTGTGTCGTATCATCGCTTTTAAAGAATCTGCTGTAGCTCTTTTTAATATATAAATAACAGGTTTCATAAAACAAAAAATCTCGCCGTCTCCTACTAAAGGATGTTTATATGACTTTTTAATACAACGAAAGAAAGTATGGGATTAAGGGTAATAACTACGAGACTTAAATATAGTTACGCTAGCAACAGGAATTGGACAGTTTAGAATAGTGGCCGCTGCCGCGATGGCGAGGCGTTCACACACGAGGGAACGACGCGCTTCCGTCGCGCTTCCGCCGTGCCGACCACGAGGCGTGCTGGTGCCGACATTTTGAATGAAAGGGACCGAGCTAGCGGTTCACCTACATTTCAAATGACTTCAAATGTTGAGTCGTCGAGAGCGTCGTTTTCTTAGGGGGTTAAAGCGCTTGACCGAAAGTCGGCAGGTTTTGGGTTTGAATCCCGCCATGTACCAATATGTTTTTCGAATTCACGAACTTCATATGTACATTTGCCCGACGTTCTTACGGTGAAGGAAAATACCGTGATGCAATCTTCACAAATCTGCGAAGCAATTCAAAGATATGTGTGAAGTCACTCATCCCGTATTGTTCCAACGTGTTTGGCTAAGGCCCCCTAACTAGGGCAGGCTTCGAGCCTCTCAGTGTCGACGTAGTGAGCTGTGATGATGATGATAAAATATTAAAACTTATTTTATTGTTTTATTAATTACAATACAAATTAAAACAAATAATTATTTCTTAGCTATGAAAAGTAAGCTCTGTGGAATTGCTATATATTATAATAACAATTATATTCAGTGATAACATAGCATTCTAACGGTAAAAGAATTTTTAGAGACGGTTTTCAAATTATTTTCATACATACAAAAATCCGGATATATAAATCTCTCCTCTTTATAATATTAGTACAGATAAGCCAATTAAATCCACTAAAACTTAAGTGAAACATGACATAACTTGTTTCTAACGAAGTATTTTGTAGCCTCCTATTTGCTGCCAAACATGAATAACTTATTTACTTCGGATGAATATTTAATAGATACTTATCTAAAAATGTTAAAATCCTATGAAAACTAGTTGAATATTGATTTAAAATCGTTACCTTTTATGACAGGGCGTGAGCATATTATATTAAGAAGGCGATTAAAAAAATAAATTTTAAAAGTCGGTCAAATGTAATACTGACAAACATATTTATGTAAAAAATGGTAATCAATGAAAGTTTTATGTACTTTACATGAAAGAGGAAAACAAAGAAGTAGTAGGTAGAAAAAATGGGTAAAAAAAAGGCAGTTAAGTGACCGCCCAAGGCATTAGACAGAAAGGGCCGTCAGAGGGTCCTTCAGTGTAAGTGAATTATCAGACCGTATTCTCGGCCACTAATAATATCGAACGACGGGTCTAAAATAGTCGATACCTTCAAACTACTTTTATAAGTTACGGACTACGAGTAGAGCCATGCTTTTTAAATAGTGTACAATGTCTCAAGAATGTTTTAATAAAGAGAATAATAATATTAGACTATAGATAGTACAAATGTATTTATTTCGACTTTCAGATTCATGGGAGTGATAGCGTTTATATCGACTATAGTGGCTTGCGTGCTCTATTTCATTCAAATGATGAACGATATCAAACCATTCGTGTTCCGCTGGGGTATCCATGGCTTCCAAGACTTCTTCCTCGCTTTTGGTACCATCATGTTTGCATTTGGAGGGGCATCTACTTTCCCAACTATCCAGAACGATATGATTGACAAATCTAAATTCGGCAAAAGTGTTCACTACAGTTTCATAGGTAAGAAATATTAAATAATAATAGAAAAAGTTACAGACATTACTAATGTTATTAATTGCTAGCTTAATTTGCAAGTCACCAATCCGGTTCCTTATTTATGTTATGTTTTCGACAATAAACATAACGAATGCCATATTGTTAATTAAATTTAAAATAACTTAATGATTCATTAAAACAGCAAAATGGTAGAACTGGTTTAGTTTTTTGAAAGCGTCGTGAGAATGTTTATTTAAAAACACACACGCTCTTGGCAAATTGTACGTCTTACATATTTGCTTGTCAAATTCTTGTAGGCGCCTTATACTTTTTTAATGTATGTTTTCCATTGTTTGTTCCACAGCTATCCTTGCATTGTACCTGCCTATAGCTATCGGAGGCTACGCCGTTTACGGTGAATCAGTTGCGCCCAACATTACCGGGTCTTTAACCGCCACTCCTTTGACCCTTGTTGGTAACATCTTCATGGCTGTCCATCTGCTTTCTGCCTTCATCATTATAATAAACCCTGTTTGTCAAGAAATGGAGGAATTGTACAACATTCCTAGAGGTGACCTTTTAAATACATTTTTTTTTGTATTAAAATACAAATATCAAATACAATGACTCTGGTTGAAAAATATTCAGTCATGAAGATAAATATTTAATTAAAATATTTAATACCAATAGAAGTTGTCTATAAAAGTCATTTTTCTTAAAGTGTTACTTTTAATTACAGATTCTCTCGGATACCGCACGCTTGTCCGTGTATCCATAATGGCGGCGATCATGTTCATCGGTGAAAGCGTGCCACGGTTCTACACCATACTGGCGCTAGTGGGGGGAACAACTGTCGCTCTCTTGACATTCATTCTGCCCCCTTACTGCTACCTGAACCTCACCAGCCAGCCCCCGAGGCAAGGAGAGGTGACTTCGTAAGTTAATTCACATTCTATTTTCGTTCTTGATTGCAATCTTAACTGGTGGTAACTGAGACTACATGTATAAAAAACTGACATCAACAGAAAAGAAAATTAGATGTACTTAATTTGAAATAATTTCTTTACTTGTCCAAAACGTAGGTAAAAACATCAATTAGTTTAAACGTTGTTACCCCAAGCAGTCAAAAGTAGCCCTTTGTAGCAAGAATTCTCCGAAGTATTATAGGGGTGAAACTAGATGTTTTTTTTAAATATTTTTTTATTTTACCTTCCAGTGAGGCACCTGGATGGATGAAGTTAATTTGCTGGGAAATAATAGTGATGGGCGTAGTAGGGGGCGCTGCGGCTACTTTCTCCGCCGTGAGCGCCATCTTCAGCACTGCGCAGGCAACTCCCTGCTATTTGAAATAAGTTTTGTTATTTTTCATTTGGCCTTACAAAGCCAAATGACAGTAGGACACGCGGCTTGTGCATTATAAGGTCCTCTGACCAAATAATATTTTTAGTGCTTACATCTAAGTTCGGCCGCACAGTTAAAAGTTTAATCATATTTTTTCTTTAACTCTTTCTTAGAGTACAATTCGAATTATTTTGATTATTATGTAGCATTTATTATTATTGATGTAATAAAGGTAGTTTTCGAAAATTGTTGGTTTTATTTGTCTTTACTCTACCTGTATCCAAAGTAATATTATCAAGGCTACATAAAGTCTACTTTAAAAAGGGAGGTTACTCTTCTTATAAATTAAAGACCACCACATTTTAACAAACCTCAGTCACAAATAATTCAACATTCTGTTTGAAAAGATACCTGAAGAAGCCTAATACAATATAAAATAAACAATATAAAATGTAATAATGGCATGGACGTAGAGGTTAGTCTGAAAGAACAGATAGGCTTTTGTTTCTATCAAATCAATAATATAATAAAACTCTATCATTATCAGTATTATAAGGGTTGTCCTAACTTACGTTCAGCGAGCAATCTGAAGATTGCAAGACACGTCCCTGTCGACAACGTGGTGTTCAACCGTGGTGCACGCGTGAACACCGCAGAGGGTAAGGAACATTGACCATTATGGTGCAGTAAATAAGACTGTGTATTGTGTGACTGCGATGAGATTTGTTGTCCTTGTTTCGTCAAATATAACGAAAAGGATGGGAATATTCATTAATACAATGATCACCGTAAGGGATAAACACTCAGTATGATATGAAGTATAGTAAGAACGAAATCAACTTTAATGTACGCGACAATAAGTTTTCTTAAGCGATATCTTGGTGTCGTTGAATTCGTGTGACATTGAGTAGAATCGTTATCTCTGAGCCCCGGGTGGCGACTCATTAAGTCCGGGAGATCGGAGCTTGGCGCACGACTCATTTACACACTTCAGACTTTTTACGAACCTCTAAGTAAGTGATTCATAGTAACATATGATAAATTTATTAATTATAATATAACTGTTATTGATAGTGATGATATAATGATAAATGAATTAACTACGTTATTAAATTATCTTTATACTCCTTTCATTACAGGAGTGTAAAATTAATAACGATGACGAGTAGCATAATTCGTATAGCAGCTAGAGTAACAAAATACCGGCCTACAACTGTGTGCATTCGACACCATCAGTACAGCACTGAAAATAAAGGTAACGTACAGTTCTAAACAAAACTTTATAGCGGCTTAGAGTACCTCGCGAGAGACATCATAAAGTTTGTATCTTATAACACCTTTACTTGTTAAGGATTTCTATATGCAACGTGTTGAGGTAGGCTAAAAGAGCATTATTTATTCAAATGTTAGTTTTTACGTAGATTTACAGTCAGAAACTTGTGTAACCCTTTAGTGTAAATAAAAGGCTCTATGAATTCGAATGTATCCGATCACAAATTTACACGTATAGAAATACGTGCTTTCCTAGTTTTCAAATCGAAGTTACATACAAGTTTCAAAAATTATATAACTGTACGTGAGTTTATGCAGCTGACTGTACATCAATTAGTTTAACTACGCTGTATAAGTACTCTTATAACATTAGCTCTACCATATGAGAGAATAAGGCTAACTTATAACTTAAAAGTATCCAAAAACAAGCAAAAGTATACATAATAAAGTTACCACAACCACACAGAAGACAGGCAGGAAGTGGGAGCAATTCTGTGTTTCGTCTGATGAGTGTGCAGTCGGAGGAATTTTAGTCCCTTTCCCTTTCCACTACTTTCTTAAGATGAAGGAAGGGAAAAGTGAATTTGACGGTGGAGGAGACGTTTAGGGAGAGGAAATATCCTCCTTATGAGGACGGTGGAGACACCATCGGTTAAGGGTAGGCAACGCATTTGCACTTCCGGATGTCTATGGGCAGCGGTCGCTTCGCCATATCGGTGGTTTCAGGTGGCCGCATGCTTGATTGCCACATTATAATATATAAAAAAAAACTTAGAAATTCAATGATGCGATACACAAATCGAATACAATTGTTGATAATAACGATAAATTTAAAATTTAACAAAAACGTACTCATGAAAAGTAGAATTACTTTTCGGATAAAAAAAGAATTATCAAAATCGGTCCACTAGCGGCGGAGTTATGCCGTAACACACATAAAAAAAATAAAAAAAATATCGACGAATTGAGTACCTCCTTCTTTTGGGAAGTCGGTCAAAAAGGTAAGCGAAACATTGATCTATGAGCTTGATTGATGTGACACTAGTGTTGAAATATTGTTGGCCCTCATATTGAACATACAGAGACAACTATTCAAGTATCCGTAGAAAAATATGGTGATACGCAACCAACATCTTACTTCTTTAGCTGCTGTATTTCGTAAACTTGTTTATCTAGAGCACAATTATCTGGCAATGCTGCAACGCGATTGTATGATTGTAACAGTTCATTGATTATATATTAGTTTGTTATTATTGCGTAAATATTGCATGTTTACCCTTCCCATATTTATCAGGAAAGCTTTTGTCTGTTCTTATTATAAAATAAAGCAAGATCTTGATAATATTTCTTGAAACTACTCATATATATTTAGAAACGAGCTGTTGCCCGCAACTTCGTCCGCGTGGTATTAGAAAACATACGAACTATATAAATTACAAAAAACTACGTATCTCTCGGGAACCGGACATATCTCGGGGATGAAGCTTATTCCATGTGTACTCCAGACTTTGTTTTATATCTGTGTCAAATTTCAATAAGATATGTTCAACCGTTACAGAATGATCGAGTAAACGTTAAAAACTAACTTAATGAATCCCACGGGAACCGTAACTATTCCCGGGATAAAAAGTATCCTGTGTGTTCTTCCAGACTATGCTCTAAACCTGTGCCAAATTTTATGGAGATCCGTTCGGCCGTTTAGGCTACAAACGCTAACAAACATCCATCCATCTATCCATCCATCCATCCATCTAAACTTTCGCATTTATAATATTAGTAAGATGTGACATAGTTTATGGTTTACTACAATACTCAAATGGATATGTATCCACGACCGCTAGTCCGATAGCCCATAAAGTTTAACCATTGGACCATTGGCGCTATAATTACTTACTTGTTATGTCACCTTGTATTAACTACATCGTTTTTATATTTTATAGACCTGTAAATAATGTTATTATAATTAGTTCGATCGCTTTATCTTGAGGACACATGTTAAACTTTGGTGTTATCTTTTGCGCAATAGTTCTCAACCTATGTGTTAAAGTTTCAATATCAGCATCATAAACATGGCCCAGCGGTTGCTCAACCAAATGATGAACTTATATATTTGTCATTTAAACTTCACGATTTTGACTCTGTACTTCTGTTTATAATGTATGTTTAGATTTAGCTATGCACATTTGTACTTCAACAAATAAACCAAGCGTTTCTCTAAAACTTACGTAGTTACAAATTTTGTACGAATTGGAAATACGTTTCCTAGATGACAGAAAAACGATGTATTTTTTTATTTACTAACTATTATGGTGTCGCTAACCAACGATCTATGCTAAGTCTAGAAGGGGCAGCTACAATTAAAATGGTCAAAGTTATATACTTATTTCAAAATTTTTGATTCTGTAGGAAGGGGGGACCTGTTCTTCCTTGGTCTTAGTGTAGGACTTTGTTCTATCTATTTAGATACCTAGTTTAGCTAAAGAGATGTAAGGAATTAATTTTGTTGTTGCGAATAACTAATTCTTATGCTGTGCGTAAAATATCTGCTTTACACATTCTAAGTAATTTTAAAATGTATTATTGTTTTGTTTGTAGCGAGATATTACACAAAGAAGCATGAATGGGTAGCAGTGAACGGAGACATTGGCACTGTCGGCATATCCCAGTATGCACAGGTACCTACATATATCGAATTAGTTTAAAACATAAACTTTTAACTATTTAAATAGCGTTCGAAAATTGCGCAGTATTGGCCAGGTCTGTACGCATCCGTTCATAAGTATGAGGTCAGTAGCATCGGGTACATATGTACGAAATACATCAATTGACACAAGATCCTCTTAAGACATCGTTATCTGCAGTCGTCACAAAGGCCGGGTCATTCGTGTTTAGGTCGCTGATAAGACATTCTTTTGTATTTCTAATGTCTTTTAAATAAGTATTTTTTTATTAAACTACATGTGTATATAACCTTACAACTTCTATGAATTTCAACGCACTTATTACGAATGTCTCTTAAGGATCCGTGTGCCTTTGTTCAGTGTTGTGTGACGTTTGATTTAAACTAACTACATATCTAGACTGAAATGAACAGCTATAAAAAGCAAGGTATTAAATTCCAGGAAGCACTGGGCGAGGTGGTGTTTGTCCAATTGCCTGATGTAGGCAAGCAAGTGTCCGCGGGGGAAGAATGCGGGGCTCTCGAGAGCGTGAAAGCAGCAAGCGAGATATTCTCACCGATATCAGGAATCGTAAGTTCTTATACCTACTTATTATAAAAGTAAGAGTATATGCGAACAGTCGTTAAGTTGTCTTCCTTAGCAAGCTATTAAACAATCTCAGTTGCAGAAAGTAATGCCAAAGTAGTGTAAATGTTTTGGAATTGCAACTAAATTTTGTGAAGAGATTGGATAAGGCACATGTCTAACAGTAGGTAGTAAAGACTGTCGATGATGAACTGAATGTGATTGGATAAATACATTTTTTTAATTTCAACGATAGTCAAAGCTGTTTAAATTTTATTGAAATCATACCTTTTGATGAAATATTCGAGCCATTGGAATTTAAATGTCAGTAATGAATCAAAGAAAAAGTTCACAGGGACGGATAATAAAATGCTAACGATTTTCAGAAGCAAACGTTGATTAAAATATTTTTAAAAGGAGAGCAATCACTTTTTAATTTAAGTATTTGTAAAACTAGAATAAACATTTCTATTTTTTGTTTTTCACAATCAAAATGGTTATTTAACCAAAAATGTAATTCAGGTGACGGAAAAGAACGACAAAGCAGAAAGCACGCCATCTTTGATCAACAAGTCGTGCTACGAGGACGGCTGGCTATTCCGTCTGAAGCTAGCAGGGACAGAAGAATTAAAGAAATTGATGGATCAGGCGGCTTACGATAAATATCTTCAAGAATCACATTGATGAAAATTGATTTAGCAACTATCTCAAGTTCTCTAGCACACTTTACATCCTTCAATGGTCACTTCAGCAACCCCTTAGTGTAATTTTTTTCATACTAAATCTACGCTAATATACCTTGATCTACAACTATGAGTATGATATTGTGTATTAATCAAAAGTATAGATATTCAAATTTATTTTTTGTAAGAAATAAAAGAGTAAGGAATGTTTGCCGGTTTAAAACCAAAAAGTGTAGAACGAATTTCTGTTTATCTCTCTTTCTCACAACCAGCTCGTTTCAAGCTGCAAAGCTGTTGCTGGTGGTCTTTTGTGGTAGAACTCAAATGCAGGTTTATTGAGAATTTCCAATAATGGAAATCTCAAATTTTAAACATATCTAAACAAATTTACCTGAATAAAGTTGTAATCACAGACTTTATAAATTCTGACATTGTTAGAACCAATAAATTAATAAAACCAGTGACATTTAGATATAATTATCATTAAAATGTTCATTTAAAATGTTCATCAAAAAACATTACGTTAACAATATTTGTAAGTTAAAACAATGCAATTATTATTTACTAGTAACCTTACAAAACTCATGTACTTGATGTTAGTAACTTATGCATTTCAAAAGTAAATAAGAATCTCTCATTTGTATCAATATCGTTTTTTATTTAAATTCTATTACCAAAAAAATAATCATATTAGATTACTTCTTAAACAAAGATTATCACTTCTGTAAACATATTAAAGGATATGTCGACATTATTGAAATTATTTCATTTATTTAACTACATATTTTTTAGCAAATTTAAAAATAATTTTACATATCGAAGAGTTACTAGGTCTCGTGTTGGCACGTGGTACTGAAGAGTGGGTTTGTTGACAACGCGTCAATCCAAATGGCAGGTACTATGGGTATGTATAGTATAGCCTGTCATCGATACGTTAGAGGATTTTTCACATAGCTTTTATTTTAATGCAGCAGCACCTGATATGATTTCAATGAGCTCTCTCGTGATGACAGCTTGTCGAGTCCTATTGTACAGCAGGGATAGATTCTTGATCATCTCGTTTGCATTCTTCGTAGCATTGTCCATAGCGGACATACGAGACGATTGTTCAGAAGCGGCGCTTTGCTTCAACGCGTAGTATAGTAATGCAGCGAGTGTCCACTCCGCGTAGCTCTCTAACTGGTCCTCCTCGATGTCATCGAATGCGGTCATTTTGGGTGCTAACTGGTGGTGAGATGTTTTCAGGTTATAATCTGTGGCGATGTAACTGGCATGCGTAGACTCGTCTACGCATGTCAGGGATCGATGAGAAAAACAATGTCAGAGGGAGTTGTCAGGACTAGCGAGTAAGACGAAGGTTGGAAATAAAGAATTATTTCAACTCGGCATTTAGTATCGCCTCGTGGTTAAACCCTAGCCAAGGGCCATGTGCGGTTAGGGTGTTGGTAGATGAGTTAACTAAAACCATTGGACTACTTTTTATATCTAAGTTTGTCTGACCCATATTGACCGCCAGAGTCTCCTAATTTACATTGAGTAAAACCAATAAAGTCGAGGCTAAGGCTATAAACACTCAAACTACTACATTACAGTTATGAAATTCAAACAATTAAATTAAATGCTTACCTCAATATTCATCATTTATATGGATTTGATGCTTTATTGTTACTCACCTCTATAATCTTCCTGCTGTACGCAGGTACGATTGTTGTCACATACTTAACAGGCGTGAAATATTGATTATAGAATATTTCAGCTACGTCATAATTATAACCGGACTGTGTGATCGCCATCGCTACAATTGACGCATCTTTGAAAATAGGAGATATGCGGCCAATCTGGTGAAAATTTTAACTCTTAGTATTATTTATTTACTAACCTACATTGTTAATTAATACAAAATATATATAATCGTAACATATATGCTCAATTTCAAAGTCACATATATATACACTTAATTTTAATTTATCTTTTTTGCTTCTTTTCCATATTTATCGAAACCTAAACGTGATGTTTTTTATCCTTCTAACAAAATTTTATTTACAGGTAATGGATACATTTTCATTCGTGTATCGTGTAATCTTTTCCTTTTTATTATTATATCTTGTCCGTTGTTTGTACTATATAAATAAATAAATAACAACTACTCCTTTTTTAAATAATCACAAATCATATTTAGTAGCAACTTTTGCTCGCGAGTCCGTCCGCGTGAAATTAAAAAAAAAAAACGAAATGAATAGCCTATGTGTTCTTCCAGACTATCCTCTACATCTATACCAAATTTTAACAAAATCTGTTCAGTCGTTTAGGCTACAAACTCTAACAAACATCCATCCATCGAAACTTTCGCATTTATAATACTAGTATGAAGTATGGTTACTACAGGAGATATATTTTCATAATGTGATAGTGTAATACATACAAAACCTTCACCTGTTTAATAGATAAAATTATATGTTCACCATACATTTGTCTGAGCTGCGACCGCGATTTGTCACCGATGCAGACGATCTTATGATTCGGAGAGTCCGCACTGCGTACAGCCAGTGTACACTTGATCAAGCGAGCTACACTTGTATGGACACCACCGCATAAACCTGACAACAAGAATGTTACTGTAGAACTCAAATTTAGTTGTGACGGGTGTACATGGATGCGAACGCACACTTCTTTTCGCGCTGAATCTTGAGCCTTCAATAAGTATCATAGGTATTAGAAGACTAAAACTTTTAGGCGAGATAAGTGAACATGTCTGTAAAGGTGATATCAGGGCTGATCGTGAAAGTAATAACGAATGGACTGTGTGTGTCCCACATCCGCATAACCTTAAGACCCGTCGATACTTAAAATTATGTTTATATCATGTTCGAGATTAGGATAAAGTTTGAATAATATTATAATTGAGTACGGTTTATAAAATGAAAGTAATTGCATATCTCTAAAGCAGTCCGGACTGCGCTAATTGTTAAGTAGATATCAAGAAACCATCGGCGGTAAGCGTCGCAATTGATATTAATTACACAGTTTGTTATAAAATATAAAACCCATTGCAGCATAGCCATTGACGCTTAAGAGGCAAAAACATCGTAAACATTTTTGTTGGTATTTACCGATAACTAATCACTGATAAATCTAGGCACTACTAGCCACTACTAGATATTTTTATTTTATAATTACTCTTGCGATAGTTGGGTCTGCTGTTTTACATACGTTGAGAGTCGTAGTATGTCGTCATTATTGACACCGAAAGCATTTCCTTACGTGTCTCCGCGCCCCTGAACCATTGATAACCCTTTGTACGTTCTCATAACACACAACACTGAGTTTCGACTGCTATAACACTTGTGTCGATACATATTGTCCCTCACATACTCTTTGTAAAAAACAGAAGTACAAAATAAATTATATGATCTTATTCTGTAGGCCTTAATCTTTACAAATTAAATGGCCATAGAGAAGAAGATTATTTAATATTGTTTTCCATATAAAGAGAGTGATGAAATACATTGTGTGATGAATTGTTTATATATCTATTATCTCAAATAGTAGAATTTTCCTTAGAGTTTACTTTCCATTTGCAATAAAACTACTTAAGATTACATAACTGCTACTTTTACTGTCTTGTCATTTGATTATGTAACAAGATAACGTTACTTAAGTATAGCAGTGCTTTCATCTTTAAAACTCCTAGTTTTTTTTACATAGGATTAAAAAAATATACGAAGCTTAATTTACTAAATATTAAAATATTAGCTTCATTAAGATCATATTAGCGGTTGCCCATTGGTCGAAATTCGACTATACATTTATTTTTCTATTCAATTGATAAGACAGAATAGCTTTAACAACTTTTTATCCACGTTAATTGATACACTTTTATCTGTTGGCGAAATTTCCTTAAAATAGGTCACAAAGTTTTCCCTTCATGTATAAATAATAATTATGTTTGCATTGACACACACACACACAATTTGATGGCTACAAAGGAAGAGGGAGACCGAAGAAACTATGGATGGATTGTGTGAAAGAGGATATGCTTAAGAAAGGAGTGGATTCAGTTATGACGGCTGATAGAGATGTATGGAAGAGCAGCACATACTGTGCCGACCCTCCATAAGGGATAAGGGCAAGTGGATGATGATGTTTGCATTGACACAATATAGTTAACTAACAGTAACATATACTACCATATGATAATAATATATATCACACTAATTTTAGTGGCAATTTTACGCAGATGTAGAATTTAGTCTCGAAGAACTCACTATATTAATTCGTTTTATTTCCTATTAATTTATATGTATACCATTCCCGAATGACGTAAGAATGTATGGCAATAGTGACGTTATATGCTATTGGGAATACCAAACAGTACTTATTTGTTGAAACGCGTACGGGAATTCGCGCGTGCCTCATTCTGAGGTCAATGGGACTATCTCGCTCAGATAAACATTATCACTTAATAATGGATGAAATTATATTGATACAATGGTCCGAAGACCAATTAGTGAAGTACATGACAGCTTCACATCTTACATCCATGATGCGTTTCATTCTATATAACTTCTTACTTACTTTATTAATGCGAAAGTTTTGATGGATCGATAGATGGATCTTAATGACATTTGGCAAAGATCTAGGGGATATAGACGATTGCATTGGCTACCTACTTTTGTTTTTTTAAAATCCCACGCGAACGTAGTCACGGGCAATATAATCTATAAAAATTAATTTCAATTTAAAGAAGTAAAACTTTGATAATGTTTTTTTTAAATTTTGATTGCATGGATTTTAAAGCGTTGCTAGTAGTAGTTTATTTTAAGTAATATCGCCGTCTTAATATTTTTTAGGTAATGCATTCACTAACCCCTATCAGAGGTGACAGCTATATAGATTACGCGAGGCTTGAAGTCCTTGCTTAATTCTTTCTTTGTTTCTGCTGGAAGAGGTGGTTCACTGTCACATTCTTTCTTCACGTTTTTATCAAGGGCTTCCTTCTGCAGCTGACTTGATACATAAAACTTGCGAGGACCGAAGCCAAACGCACGCGCTGCATGCAACTCACGTTCCGCTTTTGTAAATCTGCAAGGACCAACAAATTATGGAACTATTTATTCTATTTCTCAGCTTCCATAAACGTTTACCAAAGGTGTAAACCCACTGTAAACAGTATTAAATATATTGAAATGTTTACTTGCTAGCTGATACCATCTTCATTGTTTTTGTAATCTTTTGTATATTGTGGATTGATTTTAATCTCATAGAGACCTGCTTAAGTTGGACCATTGTTATTTAGACCGCTTCTTGAAATAAACGGAAAACAACAATTATTGTATAAAATAACAATACTGCTGTCAAATTGATTGATCAAATTGAATGTAACCTTTTTAACAGATAAAAATAGTTAAAATGAATAAAAATCTCATAAAAATACTTGGTCTATGGTTTTCTTATTGAGCTATATAGCTGTGGCCTATAGCCTATATGGGCTATTTACCACATATATATTTATATATTTATATCATAGAGTGACAAACGAGCAAGCGGCCACCTGAATCCGCGGAGATGGTGAAGCGACCGCTACCCATAGACATTTGCAATGACGCAATTTGAAATGCGTTACCTACCCTTCATCAACAAAGGTGGAAACGAACATAAACAGTATATTTCCCCTTCCTGTCCTCCTTTTCTGATAAACATAAGGATGGGAAGGAAAGGGGACTAAAGTTGGGCCTCCGGCACCACACTCATCAGACGAAACGCAGAATTGCTTCCACATCACGCCTGTCTTCTAGGTGGTCGTGGTATTCACCGGGCGAGCTCTCTACCATTGTCAAACTCTACCATCTAATCAGAGGTAAATTTTTAAATTATAATGATAAAATGTGCTTAAATACCGTAATTTCTACTGCTACATGTAGTTTATAGTAGAAAAGGGCAAACGAGCATCTGATCGTCTAATTATAGCTGATTTCAAAATTCCAATCGGAGAAATAGATGCGCAAATAAGCTGATGTAAGAGACTTCTAATTTAAATCATGAATAGTCCCACATTGTTAAAACGTAATAAGACTTCGAGGTCTACTGTTTTATAAAGAATTTATGTCACTACTTAGATAGGCAACGATATCAACTGGGGCTCGTTCAAGGATAGGATATACTTAGCAAATGTTTACTAACATCGACAGATTCGCAAAAGGAAAATAATGCCTACGTCACGTCGTATCAATCAACTTAATATACCTAAGATACCTTCAATGCAAATAATATTCATTGAACTGAATATAGTTATGAATTAAATGGTACGACGTAGACTGCAATACAATCTGTATTAAGTACGGTATAATTAGGTTTAATAAACTCCGCCGCTTGCAAATAATTATATTATTTACATTGTCATTGTTATTATAAAAAAAAATCTCGCCCGACCTTCGGTTTCACTAATGCCAATAAAAAATCCTAACATGTAACTCAGGCGTTCTATTGCATCGGGTGGACGTTTATCAATGTCGTGGATATACGAAATTATTCATATATGGAGAAGATAGTTTTAAAACTACGTAAACAAATATTTTTTTATTCTAGTGAGTATGTTTGATGTTTTTAACATTTTTCATTTATATTTTAACATTCTATATGAACTTCATTATGTAAGACGTAGGCAAGAGATGCTTTTAAAAAAAATAATAAGAAAACTCTCACTCACGCCACGCTATTGGCTACACATTTTCACTCTGTTTAATTTAGGGGAATCAAATGGAAAAATAGTTATGCAAGATAGGAACAAAAACTACAAGCAACGGTAATGGAAAAGGTCTTCGTAATCATTTATGCATTTGAATTTAACATTTGCAATCAAAACCTTTACGAAATGTAAATATTACAATAAAGTTTCTATAATATCATTCGGATAAATCCACACGGGAACATCTAGTTATTTATATGTAGATAGCGAGGAGCTTGGAGCTTAAACAACATATAATGCCATGTCCAATTACTTATCAATTACTTCATCGTCAAGCAAAAGCATAAAAGCGGTCAGATCGACGCTTGCGTTTACATCAGCGGTAGACATCGTCGTGTAAACAAGTATCTTACATTTCATCACAAGATGATGGGAGTACAAGTTGCCGCCAGAGAGGTGCAACCGATATCTGGTTCACCGCCAGACAAGGTGAATAAAACCTTTATGTTACCTTACTTAGTAAAACTTTTTTATGTCGTTTTAATTTCCGCAACACTACGCTAACGGAATGCTAACTTGCGAATTTTATTGCTTGTTCATTATTACTTAGTGGTCTACTTTTTGCCCTTCTTGGAATATGTTTGAACTTTTTTTTAGTACATTAAACGTAGGTTACCACTGCCATAACTCTTGTGCATGTGTGTTGTGTAATCTCTAAAAAACATACCTACGAGTAATATATTTTGTAGAGGTGTTTTGCATTGGTAACCTAGGAAACTACTAAATGCTATCAGCTTTTGCGAAGCTATCAAAAATTACACTAATGACAATTGTTTATTTAAATTTTAAACGTATGTATCGAGAAGTGATAATTAAAAATAGGTTAATAAGATAAAAAATCCATTTTTGTGTGTATTGAAATAACTCAGAAAATAAAAATTTAAAGTATATTCCACCATTAAACATAGGCTACATTTATTACCACTTTTAAATTTCATGGGGACGCAGGCGCGGACAGTGTCTTATACATCATAGTAATTGGTGGTCAATTATTTTTTAACCGCATTAATGACGACCTTCAAAAACCATGAACGTGGAAAGAATCCTTACATTAACCCTTAGTTTGATATTGGTCGCTACATCGGAGGAAGAATTGTTATTTCATTATATTTCAAAATCCAGACATTTAACGTCAAACTAAGGAAATAAAACTGCCTCACTTGTGACCTTTGATGATCACTTAAACATAGTAGATTTATTTTGTTTAATTTACACTAAAGAACTCCCTGAGTACACCCCCTATTATTGTTAAATATTAACGCTGTGGAAGGAACAGCCGAAACATAAATTCATCTCAATTTCTAGTAACATGTTCGATCCCCATTATCGGAGCTCGTAAAATTTTATCGTTGTCCTATCTCCTAACTAAATAATGTAGTTAGTTATAACAATTACGTAATACGTCAATTATGTTATCGCATTGTTTTAAGTTTATAAATATTACCAATCTCATGTTATCACAAAATTTGGACAACTTTGTGAAACATCAAACATTGTACATAACTTGCTAATTCCAAAATGTTGTAAATTTTAATCTTTCAACTAACTCATTTACAAATAATTCTCATAAAGTCTCTTTAATTTGCAAAAGTGAGCGTACCGCTACCTTACTTTAGTTGCTGTTAGTTGTTAAGCATCTACAAAGTTGATAAAGTATTAATCGAGATGGCTTAATCTCTTGCTATTAAAATTCTATTCGGCGCTCGGAAAATAACCAGCTAGTGCGTTCACAGCGTGTGCTGTTGGGGTTATCGTTTCAACTGTGTACCCCTTCTCCAGCTAAATGGGACAGAAGATATATCTCGCTAAACTACGAGTATCGTCTTGTGACGTCATTATTGTGTAATATCCTTGGTTATAAGGTTACTGCGTGAAATCGCAAAACGTCAAAGGTTATTTCTAAATGTCCTCTTGCTTTGGCTACATAGGGTGTAACATGTGAGAAGCAGAATTATATTTTTTTTTATCACGACTGAAGTAACTACTTAACATTTGAAATTAGCAGAAGTAGCTTTTAATTGATAAAATAAATGAACAAAAACACATCTAAATTTTAAATGAGTTTTTAATAAAACAAACTTATAAGCCGTAGAAGAACTACGAGTATATTTGGAAGTATAAAAACAAGTAACTAGAATGTTAGTTACTAGAAAAACATGTTTAAGTGCACGTGGGATTATATTTCTTTTTTCTTTATTTCAGCCGAAACTTATGCATGGCGGTAACTACATCAAAGAAGGGCGAGATTCATCAAAGTCTACTTGGCTGTTGTTCTCTCCGGAAAGAGACGAAGCAGGCTCCCTAGCGAGGTTCTTGAATATTTTCTCAACCCACGGAGTTAACCTCAGCCACATCGAGTCTAGGTCTTCAGCCAGACGTCCAGGTTACGAGTTCATGGTCGAATGTGAACACGGCGCTGGCGATTTCGGTGCTGCTTTGGAAGATTTAAAGAATAATGTGGGATATCTAAACATAATCTCAAGAAACTACAAGGACAATAGATGTAGGTGTCTAGTAGCTATCGATTCATTTCCTCATTACATTTTTATATGTTTTAACATACAGATTTTTATTTGAAAGGTGCTGTGCCGTGGTTCCCGAGGAGGATACGTGACCTGGATCGATTCGCTAATCAGATCCTATCGTATGGAGCAGAATTGGACTCGGATCATCCAGGGTTCACTGACCCTGTATACCGGGCGCGCAGAAAGTACTTCGCGGATATCGCTTATGAATACAAACATGGACAACCGCTGCCTCATGTCGACTACACTATGGAAGAGATCGGCACTTGGGGAGTTGTGTTTAGGAAACTTGTCGAACTGTATCCTACTCACGCTTGTAAGGAACATAACCATGTTTTCCCCTTGTTGATTGAGAACTGTGGGTACAGGGAGGACAACATTCCTCAATTGGAAGACGTCTCTAATTTCTTAAAAGGCAAGTTACGTTAAGTCTAAGATTCACGTTCAAAAAGCATTGTAGACACAATGAATAAGTTAAAGTAACAGTTTTATTCATTTTTTAACAGAAGACCAGTTTTAGAAGTTTTAAGCATCATAAAAAATTGAGGATGGAAAACGTGATGTGAATAAAATACATAATTTTCCTCTTCTTTCCAGATTGTACTGGTTTTACACTGCGACCAGTGGCAGGTCTGCTATCTTCGCGTGACTTCCTCGCTGGCCTGGCGTTCCGCGTGTTCCACAGCACGCAGTACATCCGCCACCATTCGAAGCCGTTGTACACGCCGGAGCCAGACGTGTGTCACGAGCTGCTCGGCCACGCTCCCCTCTTCGCAGACCCCGCCTTCGCTCAGTTCTCACAGGAGATAGGATTGGCCTCTCTCGGTGCACCCGATGATTACATTGAAAAATTGGCAACGGTAAATTGTAACTTTATTAATTAAACTTGTTAAAATGACCTTAATAACCGAAACTAAAATTTCCCAGAATCGTCTCCTGTACCTCACTCTCACTCACTCCGGTACTCACTCATTAGAGAATTTTATATAATTCTATCAGTGCCATTTCTTTTTAATTTGTTTTGCTTAATATTTCGTATCTAAGAAATCAAATAACATTTTTTGCAAACTTATTTTCCAGTGCTTCTGGTTTACGGTAGAATTTGGATTATGTCGGCAAGATGGTAACATAAAAGCTTTCGGGGCTGGACTTCTGTCGTCGTTCGGAGAACTCCAGTATTGCCTGTCTGATAAGCCTGAATTGAGAGAATTCGAACCAGAACTGACAGGAGAACAGGAGTATCCAATTACGGAATATCAACCTATTTACTACGTGGCTGAAAGCTTCGAAAGTGCCAAGGAGAAAATGATGTATGTATTTTAGTCCACATCAATATGTCATACAGTTAATGCTTATTTTCTGTAATTTGAATGTAAAAGAAGGTCTACGAGCCTCAAAAACTTACTTTCTACAACATAAAAGTAACACAATCCAGTTAAAGATGTTTGATATAAATATTTACTTTTTAAATGTTTTTTTCATGGTTGATAAAAATTTGTGATTTCAGAAAATTCGCTCAGACCATACCACGTGACTTCGGAGTGAGGTACAACCCTTACACACAAAGTATCGACATACTTGACTCTCCCAAGCAAATGAAAGATCTCCTTAAAGAAGTACACCAGGAAATGGGTCTATTACTCAATACTATGGACAAATTGTAGTTTATAATTATTATTATTTATGTGAAATAGCTTTAAATCTAGCTTACATTAATGCTTTACGTTAATCTGTTTCACTTCTGCTGGACAAAGTGAATGGTTATTAACATAGTTTGTAAGTTTTAACTAATAACTTTATGTTGTAATTTTATTAGGAGGAGTAATTTAAATATATGTAAAATCATCGAAACATATCATTTTAAATTTATCAAGCTTGAACCAACTAATAATTAGGTTAACTTTATTTAACATTAACTTAAATTTAGGTGTTTTTAGAATATCTGTAATCAATGTATAATTACGAATAAAATAATAAAGTCATACATATTTAAATCTTGTTTCCTTTAAGTAACAAATGTAATTTAATTCGAGATATTTACACGCATCGATAATACACGGTTATCTTACCTCTTAGAAAATCTCGTCGTTGAAACTTTTGTTACACACTAGAAAACAAATTAATGGTTTATTATTTGAATTGTGTTGGTTATTGTTAATAAGATGTAATTGTTTTAACAGAAATACTTAAAAAATTACATTAAACGCTGTTTACAAAATGAACTACGAACTACGTCTTTCAGGGGTTTAGTGTAAATTTAGTTATCATCTAAGTACTCTGACTGCCTTTAATTTTCTTTCTTGTATTTTGGAATATATAATAATACGGTGAAGTATAAATCTCTTTATCCTTTTGTGTTATTTGTGTAACTTTTGTGTAATCTTTATAACGATAGTATCAGGACTAATCATGTTCGCCTACAAATGCGTTGCTTCTTCGTGCATATTACCTCCTGCTAGAATTGTTAGCTGCATGTTATCGATGCCCGATTTTCAACATGCCCTTGCTGTGAGAAGACAATCCTTTGTCTTGTGAACTTACTTCATGTACAAATGGCATTAAATATCATTTAATGTAATATAAAAACAATTTTTAAAAAATAGTTTAAAATTTTGTTTAAAAAATAATATTTCTGTTAACTGTTGTTGTAAAAAAATTGGTTTTTAAATTACCAGTACATTGCAGAGTAGCAGCACAAATTACTGTTCAACTTTTTTTTCTATATGAGAAGTTAATAAAAGCCAATTAAGCCGTACGAAAGCCTTTTAAAAAAAATCGAGGGACAAAGGAAAGTTTGGTTACAACGTTTCGAAATACTTTATGCGAAGTTCGGAAAATTTTATGCGAATTTTTACTAATTGCGCATATTGTCTGAACTGAAAGTTTTGCTAACAAAAACTTACAAGTTAAGAAAGAAGCCATAAAAAATAAACTTCAGGGTTTATGTATAGCGAACATGATGTTAGGAAAATTTGTTGGCTTTGATACTTAACTTAAAGTACGTAGTTAAACGGTATAAAAGGTTTATACGAAATTCTTCTGAAAGTTACAAAGTTTCTATTGAAGAGGTTTAATCTATCGGAAAATTACCTGTATATTAAACGAGCTGCTGTACCGCTTCATTCGCCAATTATATAAACTGAATTTACAGCGCTTATAAAAACTGTATTTTATTGTTTACATTAACTAAAACTTTTAATTCAAATGCTTTAATAACAACGAAGTTCCTTGACGTTGGCTGAAAATTGTTTATGAGTAACCATGGCAACCGCGCTGTTTAGCTGCTATTGTAGACTGAGCTTTAAAACGGCACATCTTTGACAAAATTATTGCACAACTGTGACGCGATTGTCGACTGTCAATTGTTTCGCAGCCAATTCAACTGTTTAGTTGCACAAATAAAAATCGAGTAGTGTGCCCACCTCCGTATAAGTTCATAGGAATATAATCGAGACTACGCAATTGTGCGATAGTTTAGTTAAAGGTGTGCCTGCGCTCTTAGGCTATACATTTGCACGCTAGGGCTTTTCATGTAAAAAAAAAATCAAAAATGTAGTTACTGTAATTGCTGACATCCTACGTAACTGAGAATTGTGTTTACGCTCTATTATAATAGTATAGATCAAATGTTATTAAGCATAAATAAAAAAAAAACTCTAGGTATTCTTATATTTCTTGCTTTTCTAAGGTAGGGAAAGTAGTTTGGTTTTCTGAACTCCACGCGGACAAAGTCACGGGAAAAGATAGCCTACGTATATAAAAGATTAAAATGACTCTAAAAATTAATCAATCACACTTAAAACTACAGGGTGAAGAGACATGAAATCTAGTAGAGAGTGTAGACTAGACTAAGTGACAATTTTACGAACATCTCCTAAAGGTCTTAAAACGGGGTACAAAGTTTGTATTGATCAACGTTATTCCTTCAGCAGAATTGCCTAAGAAATTGGATGTAGACTTTTTAGAACAATTAATTAACTACCTCTTTCAAGTTTTTTTTTCAAATTTTACCTTTCGGGGTCTTAAAACCACGTTCAAAGTTAGTATATAGATACGTTATTGAAAGCGTAGTGACAAGATTTGATATTTTGCTTGGGTTTATATTTCTACGTAGATGAGTACTATAAGAGTGTTATGAAATTATTCCCCTAAGGCTTTTATTTATATGAAGAGATGTTATTCCTTCAACAGTATGACTCGAAAACAACATCCTTTTGAGTATAATTCATTGACTGCTTTATGCAAGTTTTATTTAAATATCATTGGGCATTTTATATTTTATATTTTATATTTCAATACTCTTTGAAATATCAGATTCTTTGAAACCTTTGAAAATTTGTATCTAGAAATGATTTGTATATGGATTTTTGTAAGGTTTTTGTAAGTTTTGAATCACAGAACTCCACGAAGTCGCAGGCAACAGTTAAAAAATAATAATGGACCCATGGAAAAGTAGATTTTCGACATTTAATAATTAGTTAGTTAAATCGTACCCAAGTATAAATAAAACACGTTTTATATTTAACCAACGTAATATATTTATTAATTTGTACAGAATAAGCCATAGATTTAGTATACCAATAGATCAATGCAAAACTCATTTTTTAACGTTATAACCGTTAGATGCGGTTAATATCCTCTAAGTAGTATGTCAACCAATCTATTAGTATTCATAAATCTATGGAATAAGTACCTAGTACTTGTCTAAATCTAATTACATCTAGGAAATGACAAGATAATGTAATAACTCTTTACAAAAACACGACATAGACGCAATGCGCAATTTACAAGAGAAAATGGGAATATATTAGTTAAATATTTTTTTATAATACTGAGGGGCTATGTTATATACCCAAAATAGGCGTTGAATTTTTCATAAATATAAAGACTTCTTAACTGGGTTGAAAACATTACAAATAAATATATAAAGTAGTTCCAAAATATGCTCCAAATTAAATTTTAGGCTAATTCCTTTCAAAACAAAAATTTCATCTAAATATTTTGATATAACAGTAACTTGAATAGGTGAGATAGGTGTATATTTCATTAATTTGTGGGTGAGATGACACATTTCGTCACCAATAGTAGACTGAACTAGTTTTACTAAATAAAAACGTGAAAACTTTGCATTTAGATTTCTTTTTGATATACTGCATTACATAAACAATATTCGTTTCATCACCATCATCACCAGCTCACTATACGTCCCCACCGAGGGGCTCGGAGCCTACCCTAATACGGGGTGACTAGGCCATAGTCAACCACGCTGGCCAAGTGCGGGTTGGTTGACTTCACACATATCTTTGAATTTCTTCGCCGATATGTGCAGGTTGCATCACGATGTTTTCCTTCACCGTAAGAACGTCGGGTAAATTATGTACATATGAAAATTCGAAAAATCGAAAATCACATTGGTACACGGCGGCGGGATTCGAACCCAAGACCTGTGGATTACAAGTCAAGTGTTCAAACCACTGAGCCACCGACGCTCTAATATTCGTTTGCGTCAGAGAAATTCGTAAACAATTAAAATTATTGTACATAAATAGTTCGATGTAAAATTAATATTTCAAACAGCAAAAGTAATTTTATCACAGTCACTAGACACACAAAAATAAATATATTTTTTACAGTAACACTGAGAGTAAAAATTCCTTAAATTAAATAATAAAGAACGTATTCTATATTTTACATATAAGTAGATTAAAGTTACATATTTATCTAAGAATAAATTACATTAACTATTTATACAAGCTTTATTCAGTACGGTAGAAATACATACATAAACTGATGTTTTGTCCATGTTTATTGTTGTTCAATTAAGATCAATATTCCTGTGGCAACAATTATTTCTAGCAATATAATAAGCATAACTCTTCGATACAATGTTGTATAAATTATGAGCTTACTGTAGTCAATAACATGATAACGTATGAATTATTATCTATCTGCAAATATATTAATTTATATTCTGTTAACATTTACAAACTTCTGATATATACAGTCCTAAATATAACGAACGATGGAAAACACGATTCCTCAAAAGATCTTTAGTTTTATGTTAAAAATGTATCAACACGATGAACGTAATTGTGTGTATTCATTTTCAAAATTCTCTCTTATAAAATGTTTTAATACAAGGGCAGTAAGGATTTGTGATCAAAAAAATTGTTAAAATCCTTCTCATTGCCAAAAGAAATGTACGCTTAGTTTTCCAGTTAACTATATTTTTTCGACAATATCAGAACACACATAAGCTGAAATGGAAAAGTTAAAAACTACACATTCTTTATATCTACACGAATAATATAGAGAAAGCTTCATACATTAAGAATACATAGATTTTCAAACTTCACTCTGCATGCAATGGATAGATGAATCTTCGGAGAGTTCATCCATTGAAGAGTCCGTGAAAGAAGTTCCGTCTGGAAAAAATAAACATTGCAGTCAGTATCAGTAATGTGAACGGTGACATAATTAAGAAGGGATTGACCAATGATGATAGATCTTGAAGTCCAAACCTGGTGCTTGGACCTTGCATATAGTGGGAAAAAAACTATGAATCTATGGGAAGTTCAAACTAATCTAGGCTCTAAACAGATTGTTACTGAAACACTAACAAAATGTGTATATAGTCATCTAGTAATCTCACGGTGGAATTTGGATAATTACCTATTGGGACAAATGGTGGCTTGTTCTGGAAAGAATACGTGAGATGGAGGTTTATGGGCCGCCCAAACCCCGCCGGGTCCGCATCTCGTGACATCACTGTAAATTGTTATGGCATTTTAACTATAGGAATTAATATAAAGACCCTTATTACAATTCGCATCGCAGATTACATTCGCACACACGCATTAGAATGGTTTACACAAATGCAGTAGGCAACTTCGCATTAAAATGATAAAAATATTATACTAACGTTGGTTTTGTTTTCCTTTGCCTGTATGTTGATGTTTCTTCTGTCGCGCTCGGCTGTTTTGAAACCAGACTTGTGTGACCCTTTTGCTCAGTCCTGTGACCTGAGCGATCCTCTCCAAGTCTTGGCCGTCTGGGTTCGAATCCAGCTGAAAGTTCGCCTGGAGGACTTGCAGCTGCTCCTCCGTGAATGTCGTCCGCACCCGCTTTGCCTTGCTTTTGTGGTAACCTTCAGAGTCGCAGCCATCTATAAAGTTGTATATGTCATTTATTATTAAATATGCAATAAACTATCCTACCGAAAGTAACGAAATATAATCCTGTACGAACTATTTGTTGACTGCCGCTCAGAATCGTTTAATAGTTACTTAAAAACTCCATTTGTTTATTATCGTAATAAATGTACTTGCTAAAGGAGAGAAAGATTCCTTTAATCAATGACCGCCTAAGAACTTTGAATGCAGAGATCAGTGCAAATTATACAGAATAAGAAATAATAAACAATTAATTACAAAACAATAACAGAAAGACTTTCAATAATTTTTGTATTATCGTATAGCTATAACTATTTCCTTAGATCTTAACTACGATAGCTTGTATTTAATGATCTATTTAAAATGAAATTACCATCAGAAGAAATAGAGCCACCGTCAAGAGTCTCAAGGTAATGCGGCTTGCATAGTACTCTGTCTTCATGCAGTGCGAACTGTTCTCCCGTGGAGAGCTGGCGTCCACAGGCGTCGCAGGCGAAGCACGCCAGATGGTATATTTGTTCTCGAGCCTTCCGCACCCAGTCCGTTGAAGATATACCGCGGCAGCACTTCGAGCATTTTGCACCGAACGTCCTGGGAACAATGTGCCTCCCGTTAAGTTAGGACAGCGGAGTAACAAGTTTAAGTTAACACATAAATGTAGAGTAAATTATAACCATCTTTGAAACAATAGTATAAGGGTTACTGTACATTTAATATACTCGCACTTAATGAAGATGTCAGTGTACCGCGACCCTTATAATTAAACAGCAAAATTAATGTTTAATCGCAATAGCAATAATTGTATAGACAAAAACACGTTTTCGCGCAGCATTTCGCTTTGACTTAATGATAAATTGAAAAGCTTGTTTTATTTCCGTCTATTACATATGTAACTATGGAATAGTTAATTAAAATGCCAATTGATGTTAGATTATCTACTACCGCTTCCAATCAGTCTAAAATCCTGAAAGCAATTAGTATCAAATTATTATTTAAATTGAAATTAATAGTGTTCTTTTACTTAAATTATAGCATTTTGTATTTTGAGGTTTCGACTTAGAACATAGACTCATATACTACCTTAGTCTAATTATAAAAGACATTAAAACATCTCATAACGAAGGTTAACTAGAAATAAAATAATCCCGATTCTTTACCCCAATCCTTTTTCTATTTAACTTTCAATTTCAAGAACAAATTCCTTCTTAACCGGATAAAAGTTTAGTAATTTATTGCAAAAATTATGGTACGCCTATTACAAAATTGACAAGTGAATTCGTCTCTCATTCTCTTCTTATAGAAGAATAGAGAGAAATTGATAATAAAGTGGAAGACACTAAATTTTTAACTAAATGTAGTACTTAATTGTACCATCGGAGATTTATATTGTGAACATTGCTCCGACGTTGCCACAGCATCCGTAGTACAGATACAAACCGGGATATTGCATTAAAAAAGGCACAGTGAATGTTACAAGTCCTGGCGGCGGCGCGTTTATCGCAACATTGCCTTATTACCATTCCGCGGACCCTTAATATTTAATTAATTAAATAAACTCGTGCAACACTCCATTAACACGGTATCATATCGCTGCCGACGTTAAAATGTCCTGTTTGTTTTTGTGAGAATCAAAAGGGCACTTTGCACGGTCTCCGCGAATAAAGATATAACTACTCCGTTCTTTCCGTTATTCCTCGATGTTTATATCAGATGTCATTATATTATTAAATTAAATAACCGTTAAATTATTTAATTTGACTAAATTGGCAAAATAAAGAAAACTAAAATAGGACTAATTTAATGTGGAGGACATTATTTTTATATTCTAATATTTATTAGTACTGTCTGTAGTTTCATTCAATAAACTTTACGTTGGATTTTCACTGCCTATTGTCTTTGTAAAAATAAAGATAAGAAAATTTTTATTTATATGATTATCGGCAGTGAAAATGCCGTTATCTTTGCGCGTTCTTTATAATTGAATCTAAAATGGAGATATAATGAATTAGTAACTCTAAGCAATGAACAGTTCTAACGGAATGGTCAAGTATCGCGCCTCACCAACAAAGCGGATTGTCGGAATGTTTATTCTCGTACGTTCAATTAAAAAGGAATGATATTCATAAGAAACAATTTCACGTTCACTCGTCATTTTGATCGTTTAGTCGGTCCGCTTAATTCCTTCACAATACCTTGCCCGCGTCCAATTAACCTTCGACGTATTAAAAATATTCACAGTCATAGTCATTTTCCTAAGTCATTCGTGGTTGTACTATACGCCCGAATCGAGGAGTACACCCATTGGAATACTGTCGATAGTTTAAAGGTGGTATTCACATTGGTAGTGTGGCTATTGGTATGTTTGGTAGAATGTTGGTAGGGTAGGCGGGCCTAGTGTGTAGTGACCTACGACCCGCGCGCTGTGTGGCCGGAAAGAACACAATTTGCGTCATCTCGGCGTTCAGTTTCAATCGACAGGCCACAGATAAGACATCTTAGGTTTGATATCTTTGATCCACACCATGCAGTGCTACGCAGTAAATTCACGATTTTTTTTATAAAATTGATACTTCTGTTACATTATCTACAACTATATCCTAATAATAAAAAAGACAAAAGATTTGTACTTTTGGATTTTTATATGATGAAATAACTCAAAAACCACTGGGCCGATTTTAAGATTTCTTTCGCCATTGAAAAGTTACGTTATCAGTAAGTAGCTTAGGCAATTTTTTAATGATTTTAAATGAATTAGTCAGGTGTCCAAATTTGAGCATGTAAAAGGTAGATTACTACATAATTTGTATAATAAAAATAAAAAGTGCAAAGATCCGAGCAAGATTTTAGCACTTATGACTATGTTCTTAGGTTTTATTCGTGTAATTTTTTTATCATATTCACATATCAACGGTTTAAGTTTTAAGAAAACAGGTGATATAATAATAGATCCGTGAGAAACTCGATGATCGAAATAAAAAAGAGGCCAATGTCCCGAATCGGTATTATTGAAAACCACCGCTCGAGTGTGGCCACAACAAAGCGACAAGAACGTTACCAGTCGAAAAAAATACAGGTGAGCCATGTGCGCTCCGTGACTTGCAACACTGACGTTTTCATTTGTCATTTATTTTGATTGTGATAAGTTGGTGCGACGCGAGACGATATGTTTTAATCGAAACGAAGCTATGTGGATCACAGACAGATGTGCCCACCTTGCAAGCGGCCCTTTGTTTTAAGAACAATTAATATTGTCGCTTGATTTTACGTATTAATGTAATAGGAATGAAATCTAGCAGTCATACTGTACACTCTTGGATGAAGATGCTATTATCCTTGGCATTATTAATTACTAGCTGTTCCCATGGTCTTCATCCGCAGGTATTTATAAAAAAATCATTTTATCGTTGATATTTGTCAATTTATCAGTTGCAAATGTCAAAATGATATGACATGTTGATAAACCTTGGCAATCATGCTTCCTTGATGTTTTGGTACCAACTTATGGTCTCTTTCCCACTTGATTTTTATCCAATTTATTTACCAACTAAGTTTAATAGCGTGAAAACATATAGCCTAAAGCGTGAAGTAAGTGTAGGGCTTTTTATTAAAATATTAATTGTTATTTAAAATTAAAATTATTTAAAAATATGCTGTAATTGCTGACATCTTAGGCAACAAAGAAGTCTGTGCTTACGCTTTATTTTATTAGTATAGATTCGTATATTTGAATGTTTATTTATTTATTTATTTAAAAAATATAAAACAAATGGACAATATCAGTAACAAAATTGGTACCATCGTCCAAGATACCAGAACTCGAAGATATACATACTTTACTTAACCGATCCAGAGCTCTATAAAAGTTGCATTCTTTAGACTATTTCATTCGTTTTATACAAATATGTTATTAAATGTAAATTATTTTAATGATTGTTTACATTTGAATGTAATATTGCCATTTTAATAAGCCGAAGTAACCATCATATTTTAAATAACGTTTGTTTGGTGTGGATAACGAGTGGTGTTGCCAGGTACGTAAATCGTCAGTCGCCGGCGGCGTTGCAAGTAATTGCTTTTGTTGATATATCATCTGTTCATTGTTTATTTAGTACGTCGTTTTAACTGGGAGCCGTAGAACCACGCGACCGCCCCTTTTGTTTTAGACAGGATGTTTAAGTGTTGCCACTACACAAATTAAAGCCAACTGTTTTACACAATGATGTGTTAATTTTTAAATGTAACATTTAGTTAACTAAAGTTGTTATTAATACTTGTCAGAAAGTAATAATCTTTATTGTATGCTTTTAGATACATTTTTTTTAAAGATAGTTTCCACCATACTTAATGTTTCTATAATTATATTTTGATAGCGTTAGTTCTAACAATCAAAATTTATTCTCATCGGTGTGAATACCAATTTAACTTATCTGTAATTTAAAGGTTTTTAATGGTATTGTTTAGTAAAGTTTCAGATAAGGCTTGTTTTATTGCTGAAGTATGAAATTGGAGTCAATATCCGAATCTGGTATCAGTAAGCTCTCACGCGATGTATCGCCCACACCGTCCTCCCGCAAATGCGAGCGCCATGTCGTATGTAAATGCACCATGTAGTCTCTTGGTTTAATTAATCTCTAGCCACATAAATAAACCTGCCTTTAATCGATTCACTCTGAATATTAAACAATGGGGATCCGATACACAATCATAACACAACTTAGACATGTTCGTAAATGGACTTTAGCCGCAAGTGAACACTACTTTTATAATGCACATTTTGTTTAGATTTAACTCTCTATTTAGGAATACGCCTGTATGACGGCACAACATTACCACAATATTGATCTTATAATGCATAACAATTTAGTTCATTTAGCCGATATAGAAATCAATAAACAATAAAAAATGTTATAAGAAAAAATTTTAACATTTTTTTGATTTTATCTCACCGTTGGAAAATTGATATCGGCCGTATATCAGAGTTGTTAAGAAATTAACAACAACAAAAGAGTCGTATAGCTTCAATAACTCAATAAGCTAAAAGTAATTAAAGTTCGTGCGTCAAGCTATCAGTCACGGACAAACGGTATTGTAGTCACAGTCGTTATACAAGCGTTGCCCCCGGCGTCGCCCGGTGCTAACAAACGCGCATAATATACCAATGTATCTTAGATTGGGTTTCGAATCTAAAACAAATAATTTAAATCATGTCATCGAGTTAATGGTCTGGCTGAATGGTACTCGATAGTGTGGGGTTGGTGGGGGAAGCAAGAGTAATCAACGAGTGTGGATTTACGATCCTAGCCTCCGGCGCAGCCGAATACTTTCGGCCTCACAAAACTCTGGATGTAATTTATAATATTGTATTTTTTTTCGTTACTCAATTTTTCATTTAATTGTTATACGACGAAGTGTTAATAGTTGTCAGATTATAGTAAAATCTTAGTACAATAAATAAAACAATAAATAAAAGTGTGTAGGGTTTCTAGACTGTAATAAATATTAAGGGAAATTATAGTTCGTTTCATTCAAAAGAAAATAAAGAAACATATTTGCTTCATTAAATTCCCATACAGTTAACTTTAGCGAAACGTTTTATGAACTGACAATAAACTTTGCAATTGCAGTGTACAAGGAGTGTGGTGCACACAAGTGCGTTGGTGCATTAGTCGGGTGGACAGCGGCCGCGGCGTGGCGGTAGCGGACAGTAGCCGGTAGCCGCAGACCACCGCCCGTAAAGCGCATCTCCCGTTGTTTATCTCCGGCCAGTACGCGACATCTTCATTACCGCCGAGTGTTAAAACTTGTTGATCTGTCACTTTGTTAATTACTATGCGAGGCTCGCCTTTAATTGATTCAAGCGGCGACAAAATGTTAATAAGTATTGATAAAGGGCGATGGCGCGGCTCCGCGGCCCCGCGACCGCTACTATACGATTTTGAAATGCAAATTGTGCTTTTGAAACATTGGTGTGGATAACACCGATAAGCTGGATGAGGCAAATTAACATCCGATGAGCACGCGATTCTCTGCTTTATTCAACGCGCTTAAAATACTATACGATGTGAATATCGCGTGGCGCCGATGAGTACTGTTGTCGGGTATTAAGTGCATCTGTTAGTCTCGGTGGATGTTTCGATTCTTTTTAAGAATGCAATAAATTTATATGACTTGTATTATCGATTAAAACGTACGTATATTATATCTTAATAGACATATTAAATCGTAAGTTTTAGCAACGCTAAATTGATCAAGCTACCTTAATAAGCAGTAATATTGGAAAGAACGAGTAAAGAAGTTAAAAATCAGATAATACATAGCAAAAAATATTAACTTATTCATCTATAATAAAAAATGTACTAGTAAAATTTAAAAGTCAGTATTGAAAAGACAGCGAAGCGGTAACATAGAACAAGCTTGTTCTCTTGTCTAAGCTTTGTAACTCACTTGACGTAATCCTGTTTGCAGTAGACCTGGCGGTCGCGTAGAAAGCAGGAGGGATGTCTGTCGAGCTGGACGGCGCAGACGCAGCAGCGGAGGCAGCTCGTATGCCAGGTCGCCCCGCCCACCTCCAGCAGGAAGCGATCAGCGATAGCCTCGCCGCACGCGCAGCACGTGTGGTGCTCCGTCTGGAATAACGATACTCAATTACCTTCTAAAATAAGTACTTACGTAGACGTTAAAGCATTACGCTCCTGGCAACAAAGGTGCCAACAACATGTTACTTGAAACAGCCGCTCTAGATTGATGTCGTCCGTCGACAGCAGCCCTTATAAGGACGATAGTTTGCTTGCATAGATTTAAATAACTGCCAACTGTCGTCGGTGTTAGGCGTCTCTAACATTCGTGCTGGTAAAGCTTTATGGAGTTTTAGCTGGGTTTCACATAAAATACGAGCAAAGCAACGTGGAAAATGTAATTCGTTTATGTAGTTTTGATGTAATAGTTTCATATCACAAACGCAGCGTAATACTACTAGGAATACTACGTTAAACGTTTTAACAGAATGATGTCAATTAGAAAACAAATTTAACAATGTGAACTATGCTGTGTTTACCTCAAACTTAAAACAAAAGTTAATTTGCTCTTATCTATTCGTTCACAACCTTTAAACTGTCACGTAACTAATTTTAATATATGACTTTTTTATAGAATTGTTGAGAAAACTATTGCTTGACGAGAAATGGTAAGTTATGCAGATTCAATCAAATAAAATTTAAACCAATTTAAATACAAATGCTGCAAACAATCCTGCAAAATGTAATAAGTACAACTATAATTTTGTATCGCTACATGTGTTTGACAAAGCAGTGCTACTGTTTGATTTGATTGTCACACAGTCGTCGGGATGACGGTGCCTGTGGGGGGATGTGCGGGAGAGGGGGGCAAATAATCTAATAGAGCCGTTGCACAAATAGAACACCCCCTTTGATTCGTGCGCGGTAACAAACGTTGGCTAAATTGATTTAGTTAAATATTTGTGACGTGACTCAAATGAATAATAATCTTTGTTTTTACTATTATAACACATGGCGATTGTATAAAAAGTTACAGTATGTTACATAAAAACTAGTTCCAACCCTTTTCTAGTATTTTATATGTACATAAAGATACGAAGTCTTGGATTGGTAAAAATAACAATAATATATTGTATTTTTACTATGAGATAACAGATGGCGTTGCTGACATAAAGTAACAAATCTTACACGGTGCACTTTCACACTAAACTTCGACAATCGAATGTCTTAACGATGAGACTTATCTTTAACAAATATCTATAAAATGGATGTAAAATCGAATACCGATGAGGTTGATTGGTTGTAAACATAAAAAAAATCGATAGTAATCTATCAAAACATAAATGTGCAAGGAGTGTATCATTTTACGATGAATAGCTTTCGAGTTCATAGTCGAGCTATAAATCTGTGTTCCGTCCCCCTGACTCCTGTAACAACCGCGACGTATTCATACAAGCACCGGGCTGGGCAACAATAAGGGGTAATGTTAAACTTTGTAGCGACACCCCTAAAACAAATTTACACCGTTTTGTACGCAATAAATATACGAGAACAGACGTCTAGTAACCGCATCTGTAACGCCCCACCACTCATCGAGCAAGGGATGCGACCATGAATAATGTCAATAGTTTTAAACAGTGTTAATCTCAGGTATCATCAGAAAAAAAGACTTATAAACAAGCATATTAAGGACTAAGTTCCTAAAATAACAGCAAAAATGATAGGCATGCTTATATTAGTTTCGTGACATCGGAATTTTAATAATTTATTCTAACTACGATAAAAGGACTTGCAAGATACTGATCGTGCTTGCTAAAAAAAACTAACTACAACGGTATCCAAGATAAATTGTCCAATTTTTCTGGCTTAAGTCTTCTTTAAGACATTTTGCGTCCTTCAAGTAAGACTTTTAATTAAAGTTGCACCTAATTTAGTTAAGATGAAACGTATCCTCGATGTAATTAAAACGTTTGGCCACCATTTGTATATCTATCAAACGTTTCGTAACAAATTTCTTAAGAGTGCCATTGAGGAGGCAAATAATGGCGCCCCGGTGGCCGCTTTGTCCCCAACATCCCCTGACGCATGTCCTTTTTGTGACACTTCGTTCGCACCCGGCACAGCTACTCGTTTATAATGACTTTGTTTGAGTGTTTAATACGTCGTTTAGAAGGGCTTGTTTATTCCGCTTTTTGCCTAAAATTATGCTAATGTCACACCTTTTTACAGTCGAGGTTGTAAAATACACAAGTAGCCACTACCTGGTTTTTTATTTGGGAATAAAATACTGACTTCAGGTGAAGGATACGTTTGTAAAACCTGTATCATAGTCTCATCATAACTGCCTGCGCTAATTTTAGCACTAGGAATGTTTTTTAAATTGCAAAAATTTGAATTCTGCACATCTTGATATGCCTTCATTACATTCCATTATAGATTATAATATTTCTGTCTCTAACAAACTATAAAAAATCTTGCTGATTCTATCCTTCTTGAGTGTAGTATAATAAAATGTAAATAAATTTACTTAAATCGAAGAAATACTTTAATACTGCATAAAACTGTCTTCCTTTCATTTAAAACTAGACAGCACTTCACACGAAAAGATAACAAAAACTAGCAAACATTCAAGTTCAAAAGGTAGAAAATGATATATCGCCGCAAAATCCCTTTATGTGGCGTCATTGATATCTAATAAAGGTTGACAAAGCGGAGTACGGCAACTGTAAATACGTTGAATAGAGATGAGCGAAAGAGCATTGTGAAGTGATTCGGCGGGCGTGACCGCTCTGTGCATTTGCCTAGTCTGTTAAAACTATCTGCTATCCGCATATCGAACACAGATCGGAAATACATTTTTACGTTCGAATTACAATTTTTTGTTACATTTTTTAACACGGCTTTATTCATATGGCGTTGCTTTGAAATTATTGTCATCTTGTGGATAGATTGAAGTTAACGACGACGCTTTTATTTCTGTTACCGACTTTATATTATGTAGATTATTGCAATTTAACACTTTTGTGCAACCGATATCCGTTGTTTTAATGTGTCCAAATCCGAACACGTGTACAAAAGTACTGCAACGTTTTCTGAGTATTTTTTATTCTTGAAAAATTATAAGCGATATTTGCATTGGCAATGCCCTCGTAGAAATTTAGCAATGACACAATTCAGCACCTGCGCGACTTGTTTGCTCGTCATTCTGAGAATGAACGGAATGAATGCAAAAAAGTGAATATCAATTAATAGGTGTAAATTATAAGTTGATAGTGTACAAGCCTCTATACAGCGATTACCATACACAGATCGTAAAACGTTGCACTCGTCTCACGGAATGTCATGGAGATACAGTAAAACCTTTTTTACTAAATTAACTAGAACTAGACTTGTTATTTCAATGTGTTCTCTACACATATAGATATGAAATTTCGATCTTGCGAATCAATGGAATAGGATCTAACTACAACAGAAAGACTTAGGCAGACAAATGGTTACATAAAAGTTATTTTTATTATCACATTATCTGTACATTCTCGTATTTCATTTTGTGTATTAGTACTACTGAGATGTCTACTTCGGCTCGGTTTTATTTAACATATCATACGTATGAAACACGCAGATTCAAACTATTATTAATTCTGTTAAACCGCATGAACTCGATTATGGACAGTTTCGATTTTGTGTACAGGAGCGGAGACGGCAAATAGTAGTCACATAGGGGCGTACAGAAGGCACGCCGTAGCTCAGCTTTGTGCTCGACGTAACCATCCATTGTTCCCTCCTATTATCGAGTGGGTACACGGAAAGGTGGCCGCAGCGCCGGCCCACGTCATTGTCCCCGACTTATGTTCGCAAATCCGATTTATATTTGAATATAATTGACTTTCGGCTTCGTATCAGGTAAGAGCTTGTATCCCATTGTCTGGTCCCGATCTCAATGGCATTTTTATCGCTCGAACATGATAAATGTATTTGAGAGATTATGGTTCGTGCCCCGACCTCAGCGCCCTAACCGTTCACGAATTACAAGGAAATGTTTAATGTATAACGCATCCGTTGCATTTCACACGTAATTATTACCTTGCTCTTACAAGTCTCTGCAGAATTTACTTTAATTTACAGCAGAATACTGAAACCAATCTTAAGCACTCCGCTTGGTAAGCGCTGGTTAGAATCTGACAGACAAAAATATTTTAATGGAATTTGTAGTTAATCATGACCTTTTTACATATTAATATTTGGTTTTAGTATTCAACTGTGTGAGTTTCTAAATGGTTTACTCTTTATGTGATTAATTATCATACGAAGACGTATTACTCTGCTAATACAAATCTAAATTGTATGAAAGTGCGCTATAGACCATAGCGAGTCCCGAGAGATAATTCCAGCAGTGTCGTAGCAATACAGATAGGTACGAGAAGACCCCACCATTTCCCTGTGCGTTTACAATACGATACAAACGAGCATCGTTTTCCCTGTTGTATTACCATAACAGACAGCAATCTTGGCGATGTCGAACTCCTTGGCCGATTTACATTCGTGGAGACGGTGATTTTCGAATCAGTGCTCAATTGATGTGCAATCGGCGTGCACGGGGAAACATACAAATTGACTCGACTATCAGAGTTGTTTGTTTTCGTGCGAACGCCCCTCGATCGAGTGTTTTTAAGTTTTGAAAAGCAACTGGACAACAAAAGCGTTGGAGATAAATAACGTACGTGTCAGCGAGGTGAGCATCGGGCTGGCGCACAAAGGCGCGGCGGGGGCCAGGATATTGGAGAGAGGCTCGCCATTCACGCATTGCTCACGGGTTTTTTTCACTGTGACGGGGGTCATGGCGACCATCCGTCAATTTGCGGTTGCCCAAGCTACAGGAGCATGTTAGGATTCTGCCGATGAAGAGCATTGTAAAGAAACTTTTATCAACTAACCGTTTGTTTATTTTTCTAAATTTAATTTTTGAATCAACTTAATCATCATATTGTTTGTTTGATATTATAATCCTATTCTTTTACAAGACCTTTGTTTTACACCAGTTACCTTAATCAACTCTTTGCTAACTGGAACTTATTCAGTAGGCCTAGACACAAACAATATCGCCCACTTTT